TTTAATCATACACACTTATATAGTAATTACAGCAATATTTTCACTAACAAATAAAGCAGATTCATGTTTTTTTCTTTGAGCTCGCCTTTCCCAGGAACTACTTCCGATTTGAAAATTACCTTAATTTACTATAGCCTATTTACAATGGAAAATTATACAATATCTAACATCCCTCTACGACCCTTAGGAGCGGAGCAATTATACATAGATAAACTTAAAATACGCAAGCGAAGCTGCGGTCAAAAGCTAGTCATAATACAACAAATCCTTTAAAATTGTCAAAACAAGCTTGGTTTTCCATTTTCACACGATTTTATTGCCAATAACCAGTAGCAATTAGATATAATACCTAATATATGGACGTTTTTTTGTTCATAACTACTTAGGTACATGACCGGGAATGTATTATAAGAGTAATCCAAATGTACCTTCGAGTAAACAACACCGATTAAATGAATGAATTGAATTTATGAATGCACTTGTCTTATCTACAAAATGCAGGCAAAATCTTATAAACTGCTCTTTTGATTTATCTCATTCTTCCTGTGTCCCTATTCATATTATCATATTCTCATTGTTATTATTTTCCATAATAATAGTTATTATTTTCATTATACCATATCATATTATTTTCATAATTATAACCAAACAATTTAAAAAAATATATTTATGGTAATATTTTAATTAAATTTAATTTATATTCTTACTAATTAACGGTACTAAATAGATTGCGTAACTATGACAAGTTAGAATTTTTTCATAGAGCTAACGTAATTGCGCCAATCATAAATGTATAGGTACAAACCTAAATATCTAATGTATTAATAATATTATAAAAAGGAAAGATTTGATTTTTTGTCTGTTTGTTTGTTTGTACTGAATAGACTCCGAAACTATTGAATCGATTTAGATGAAATTGGGTAAGAAGGTAGTTTGAGATCCTGGGAAGGACATAGGATAGATTTTATCCCGGAAATCATCCCTTAAAGAGGTGAAAATGTGGATGAAATTTTGTATGAGGAATCCACCTAGAACGAACCCGAGCGAAGCGAGAGATATAAGTAATAATCAGGTCACGTTTTAATACATCACATTCAATTATAATTTAAAATAAAGATTACTTTATATATTATGTACATATTAAACTTTTTTCTATTAAATAAACTATTATTTTTATATTTATGAAAACAAAATCTCATACATAAACCAGCTTAAAAATATTAAATCAGTCAAATATGATAAACTACTGCAATGAAATTTCCATACTAAAGCATTTTACATAACAGTAGGTAAATATGCAAAATACTTACTCGTATGTCAATTTTTTGATGATTCAAGTGAACTGTGTTTATACCTAACAAAATATATAAATTTAGAGATATTTACTGGTTATTACATCGAATAATATTTTTTATTACCTGTTTATTTTTAGAATCAACTAAAGAAAAACCAGAAGGGACTAAACTAAAAACCTTCACGTAATACCTTAGCAACAACCAGTTTATTTAAAACAGTTTTTTTTTTAATAACTTTAAGAGCTCACTGACGATAATTGAATTTTGTTGTAAAAAAACTAAAATGATCGCCAATTACACAAGTCAGTACTTTAAAAATAGTAGGTAATAGGTTAAGCAGATATAAAATAATTCGGATAGATAGAGATGGACATGACGAATTTATGAGATTTTTTCTTTTGCTACGGAACCCTAACACATATTACATCGGTTAGCAATCGTCAAATTTTACTTTAGATTTCGGCCCTATTACTAAAAAAAAATTGACAACGTCGAAACAAAATTTATGGTGTAATCTAAAATTGATGTAATCTAAATTTATTTTAAAATATATCCGAAAATAACATTAAAAATTTAAGTAATAGTATAAAAAATGTTTTAAAAGACAACAAAATCTAAGTGCATAATAATTACAAGAGCAAGACTTCCGCGATACCATTCAGACAAAGAGAGACAATAGCATTCCCAAGGAGGGTTGACGTCAGGCAGGCGGCCAGTCGTAAAACTTTTGTCAAATCCTATCAGCAGTACAGAAGATGTACTGCGCCGACCCCAAGTGATTGGGAAATGGGCAGGGAGAAGAAGAAGACTAGATCCAAAACAAGTGAATGGAGCGTAAGATTTTCCTATCCTAACGAGCATTCCCGATCGTAGTTAGCTCCAATTCAATGCACCACACGATTGTGCGCTAATGTAAAAGCAATAATAGTAAATGGTCCGAATCCTAATAAAATCGAGTTAAACTCGATTGATTTGAAACTCGAATTAGTTCATTCATTCAGGAGATTAACTGATACAGGCTGACATATAAGTACGTTTTTGACGGCTGTCTGAGCTTACGACTTTACGAACAAGTAAACAACAAACATTTATGTATATATTTTATTTGTAAGGATAGACACAGATTTTTATAGTGCTCATAGCTATCTATACCTATACCTAACATGTTACGTAAGTGAAGATATCTGTAAGAAACTGTTAAAGAAATAAGAATACAGGGCAAAGTTTTCGGGATGCTTCAAAGAGTTTTATAACCTCTTAAGGCAATTCAGATTTCTTGCTGAGGTAAAGTCATAAAAAATATAGGTTGTACTTTCGGCCAGAATTCATAATATGTATATCGGAAGAAAACGAGAGTTGAATCTTTAAAAGGTTTTGGTTAGACATTATTTGCGATAAGATTTTTTGTTTGAAGTAAAGTTAGACAATATACAATACTTTAGATATAATAAGTTCAAAGTTCAGTCGTTTCATGATAGGTACCTAATTTGGATAAAGCATTTAAAGACCAAAAGTCTAAACATGTAAAAATATATAATAGCGTATTATTAATTTTTAAAATAAATAATTACTTTTTCTATGAGATAAATGAAAATAACCCAAAAAATGAAGACATTTATTTCTCGCAAATCACTTCCTCGGTGAATTGTAATCGTTACTTTTGCTTGAACATAGCAATAACCACAGATGACACAATATTTTACCTACTACATCTACAATTAATGTAGATTGTAATTTGCACATGAAGATTTTATTGAGGACTAAAGTCCACATTGGCTGGACGTACCTATTTCAATTTTCATTATAGATAGGTTTAAATTTCAAGCACTAATTAGACATACATACATACACACGAGTAGGTACATATATGCACACTAGCGGCTCACCCTCGCTTCGTTTAGATTCGCCTCTAGAAAACCAAACACAACTCTATCCCACGAGAACCATACATTTTTCCGGGATAAAAAGTAGTCTATGTGTTATTCCAATGTATGAGCTATATTATTATAAAGTTTCATCAAAATCCATTCAGTAGTTTTTGCGTGAAAGAGTAACAAACATACATCCATACTCACAAACTTTCACACTTATAATATTAGTATAGATTGTACATAGATCCAAAGATCTTTACCTTAAGCTTTATCGCTTAGATTTCTTGCTACAAGTATATGTATGTAGAGCGGATTGTTTAGTCGAACACATAAAAGACAATATAGATATAGACGAAGCAGAACGCAGTAACTAATTATTTACTTTCATTATGTATATGGTAGATACTCTTACATCTACTTAGCTTTGTATATAGTAGGGGAGCCCAAGAGGGGATTTTCTGTAGTTACTCGAGCGCGGCAGATTAACATAAAAGAGGTTACCTTGCACTCTGTTGAGTACTTTCACCACAATATAAGTCTTCTATATAAAGGGGCGCGTCTAGGAAAGCCGATTAAAATATTTAAAAAATGTTTTGATAAGGTAAAAATACTTGAAACCGTCAGATTAAGGTGTGGTAGGCTAGTCACATCCTGAAAAGTGTCCAATTTAATAATCTGCCGATTTGCACAAGCCTAAGAGGCAAAAATCATCATAAACTTTATAGTCGATTTTTGCCGCGCTCGAGTAACTACAGAAAATCCCCTCTTGGGCTCCCCTACTAATAGGTATGCGTATGTATAAAGGCTTTCGTTTTATAAATCAACGCTAACACTATACATTTTAGAGTATGTTTATTCATATTTCAGGCAAGATTGGCCTTTGTTCAATCAGCATTGGATGTAATTTTAGACAAAGATATTTTTGGTTCATAGGTGACATAAAGTTATTTTATATCCCAATTTAGGTTCCCTTTAGAATATTAATTGCTTTGATACTGTTACTAAAGTCTTTCCTCGGATTTGGATGATATTTAGAACGCAGACAGATTACGTAACAGTATTTCACTGCATTTTTTTTTTAATTTATATCGGACATTATATTTAAAACAAAAACCATAGTTAAATGTTAAACAATTACATATAAGGTGATTTTGATGTCAGTGCAAAGAAGTGTTATCTATAAGTTTGACTTGTGACCTAAATCTATATAGTTATGTATGCATGTATGAATTTTTATCCGATCCTATGTTCCCTGATAATTCACACGTTGTTAGATTTGTCTTGAAAAAGCGAGTGTTAAAATGAAAATTTTTATGTGGCGCTCACAAAATATAACACACAATACAATAAATAATACAAATATAACACAAAATATATTTTTAATATTCCTCTTCCCCTTGGACCGCCGTAAGGTGCTAACGTGTTGACCTGCTACTATTTCGCGTTTTTATATATTAAAATAGTAAAATTCAAAATTAATTCCGCATAAAATAATAGGAGTGCATAAAAAAAGAAGATATGTATCTACAACTACTAATCTACACTCAACGCAACGCTTCTGAGGCCCTGGTACTGTGAAGAAACGAATAGAAGTGAATACTCACCTATGCGAACCAATCTGCGCACACGCAAAGTACGCCATAATGAGGACCCCTGCGTAAGCCCTGCCCCCTTTTTACTAATTGGTTCGGACACTAATTACTTATCCCGCCTCTTTCGTCTAATTGGCTTTTGACCTTAATTACAAACACCTATAACTATTCGCCAGTGCACATTGGCCCCAAGTCGTTAATTACTTAACACCTTAGAGCAGATTCTAAACTCTTATATTACGATGGATACCTCGCTTGATAAATCTCTCTCGGAAACGGATTTGAATCAGTTTGGGACTAAAGAAACTCCACCGAGCTTCGTTAGCTCTCGATATAAACGCAGAGGAGAGAGTTATACTTCGGAACTGAATGGGCTCAAGGACGAAATGAGATCTATGATGCTATCTTTATTCAAAGCTCAGAAACAGGAAATGGAGAAAATTGCACTTACTCTAGAGGAAATAAAAGAAACTAACATAAGCATTGAAAATTCTATAAAATATCTCACTTCACAAAATGAAGAATTTAAAAATAAAATTGAACATCTAGAAGGTCAAATAAAAGAAGACAGGCAGTATTTATGTATCCTGGAGGATAAATTGGAGGATTTACAGATGTGTACTCAATAGTTTTATGCACAAACCTTTACACGTTGCGTCTGACACTAGTTCCATACTATATTATAATTCTAAGATTGCAGTGGCACGTGACTTAATGCGTATCTTTTTTGAAACCTTAACACCCGTAATAATTTTACATGGTTATTTTAACTATTTCCCTAATGGATAATTCTATTAGTACGCTTAATGAAATAGACAATACAATGATTGCCCATACACTACGCTGCGATACTGATGTACTTAGAAATAATATTCGCATTAAGCAACAGGATATCGTAATAGCAACACAAAATATCAGAAGCGTATACAGTAATTTTGATGATCTTATACTTACAATGGCAAGCTTAAAAATAAGCCTGGATATTTTGGTTCTAACGGAGTGTAGACTAAGACCTAACCTACCATTACCATGCCTCAGTAACTATAACTCTTTTGCTACTACCCATCAGATAAATCAAAACGATGGTGTGGCTATATATGTTAAAAATAACATCACTGCTAATGTTAAGGAATTGAAATTGGTCCACGCATCTTGCTTACAAGTAGAAACTCTTAATACGACTATCTTGTGTATATACCGATCACCCTCTAATATTAATGCTGCGAATTTCATTGATTCTCTTAACTCACATCTATGCAGTATAAAGGCACATAAGAATATAGTAATAACAGGAGATTTGAATATAAACTTAATTTCAAAACAGTCTGAGGGTACTTATGAACGCAACAACAGAATAAATTACCTTAATATGTTGTGTTCACATGGTTTATTATCTGGACACTTTATCCCTACAAGAGAAAATAGTTGTCTTGACCATTTTATGCTTAAGATCGAGAAGGATAAAGTTGCTGCGCAAATCACGGTTCTTAATACAACTATTACCGATCATAACATGGTATTGTTATGTTTATCTAGGCATAAAATACATCAAATCAAATGTACAAAAAGTAAATTAATAACAGATTATAATAAAGCGCTTCTTTCTTTAGCTGAGAGAAATCTCCGAGAACTACTTCTTTGTGACAATCCAAACTTAATAATAGAAAGATTAACTGATAGTATACGCAAATCACTCCAAGAAAATACAACTATAAGAAATATTCCTAAAAACAGACGCATAATCAAACCCTGGATTACTCCTGGGATCCTACGCTGCATTAGAAATAGAAATAATATGCAAAGAAAATTAAAAAGTGATCCATTTAATGAAATTTTAAAAATTAGTTACAAAAGGTACAGAAATTATTGTAATAATTTAATAAAAAAGCTTAAACGTAACTATGACAGACAACAGCTGGACGCATCTATAAAAAATTCTAAGAAACTCTGGTATAATGTTAAAAATATAACACATTTAAATAAAATAAAAACTGACAATTCTCCTTTATTATACATAAGACCATCACCTGTAGAATCAGTAAATCATGTGAACACATTTTTCTCTAATGTAGGTAAAGACCTAGCAGAAAAAATATATAAGGATAATACATTGGAAAATAATTCTCGAACAAATTATACTCATTTGACGTCATTTGTTTTGTTGGACACTGATGATATGGAAGTTCATGACACGATAATGTCTCTTAAATCTAATAGTGCTCCGGGATGGGATAATATACCATCTAGTTTCTTAAAATTAGCCACTAATGAAGTGACTCCCATCATAACTCATTTGGTTAACCTTTGTTTCAATAAGGGCATTTTTCCTTCTTTACTAAAGCAAGCTATTATCACTCCTGTTTACAAGAGTGGTGCCAGAGACGATGTCAACAATTATAGGCCAATTTCGATTTTGCCCTGTATCTCTAAAATAGTAGAAAAACTAATTAACAAAAGATTAATATATTTTATGAACAAATTTAACATCTTATCTGATTCTCAGTTTGGCTTTAGGCAAGCAAAATCTACAGAGGATGCTGTTACAGCTTTAACTTCATTAATTGTTGAACAACTTGATGTAGGTAACAAAAGTCTTGCTGTCTTTTTAGATCTAAAAAAGGCTTTTGACACCGTCTCTGTCCCCATTCTCGTACAAAAGTTAGAAAATATTGGCATCAGAGGGACCCCTCTTTTACTTCTTAAAGATTATTTATGTAATCGTAAGCAGAAAGTAAAAATAGGACAACTGTTGAGCGAAGATTCATACATAACTTATGGCGTCCCACAAGGCAGCGTTTTGGGCCCGACTTTGTTTCTAATTTATATTAACGATTTGTGTACCTTAAACATAAACGGGGCCAGGATCTTTGCCTATGCTGATGATACGGCTATAGTTTTCAATGGGCCTACGTGGGATACTGTTCATGAAGCTGCAGAAAGAGGACTCCGTGAAGTTGCCTGTTGGCTAAGAGCAAACCTGCTTTCACTTAACACTGAGAAGACAAATTACATTTGCTTTTCAAAAAATATCCGATCACAACCTTCATGTAACTTTACTATTCAAATTCATTCCTGCAAAAGCACTACTTATCAAAACTGTAGCTGTCCTATAATCAACAAAGTAGCCACGACTAAATATCTAGGTATTATGGTTGACCAAAGACTTTCGTGGCACTCACATATTGAATTAGTTACTTCCAGAGTCAGAAAATTAATATGGATTTTCAGGAATTTAAGATATTCAGCTTCGAAAATACTATTAACTAAAATATATGTCGCATTAGCCCAGTCAGTGTTGTGTTACTGTATCTCAGTGTGGGGTGGAGCCTCTAAAGTTAAATTTCTGGAAGTGGAAAGAGCACAGAGGTCACTACTCAAAGTGATGTTCTTCAAATCATACACATATCCTACTCGTGAATTATACTCAGAAAGCAACATTCTATCCGTTAGACAATTATATATTTTATGGGTTGTTTTAAAAAGACATAAAAATTTGGTTATTGATTCTAACATAGTAGATAAAAGAAGAAATCGTGGTGTTCTTATGCTGCCTAGGATCAAAACAGCTTTCGCTGCACGTCAGTACAAAATTCTGTCAGGACGCTTATATAATAAAATAAACAAAACCATAGAAATCTATCCATTGAGTTATCATCACTGTAAATCAGTCTTAACTAATTGGCTTAAGTCGAATAAATATGAGGATACAGAAATGCTTTTGGAATCAATCTCCTGAATATGAAACACACACACACACGCACATACATACACTCACACACACACACACATACACACACACACACACACACACACACACACACACACACACACACACACACACACACACACACACACACACACACACACACACACACACACAAATACACACACACTATTTTACTAACAAATATTGTAAAACTTAATTTGCTATAACAAGTTACTTTTGATGTGGCTATGGAAGAGCGAGATTGTCTGTCACAGGTGTTTTGTACACTTAAAAGGCGATCTCAACCTTATTTGTAATTTGTAAACATTTTGTTAATGAATAAAATATTTTTATTTTTTTTTTTATTTTTAATAGTAATTTGGGATAAAAACTTGATATCCTAAATACTTACTTCATATTTTAACATTTACTCGACAGTTGACACATAATGCACTATGCAAAAAAACCATCCTAAATACATGCCGTAGAAAGATTTTTTTTTTGAATTAGAAATTGTTAATATAATAGCCTAACGATTCCAACATACTCTTGATTCAGACCCCAGGCTTTGTATATAATGGCGTTGTGTTATGATAAAGATTTTTTATTTTGAGCAAAATAATGTAAACCTAGCCCAAGAATTGTAAATCAAGAATAACGCCTCTTTTTATAAGGACGAAATGATGATTAAATTTTAATTTTTCAACGTTGAAATTAGAAACGAAAGTGATTAAATTGAAAGTGTATTAAAGAAACAGTCTACAGATGTGCAAAATTTCTCGACTTACTTCAGACCAAAGGTCTATCATTCGCAATGTCTATATGTGCAGTCTACGTTTATTGACCCAGTTTTGAATTACCAATCCTCCACGGTCGATTTCTTCTTGCACCGACTTGGTAACACATACGACTTGACTATAAGTGCTATCGCCTGATACAAATTGTAGAGCAATAATGTGTAAAACTGTATTGCTACAATTCTGTCTGATTTTCTACTTCACGATTTAAAATGTCTAAAATTCTTTTAACTTTTTTAGCAATGAAAAGTTATTGTGGAAATTATTTGATTTGGAATGTTAAATGATATCTTCGCCAATTTTGAATTATTTTCGATATTTTTTTTAATGTCAATATATTATAAAATATGATTCTACATAAATTTAAAGAAAAACCGCCCCTAAATGTGCAATAGTTATACTTTTGAGTGATTTTGAAGTAGGTGTAATGTTTATTGAAAATTCTGTTACCCACAAATCACAATCTATAAGCATGATATAATCAAATTATTATCAAATAACTTAACCTTCTAAAAGGGATTAACAAAATGTTATCTTAGAACATTTCTTTTTACGTTTTAAAGAAATTTTGTATAAACATTCATACCATAAATATTTTATAGGCCTACGTGAAGATTACTAAATAAGGTCAAGTAAACAATTTGGATAAATTAAACGTTTCAGAAATGTGCCAATAAACCTGAAGAGTTAGGTATGTTATACCTAGATCTTCGTCAGTGCACATTCTGCCTAGTTTATATTGCCTGTGAGTTTGCAACTACAGTGTACTGTAAATGCAATACTGCTGTAATCCAATTATATCTCCATACAATAGCGGTTATAGTCAAGTATAATTACAACAAATGATATTGCGTCAATTTTAGTTTATATGAATAAAAAAGTATTTTATTCTTGTAAAAGCTTAAGTCCGAACTTAATAGTTAATACGTTATTATTTTTAACTGCGGTTTAGTATGGAGATATTTTAGTAGATGGTTGAAATTATATAACGCCAAATGGTCAATGAAAAAGAAAACAATATAAATTAAATATAGTCACATTATATTTCACAATCTTGACTTGAAATATAAACAAAAAGTTACTCTTAAAACCTTCCTAGGTTTTTGCGTAGGAAGGCAGACAAGTAATATTACCTCGGCAATTAACTTGTTTACAAAATTACAAACAATTAACTTGTAAATTACTATCTTTTTAAGATTTTCTGAAATAACTGATATTAAACAAACCACAAATTTAAATCAAAACGTTATCAATAGTAGGTACCTAAAAGCTAGGTATTCCTATTGCAGTATTACATATTATATTCATGCGGTCATATTTGCATTTAAAAACAATTTTTCACAACGAGATTTTATATATAATAAACATTTATACTTGATTTACACACGTATTATATAAAAATTCTGTACATAATTATTTTAATATTTTAATAAAGAAAGAATAATAAAAAAATATATAAGCGCCAAGCGGTGATCAGTGCGTAAATAAAACGCAATTATATTTATTACATGTGTCAATAGATGGCGGGAGTTGCGCACTGCTTTACCATAAACGTCAAATACTTCACCAATGAACAACTGAAGAGTGTCCTACTGGCTACTTTCATGACGTCATTATATCCACGTTGGAAGTTGTAAAGAAATGTCATGTTTTAGTTAAACATTATTTATTTTGTAATCAATGTTTTGTATAAATATAGCTTAATAATACCATACCATTGAATATTATAGTTATATACCAAAAGTGAAGTGAAAAGCTATTACAAAATTCATAATGTCAATGACGCGAAAAATTCCAAAGCATCATGACTCTCGTTAATGAAGATATGAATAATATCCTGGAATACCTGTCCAGAAATGACCAGGATTACGACGGAATAAATTCTAAAAGTGAAAAAATGGACAGCTTCCAAACGGGAAATCTATTGGTTCGTATCTTTACTTTTCACGAAACGTAATTGATAACGTATCAAGACGCGTTTATAGTTAGCTCAAAGGCCGCTAGACAGAGAAATGGATCGTTATTGTGAAGGGTATGAGCGAGCGATTTAGTAGACGCACGGTGAAGCAATGAAATCGTGACTGTACCTCGTTTTACAGCTTTCGTGGACTTACACTCCCACTTTTACCGTTATCTGACTATCCGTTCATTTTGTTTTTGGATTGGACGTGGCTTGGTGTCTAGCTCTTCATAATTACACAAAACCCGGTGTTTTCTTATCAAATTACAGACTCAATAGTACTCGGGTTAGTCCCTAACGTGTTATTTACAAAAGCCAGTCAGTTCATTATCAGCGCGCATATTGCGAGGCCGGCGTATTATACGACGTAAACAAGCTCTGCCAGCTAGGCACCATGCGGTCGGCGCTTTTACCATATGCCTCATGAATATCTGCTTCTTAATACATCTATTATAACTTAAAACTTTTTTGTACCATATACCAAGTGAATATAAGTGAGGGGAAGCAAACAGTGCAGTTGATTTTAGTGAAGTTAAATAATTAGAAGTGAATTATATGTTCTAATGTGTAATTTTAATAATCAAAATAAATATGGATAAAAAGCTAGACCTATTATCCTTACTTGAGGTAATATACACATTATTTTTTAAATATAACATAGTTACTTAAATATCAAAACAAAGAATGATTCAGATAAATCAAGATCTTTTTAAGTTCTGATGTAATTCTTATAAGGGACTATATAAGAATTTACACCATATTCAACAAAAATCATATATTAAAGTTGAATCTTTGAATAAAGTCATCAATTTTTAATTCATTGCTGTATGTATAATATGATAATTGATAAAAATTATATATATGATATAAAACATGACATACATAGATAAATCTATGCTGACATTTTGGTAATGGATTAAGATTGCACTATCAAAGGCCTAAAAATATTAAGATAAATTTCATTATATATGCACAATTAAATGCATCACCTTTCTCTTTATCATCTTAAGTAAAAGTAAAAAATGAAAGTAACTTATATGTGACTAAAGTAAAAGGCAGTATTGCGAAGTGATCTTATTCAAAATTAGCCCAATTAATAAACTTATATATAACTCTTTAATAAATTAATTAGTGCTAATCACATAGAACCAACAAGATATTTGGTAAAATTATTTTTTTAATATATATATGTTTTAACTTTTTTGGGTGTTATAAGTTTGACGTGTGTGTGTGTGTGTCTGTCTGTGGCATCGTAGCTCCCGAATGGATGAACGGGTTTTTGATTTTTTTTGTTTGAAAGGTGAATTAGTCGTTAGTGTTCTTAGCTATGTTTTATGAAAATCGGTCCAAGATAGTTAGAGATTTTTAAAATTTTTAAGTTATCACTTCGTTTTATAATATAGCATCAATAAGCAAACATATTTTATTGCTATTTTAATTTATGCATATCAATTATTCTAATAGGCATGAATAATTAGGTTCAACTATTAATCAGTTCATTTATCAATTATTCTGTTACTTCCGCTAATTGATATATTAGTAAATAAGTATGAACATTATATTATTACTTACATTATTATTTACCATAATGGTTATTAAGTGTTTTTACCTGTACTTTCCCACATTTATAATTCCACTTCCTAAGAAGAAATTAAAGAAATAAAATAAGCGCATGTATGTAACCTTTACACACAGTTCTAGTAAAATTTCTTGTGACAAATACTGCAATTAAAACAAATCAATTATAAATATAATAATTTTTATAAAATTATTAATACATAATTATTAATAATAAATAATATATAAATATATGTTTTTAAAATACGAATTTTTCATTCTGTATAGGTACATTTTTGTTTTAAGTAGAACCCTAATTCTTTTACTGAAATAAAAGTAGCCTAAGTTACTTCTTATAACATCAACTACCTGCCAGTGAAACTCCCTGCAAAATCGGCCCAGCCGTTTCAGAAATTACTCGGAACACACAGACACATACAGACAGACAAAAATGTTAAAAATTGTGTTTTTCTTATAAATACTGTATATAATTCCATATGGATTTAATCAAAAGCCTGTTCAATCACTTCAATTTTATTTATCTGTATAGATAATTAGTTAGGAATTCTATTTGTTTTTTTTTTTATTATTATAGAAATAAAATGATATACCCACAATTGACCTTTCTACACATTAAGTACATGATTGAAAGATTTTTTAGCTGAATATGATTGCTCCAATTGTGCAATCTTATTAAGAATATGCGTATGATGCAATAACAAGTATTATAATATTATAAGCATGTTTTTATTTGATTACAATAAGTCAGTTTATATTATTATTTTATTATTCTGGTAGCTTGTCCTACATATATTTTACTAGTGACTTACCCTCACTTTGCTCGGGTTCATGCCCAGCTTGATTCCCCATACAAATTTTCATTCCCATTTTCACTCCCATAAGGGATGATTTTCGGGATAAAAGTATCCTATGTCCTTCCCAGGGTCTCAAACTATCTTCTTACCAAATTTCATCTAAATCGATTCAGTAGATCCAGAGATTTCCCCCTACAACGCCATAAACTCACAATTCATAAACTCACAAACTTTACCACTTTATAATACTCGTATTAGTCGTCTGTAGGTACGTTTTAACGGTTAGCATGAAATAGAAATCTTTGAATTTCTCGGCTTCTCTGTACTATAATATGCATGTATTATACATATAAACCTTCCTCTTGAATCACTCTATCTATTGCTGAAAACTTCATTAAAATCCGTTGAGTAGTTTAAAAGGTCTAAGAGAAAAGACAACAGAAGCAACTTCATTTTATACTATGTAATGATTTAACCTAGGTATATAGGTTTTATTTATCTATGAATGAGTAAATTCCAGTTAAATAAAAGATGCTGCCTCGGTGGTGTAGTGGCTAGCATGTACGGCTGCACACCCGGAGGTCCTGGGTTCGAGTCCCGGGTCGGGCCAAGTTTAGTTACTGAGTCTTGCTGTATAGTAAGCCTCAGTAATAGCCCGGAGTTGGGAAGTTGGCGGTGTTTCACCCCCGTGCCTCGGAGAGCACGTAAAGCCGTCGGTCCTGCGCCTTAACTCTCACTGGTCGTGTCGAGCAGTCGTCCCACCGGAGTATGGGAGTGACAGGAATAGAGAGTGCACTTGTGTCTGCGCGTACACTTGAGCACTATAATATCTCCTGCGCAGTTGGCTAGTCTCAATGAGATTGGCCGCCGTGGCCGGAATCGGTCAGGAGAACATCATAGGTTTTCTATAGTGCTATCTTTGCACTGCTAATATAAGTATTTCAAAGAACACTGTCGTATTAAGTATAGGCAGAAAATACTACAAATCTTATATTTAACTGGAATTTACTCATTCATAGATAAATAAATTATGAAGGGATATAAGGAACATAAATATAATTTAACAATTGTCTGATATTAAAAATTGATTATTTTACTAGCAAATATTAATTAATATTCAAAATACACAAATATATGTATAATATAGATAGATATTAATGATATTTAAATAACTTTCAATGTTTTATATGAAATTATTTTGTTCCAGTCTGATTCCTGGCAGGCGTCAGATGATATTCTGGAGAATATATTTTCTCTGGAGCAAGGTTCTTTAAATTTCTTAGACGAGACTCTGCCAGATTTTAATTTGGCCACAGACAATGCATCTCCACCGGGACTCAGTAGCTCATGCTCCGACAGTGGATTGTCAAGCGACCCGGCAGAATTGTAAGTTGTTTTGTTATTAACAATTTTTAAATTAATTTCGCACGTTTCGACGTTTATAATAATAATCTTATTATTTGCTCTATCTATCAGTGAAAGAGTCAGTTCAGACAGGCGAAAGATATTTAATTTTGTGATAAGGGTAACTATTTTGATGTCATCGACAATTCTATTTATAAATGGAGACAGATAATAATTAAGAAAAAAATAATAATCTATTGCTGTTATTTATGTTTTAAATATTTCATTAATTTCTAAAAGCTCTTATTTGATTGTATTTAACCGTTTTTAACGTCCCACTGCTTGGCACGGGCCTTCAATAATAATCAATCATAGCGTAGTCCATAATCGGGATCAGGTTATAGTCACCACGCTGGCCAAGTGCGGGTTGGCGGACTTTACATGTCTTTCGAAAACTTGCTAGGTTCTCTCAAATATGCAGGTTTCCTCGCCATGTTTTTCTTCATCGTAAGACGTGTGGTAATCATATTGGAAATGATTCGCACATGAAAATCACAAAAGTGCGAGACCCGAAACGGTTTCCCAAGCAAGCGCCTTACCACTGGCTGCCACTGTATTGGATTAGTTCTCTATTACTAAACATAATGTGCTTTATATTTATAGATGTGAGTAGAATACGGAGCTCAATTTGCATTTTAGGATTTAAATTCATTACTTATCTTAATAACATTATTTACTGAATTTGAAAAAACTTTATACATGTGTATCTTATATTCTAAATAGTTTTCAATTAAAATATATTAAAAATTATTTATTATTTAAGTAATCTTTTTTAATCTTTAGTCATTTTATTACAGTAATAGTATCATTTTTCATGGGACTGCCATATAACGTAATATCCGATAAAACACCCACAAAACAAACTATTTCAATTACACTTATGATACAGATTGCGATTGATATTATGTAGAGAGCTTTTCTCGCTCTACATGTAACAAAAATCATTAATTGTTAACAACCCGAAAACTTGATCATCTCCAAATAACATTTAAATATACAAATAACGACTTCGTTAGTGTTAAAAGTATGTAGATGCAAAATCTACTATAATTGAACATTCGACACAATTACATCAGAGTTCGTTAATAGGACGTTAAACTAGTTGTATGGAGTACCGTAACTGAGCTTGTGAGTCACAGTACCATATAGTAAGAATGCAAGCTATCTGCGACGAAAGCACGATTAGAATTTTAAATTCCTTTGGCCGTGTGCCTTTTAATTTCAAACTTTAAAAATGTCTTTTATACCTTTTTTCTTCAGACTTTTGTAGCGAAAGCTCTTAGAGTTAGACCACTTTTTATATTGGACTAGCATTGCCCGCGGCTCCGCCCGCGTTCAGATGACCAAAAACTAAATTCTTAGGTGTTACATATTAGTATACTCTTACATTGCAGTTTTTGTATTTTTCCTCAGAAATAAGATATTTTCCCGCGGTAAAAAGTATCCTAGGATCGCGCGCTACATCGCCCGGTTTATATAGCTTGAGCAGGCGGTCGAGCGATGCGGGGCAGAGGGGATGGACTCGCCGTAGGCATCTCAATGCTCGCCAAGCATTAAAAATGTTTCGCTACTAATTACTTCTAACAACGATATCTCAAAAACTATTCATCTGATTGATTTAGTGTAAAGAGCAATTTTAATCTGCATTAAATGACTAAGCTAACTAAAATATTCATTTGGATAAGGATTAATACCGAACTAAAGAAAATAACTTTGAAAATAACGTAATGTTTTTAATTAAAAATGTTAACATAAAAGTGGTTATTGTAAGTCAACCGTAAGAGATAGAGATATGCTATCGCGGACTTTTTTGTAGCATTTTTATAGATTTTGAATTCTCTAGTACATTACTTAACTGTATCTTTGCTAGTTTACGCGGCGTTCGCGTGGAAAGTTCCCATTTGGCGAGATTTTTTGCGACCTCTTCAACATTTGTCGCCGTATTTCAGCTAATTTACATAAAAGCATAATAAATTATATACCTAAACCTTCCTCAAGAATTACTCTTTCTATTGTTGAAAACCGTATAAAAATCCGTTCAGTAGTTTTCGAGTTTATCGCGTACAGACAGACAGGAGGACAGACAGGAGGACAGAAAGACGCGGCCGGGGGACTTATTTTTATAATAAGTATAGATGATAAATTTCGAAGTTATTTTAACGGTATTGGTTTTTTATTAAATTATACTCTGTAACTTACATTACGCTTATTAAATAAACTCATATAATAGAGTGCCATGTTTAACAGTCGATGTACGCTACATAATCTGATAGAAATGAACTGATCTTGATTAAATCGCCAATGGTATGCCTTGTCGATATATTAATTTGTGATACTTTCATTTTTTGATAATGAAAATGTTAGTTGAAATAATCGGACCTAATACAGTTATAAAATTTCTATGGACTTTGTAGTCAATTTCCTCTGCTTGAGCTTTAAACACGTCGTCTCTGGAATAACAATTATAAAGCGCGAGTAATGGAACTGCTGTACATCGAAAGAATACCACTTAGCTAAACTTCATTAAGTAGAAGCTGCAGTTTAAATTTATTTAACCAAAACTCTATAATTTACTTACTACTTTATCCACGACTACGCAAATTGAGTGTGAATTCCTATGAATTATATACATATTTTGCGTAATTACATATTTACAATAAGCGTTTGTCAGTTAAAATGAAGGTACGCGAATCACTTTACTACTTTCATAGCTATCATGTAGAACTGAGGTGCATGACAAGTAAATATATGAACTAGGGTGGTCCACCCTTATCGCTTAGGGGTATGGAAAATAGATAGTAGCCGATTCTCAGACCTACTGAATACGCATATAAAATTTGGTAAAAATCAGTAAAGCCGTTTCGGAGAAGTACGGTAACTAACATTGTGACATGGAAATTTTATATATTAGATTTTACCGCGAATCTATTAATTACATATCATTACGGTCTTGGTCATTGCTAATTTATCACACGGCATTTTTGAAACTGCAGCTAATTCAAAAGGCTACGTGATTTTTATTACGTCTCTATTAGTGTAAGTATGCCCGATATAACATACATACTAGCAGAATTTCCGGGCTTTTTTTTATTTTATATCTAAAACAAATTACCTTGCATCTTTGCTACCTCTTGCCATTCTTTTTTTTATAAAAATGCTTCAGTGAGATCATGCTTGATCAATAATCTTAAATATAGTCAAAAGAAGCAATTGAATTATAATATACCGCATGTTCGTTAACACAATATTAAAGATCTAAACTAAAATAGTGTTCTACACTGTGCTACTGATGTAAATAACAGAGGTAATAGGCACGAAATATTAGGTCACATTTCAGTTAGTGCCTATTTAGAAGATGCTCGATTAGAATACACAGATTGACAGAATATTTATAAATAAAAAAATAATTATAGACACATGTTGTTTCTTACTCATTAAAGTGTTATATTATATAAATAACAGATTATCACTTTCCTTATACTATTTCAATGTGAATACTTTGTATTACAAAATCTTTAATTGTCAATACTTTTATAATAAAATATATCATATCAGATTGAGGTCGCCGCGTGAAGACGATAGATTGCACAGCTATGTATCGATTCATATGATTATACCCTTGCTTCACCTTGGCTTCGATTAGTTATTAACACGTGGAATATGGACTACGGAAATAGTTTTCCTTTGATTTTGTACTATGGTTTATTAAGTTGACACCAGATTACGATATCATCTGAACCAATTACGTATCTTTTTTTTAGAAGAATATATAGAAAATTAATATAATTAGTATGGAGAAAATATGCAACTCTAATGAGATGATGTACATTTACATGAGTTAGATTACACATAATATGTACGTAGAAATCTGCCGTTAATAAAGACTGAAAGAAAACGTGATGTATGTAATTCTAATTAAGTACATACCTATAATAAAATTCTATCAGAGTCGAATCTGTAGATTAAATATTATTTGGAAATTCTTATTAAAATAGTCATTATTATCGACACAGATGCCGAATCTATAGTTTTTAGAATGTTTGCCTGTCTATCTGTCTGTCTGTCTGTGACCGTATCACGGAAAAACCACTGGAGGGATTTTGATGAAATTTGATATAAGTAATAATATGGGATTTTTTCTTGTTTTCAAATGTCATTCAAACTCGTACCAACGGCAAATATCACAGCTGCAATGATCTCCTTATATATTACATTACATTATTTCGCGGTGTAAGCGTCAGATGAACGTAATATATATTTTCTCAATTTTACAGGAGAGCAAAAATACTGGGTAAATTCGCCACTTCAAACTTTACCAGCTTTTTAATAGTGATAGTATACAATTAACGAAATAAATATATATTATATATATATATATATATATTGATATATTGGCATACTATTAGAGCTCAGAAATAGTGAACATTTTATTTATTTATACAGGCAGGCTTACATAGACACAGTATACATTTTTTTTTTCGGTTGACATACGTTAGTGTGGCTCTTACCATTTTTGAAACTTTTTGTTGTTAACGTACTTAAAATTTACATCGCTAACCAACCCGACAGACATTTTCCTTAAAAAATCTATAGCGTTTACAGTTTCTCTCGAATTTCCTAATTATCCGGGCAGCTTCAATTTTTTTCCCAAAACCTTATTGTAGCTATTACGTATATTTAAAAAAAAAACAAAATTCAAAAATTAAAAAATCGCCCGGCCGCTGGCAAGTTATGCGCTTACCAACGAACATAATTTCGTTTTTATTATATAGATAATTTATTATTATTTTACAAAAACAAGTGTTTAAAGCACTCCCAAAATGCAGACGCACAATAAAAATATTTTAAATATCAAGATAACCTTTTGTAACTTTTTAAAAATCTAGTAAAATGCTTGTAATTTATAAAAGAATCATAATAATTATTACATAATGATTTCATAAGTTTTATTCCAGGCCAGTTCTCTCGTTGTTTAAGTTAGTGCAGTTGTCTATAATTATTTTAGGTTAAATGTGGAAAAATAATGATAAATAATGCATCGATGAACAAAGTATATATGTAACTAGCATTTCCCGCGGCTCCGCCCGCGTTCAGATGACCAAAAACCAAATTCTTAGGTTTTACATTTTTTTATTTTTTCTCAGAAATTAGATACTTTCCCGTGGTAAAAAGTATCCTATATGTTGACCCGGATAACCAGCTATCATCATACCAAATTTTATCAAAATCCCTCCTGTGGTTTTTCTGTGATGCGGTAACAGACAGACAGACTAAAAACTATGGATTCGGCCTCTGTATCGATAATAATGTTTATTTCAATATGATTTTCCAAAAAATATCTAATGTACAGATTCGCCTTAGTTACAATTTTATTATATGTATAGATTGTATGTTATAATTTGTTATTAAAATATGATAATGCGGATGCGGGGTCTTACACTTATTATCAGCGAAACTCAACGTAATCGGTACAAAATAGTACAAGTTCGCAATCAAATGGAATTATCTATATAAATAAACTTCACGTTTAAATGCTGTTTGTTGGTAAGCGGATCACTTGAGAACGGTTGGACCGATTTGAATTTTTTTAAATGCTCGTAATAGTTTCAATTGGGGGAAGAAATTAGCAAGTATATAGGGAAATTCGGAAAAAACAAAAGTATTTATTTGTACGAATTCAAAGATCATAGCCTTCCTGAGGACAGCTTAAATACGTTAAAATAAAAGCCACTTTACATGCTATTGTGACATTGTCCCTAAAGCCTGGACCACTCTTTGTAGTAGAAAAATATCCAACAGGAATGACTTGTGCCGGTATAAAAAGTACTTTGCCACTATTAAACATGCCGACTAAGTCTACTGCTTCGTTTGTGCTTGAATGAAGGTAAAACAAGATTACCGATAACACACTAGCATATATAATAAGTATATCTTTTATTATAAATTGTAAAAAAAATATTTCGCGTATTTAAATACTATTGCGCAAATATTACCTATATGTTGTTGATCACTATCTTAACGCACAACGAAGACGAAACAAAAACTGTGATGTAGTGGGAAAAATACGTTGTGTTCAATAAATGGAATGAAATTATGTAGTGAACTTAGTTATTAGGTTACGTATAGGTGTAGTTTGTCGATCTTTAAACGACATAAATTATGTATGATACAGAGGCCGAATCTATAGTTTTTAGAATTCTTGTCTGTCTGTCTGTTACCGCATCACGAAAAAACCACTGGAGGGATTTTGATGAAATTTGGTATGATTGTAGCTGGTTATCCGAGTCAACATATAGGATACTTTTTACCGCGGGAAAATGTCTCAATTCTGAAAAAAAAATACAAAAACTGCAATGTAAGAGTATACTAATATGTAAAACCTAAGAATTTGGTTTTTGGTCAGCTTAACGCGGGCGGAGCCGCGGGCAATGCTAGTTGTATTATAAAATTGTAAAAAAAAGTAAATCGCTTTAAAGCCATTAACAAAAAAATTGAATTAAGTTGAAAAAGTAAAAGCACACTACTTTCTAGTAGTGACATTTATATTCCAGTTAAAGACTGGTCCGACAGTCCTATTTTAACACAGGTTATATTATAATATTATATTCATTATGTAACATGGCGTAAAGGATACATATTATTTGATAATTTTACATAAACTAGTTTTATTAAAGTCACGTTTGACAACCTTCTTTATCGCATTCAAAGGAATTTATGAAGACGTGTTGCTTTAAAGTCTTATAAGTTTAGTTTTCGAACGATATTATATTGAATAATTTTTAGTCTCACATACACATTTTTAGAATTTAATTATATATATATATATATATATATATGTATGTATGTATATATATATACATACACCTATATGATGTAGTAAAATACACACCTACCAGTAAAACTATTAAGACGGTTATTTTTATCGAGTCATTTAAGAATTCGCCAGTATCCAAGGCATGTTTCGAAGTAATAATAATTAATAAATTTATGGTTTTCACATTTATGGCTACCTGGTCCCATGGTCAACGGGACTGTGACTTGCCTTGATGGAGCGAGATCGTTCTGTTTAAGTACAACAAAGGCGCATTACCTTAAGAGGCCATTTCTCCCTTGTCAGCACCATTAAGCCATATTATTTATTACTAAAAGAAAATTTTTATATAGGGCTGATATTATAATGTAATAAATGTATTTCTAACTTAGTTGAATGTTAATTATATTAAGAAACGAAAATTATAGATTTTTTTTCTGAAGAAAAAATGTAAATATAGTATATCCCTTTAAAAGGAATTTATTTTACTCATAAGCTTGAAAACTTATAAACGTGATATAAAACCTACTTAGAAAATGCGAAATTAAAACTATTAAATAATACCTATATTATTTAAAACACTTGTCAAGTGTGAACTACTTAATGACTTACCGCTTTTTTTTTTGTTTTAGACGTCAATAACATTTTTAATATTAACTATTATTGAAAAATTGTACCTGTACAATAGAACTGATAATATTTTTTATTTAATACATCCTAGTATATATGGTAAGTCCCTACTTGCCTTCGGTTCGCTCGGGTGCTCTAGGTTATGTTTTAATTTTTTTGAGCGGAACCCTATTTTTTTTCCAAAATAAAAGTAGCCTAAATTACTCCTTTTAAAATCACCCATTTTGGAGATAGCCGGAATATACAGACAAACAAAAAATATTAAATTGTGCTCTTCTTAAAAGTTACATATATAAATTCATATTTAGTAAAAATCTGTTATTTTGACATTACAAATAGACATTTCAATTTTATTTATCTGTATAGATTAGACACAAGCATGCATATTGGATATGAACGTCATATAATTATATACCATGTACATATATTAAAATATCGGAAATTGTATAGCGCAGTGTACGGTCAGCCTTAACCACTGAATGAAAGACGTTACTAAGGATAATTAAAACCGAGAGTTATTTTGCCGTACTTTTACCTAATCCTCTTTGCAAAGCCTTCTCAGTTACAGACTTTAAATGTAAAGTATCTACATCTAATAGAACACGAATGAGTTTTATGTTTTCTCTTGTTGCAAGATAATTTCTCATGACAGAGCTTAAATATTTCTTTATGCGTAATATAATAAAATAAGTAATGGAAATTATCTTAAAAAGGAAAATATATATCGAGAGTATAATATATTATATATTAGATATAATATGTCAGTTGTTGTTTGCATAATTAGTTTCCGGCCATAGAATGGGGAAGATTCTTTGAAATTCGTTAAATTAATGTTACGGATGCTCATTATTATGAACTAGCGACTCACCCTCGCTTCGCTCGGGTTCGTCCCTAGCTTGATTCCCAATTCAAACTTTCATCTTCATTTTCACCCCCTTAAGGGATGATTTTGGGGATAAAAAGTATCCTATGTCCTTCTCAGGGTCTCAAACTATCTTCTTACCAAATTTCATCTAAATCGGTTCAGTAGATCCAGAGATTACCCCCTACAACGTCACAATCTCACAAACTTTACCTCTTTATTATATTAAGTATAGATTATTATTAATTATGAAGCGAATTAGGTGTAATTAATGAATAATATCAAAATACACGTGTTTGATACTATTGATCCCAGCAACAAAAACTAGATTAAAATTGTAAATTACAATTATTTAATAACTTGTAATTGTTTTAGCGATTTCGAGCAACAATTATCACCTTTCCTCATCCAAAATTCTTGTGATGAAGAATTGCCAGCACCTGTTCTGGAACCCATGAGTCCGGGTAACGCGCAAGATGTCATTATACAGGATTCAAATGACACGTCGAACAGCTCTACAGAACAGGACACATTCGATATGCTAGATTTCGAACAGAATGTTGTGCCTGGCTTCCTTAATAACAATACATTCCAAAGTCCTGGTAAGTTGGTCATATTTAGTTTTAGTCAAATCTTATTTTGTTTAATGTAACTTAGATTCGCTATACATAAGTAGTAAGTATTGAAAAACAAAAATTTTATACATAATATGTATATCTAATCGTTAAAGTTATATCTTAAAAATTAAGCTGTCTCGATGAAAGTTTTCATCTTTTCTAGTCGAGCTTTTTGTCTTGAAAGTATGAAAAGTTAGATCCTTTTAGTATGATAGAGAATTCGAAACTTTTACTGCTGACGTGTTAACGTATGTTTAACTTTGCTCTATAATTTTACCATTAGGTACCTCTTTAATGTATCGCTAACTCAAGTAATAAAGCATATTTTATAGGAATTCTGTTGAACAACCTATTTTACGGTGCTGTTATCTAATTGTAAAAAATAATAAAATTTCAAGGTTCTCATTCATTTAAACACGTGTTTTTGAATACTTAAACGCCCTTGAATTTTTTTTTGATTGAGTACTTGAGTAAATGGGTTTTGAATTGAGTACTTAATGTAAGTTTTGTGGACACATTTTCTGTATTGTATTTTGGTAATGTCAGAACAAAACAATATTTAATTTATTATTATTTAATTTAAATGCTATGTTTCATTTGCTTATTAAATTTTCTATATAAAATATCTATATAAAATAGATTACTTACCTCATCATGTTTTCTGTTACGAATTACGATGCTTATATATATATCTTAATAGACTATATGAATCATAAAAAACATAAAGAATAAGCAACTGAATAAACACCTGTATAACGACGTTATTTTATTTTACCTAATACGAATATAATGTGTAAAATTTATCATAAAACCGACATAATAATGATATATGCTAAATGGGCACAAATCTTTATTTCTTAGGTAAAGGCAGAAAGCGTCGTCTTTCGCAAACACCACCGGTCGTTCAACCTAAAGTTCAAAAACCTATAAGGTTGCCAGCTTCCGCTATGCAAAAACCTCAATTGGTAGTGAAGGCGCAACCTCAGAAGCACCTTAAAGTGACGAATATACAAGTAATCAACCCCCAGACAAAAGTTTACTCAAAACCGGTAGAAACAGTTGCGCCACAACGAAGAGTTATCAGAGTTGCACCAATGGCTGGCAACCCTAGATCAATATTACTACCTGTAACGATAAAAGACATGAAAGATTTGAAATCCATCAAAATAATAAATGCGGCGGATTTGAAAAATGCTTCCAATATCAAAATCACGGCAGCTAATATCCTATCGCAAAGTAAACTGCAAGATCTCAAAATCGAAGCCCGAAACGACGATTACGAACAAAATAACCATTGTGGTAAGTATATGCCGCTCTTATTCAAAATTTAACTTTATTCGCCATGAAATAAGATCTAAAATTATGAAATTGTGTGTTCATAGTCCAAAGTAAATAAATTGAGAGTTCTATTACAACTTCATAAGGTTCACATTAAAACGTACTTATTCCACTAAATAATCTTGTTATCTTTCGCGTTTTCATACAAAATTGAACTTAATTTCTACAGCAAAAAGATCAAAAGTTGTAGTGACTTCGTAGTGTATACGAAACGTTTATATTTTTTAAAGAAGGTTCTTTTAGAGTATTTTTCAGCTACAGAAACCGTTTGCTTATTTGACTATTTTGTTAGCTTCAATAATGACTGAATGCAATCTCAGTACTTTAACTGATTGGTGTCAATTGTTTTCATTTAGAAGTATATACCTACGAATCGTTTAAATAATCTGTCGGTGAAATTCGGTCATTGGACTTTTAAATATTTTTATAGGAGCGTTGAACCCATGTATTGATGGGGGACTTTTTTGCGTATATGTTGTAATATTATATTTTTATTGCTTCAAAATGGTAGTAATAAATAGTTGATACGATCCTGTAATAATAACGGCCTTATGAATTATTAGCAATCGATTTCGCCGTGATTTTTTTAATATAACACCCAAAAACTTTGTCTTTCTCACGCCTTTAGGGGCTGGCTTTCAAAAAATGGTAACATAATCAACCCTAGAAACTTTATAAGTATATTATATTATACAATATTCTTCATTTCGTATAATAACTAAGGCTGATATATTATAATAATAAGTTCTTTTTGTAAACATCCCACTGCTGGGCACGGGCCCTCCCTCAATGTGAGGAGGATTAGGTCACAGGCAATCACGTTTATCAAGTGGAATGGTGGACTTCACACATTTTTCTAGTTAAGTTCTCTCAGACTTACTGGTTTTCTCACGATGTTTTTTCTTCACCGTAACTTACTCGTAGTACGGCTATCTCTAACTAACTTTTTTATTTCTTGGAATCAAAAATTTTATTTCTTACAAACTTGGTATGCTGGGTAGTGGGTACATATTTTTTTAGTGAACAAAAGCGTATTGTTTCTCTGAAAACCAACTTTTTTAGGACGTTACCGGTAGCTTTATTTATAAAATTTCCTTAGGATTTTGATCTTAAATATTTTATTGGTACATTGAACTTGGCCACTTTTTACATGTATATATTTACAACAATGTATTAATATAAATGCCTTGATTCAACACTCACCGTGTGTATTTTTTAACATTCAAGCAAGGTCGCTGTAAAAAAATATCCTACTTTAGTAGTATCACTTCGTATTATTATTGAAAAGTATATTTTTACGATAATGACTTTCAACGACATTAACTGTAGATAGTCGGACTAGAGTATCTTTTTATAAATAATATAAAGATTATGAATTTGCTATCTGCACTTTCATATTGATGCCACCAATGTTCCTCATACTTTTAACACAATGTATATATATTTTTGACGATCGTATGTACCGTCGTTGAATAAATTTCTTTATAGTTGGTACATAAACTATAAGACCCTACAACTATACAACTATACAACTGTCAACGAGAAAAGATGGACAAACTGACAAACACTTTCGTATTTATAACATAAGTAAGGATTAAATTTTACTTTACACTCAGATTAAAGAATTATATAGACGGAGCCCGCCATAATAAATGTCTAAGTCAAAAATTGTAGCGAGATTAACTGTTTTTGCTATTATTGTCGATTTTTTACTTTAATTAAATAATATGGGAAGTTTTATATATGTACATATTAGTTAAATAAATATACAATTTTTGAAAATAAAATATGAATAATAAAAATAGCCTATTTTTATTCTTATATAAGCGTAATTCTCTTCCCCTTGAAGGCGAGATAGCATAATATTACCATATTTAATTTTTTTTCTTGATTATAATAAAATCAGCTATGTTTATTTATTCACATTTATTTACTTATCACTCATTCACTTATTCATTCATTCATTTGTATACTATTTTAAAACATTATTGTTTGGCTTCATGTTTAGTTCTATGACCCTCGGTCTATATTTTCCTTAATCTGGGATTTTAAAGTTAATATATGTATTTAAAACGATATCGTCAATAATAAAACAACTCGTGTAATGTTTGTGCTGAAGTTTACGGTGTTGCTAATTTAGTTCGTAATGGTTTCGTAATACATAATTATAATTCACTTAGATTATTTCATTTTAGAAGTTTTGAATTTCATTTTAGAAGTTCTTTTTGATTATATATAATAGTAAATGATTTTGATACAATTCTGTATAATAAATGCTTATTATGTACGTGAATATTAAACAATCTTCAATAGATATGGATTATCAAATAGATATGAATTGAAAGTCAAAACGCTTACTACGCCCCTAATATAGGAAGTATTTGAAATATTATTTGTTAAGTATTAGTTTGGCCAGGCATTTGTTTTAGTTGGGGGGGCTCAGTAGTGTACTCGCGAAGCCAAGAAACGCACAGGTAGGTGGCCCGCTTCGGTGGGCGGTGGGAGGCGGCCTTCTTCGGAGGGTGGTGTACCATGCGGGTTGCTCCTGGTACTTCTCTGATAGCAGAGTGGACCGTGGAGCAACCCCATGGTTGTTGTGGTCTGCTTCGGCAGACCTGCCGTCGGGGCGTCGTAGTTGAATGCGTAAGCGATCCTGCGACGCCCCATTAAGACGGGGGAAGGTTTTGTTGGGTTTTAGTGGGTAGTACTGGCTTCGCCGGTGAGTCCCACACTTCGTGCGTAAATGCATTTCCCAACGTTAAAAAAAAAAAAAGGCATTTGTTTTAGTTGCTTAATAATATATAATTACAAAAACAAAAATAAATCTATCACACGGGAACCGTAAATTTTTCCGTGATAAAAAGTAACCTATGTGCTATTCCAGACTATAATCTATCTCTGTGCCAAATTTTATCCAGATCCGTTCAGCCGTTCTGGCTTGATTGAGTAACAAACATCTATCCATTAATCCTCACAAACTTTCACATTTATAATATTAGTATGGATAGAATAATTATATTTATTCAGTTTTTTTATTATAAGAAAATTTAGGTGATACAGTAAAAATAACAAAGTAAATAAACTAATAAAAAAGCAATCTCTTTTAGATGACTCAGGTAGCGACCGTAGTGACGACGATGACGATCATAAGGAAACACAAATTAACGACGGCAGGAACGGCTATCCCCGTCTCGTTCTAACTGCAGAAGAAAGGCGGCTGTTAGCAAAGGAAGGAATATCATTGCCAACCAGCTATCCACTAACCAAACACGAAGAGAGGGAACTAAAGAGGATCCGACGCAAGATTAGAAATAAAATCTCTGCTCAGGATTCGCGTAAAAGGAAGAAGGAGTATGTTGATGGGTTGGAAGATAGGTGAGTTTTCGTTTAATTAAGTTATACGAATTTAGGTTGCGAAAGTAAAAAATTGTAATCTCTGGCCTTCAATTGTAAACTTGAAATCAATTTGACAATACAATCTTTGAATGACATTCAAACTAAGAAGAAAAAGGTAGAAAAAGCCAGATCCCACTGATTAAAAACGAAATGGTATTCTATTTGTATACTTTGAATACGGTTGCGGTAATTGTGAGGGGAGTGTAGCGTATAATTATTATTAACTAGCGGCTCACCCTCGCTTCGCTCGGGTTCGTCGCTAGGTACGTTTTAAATAGATATAAAAAGAAAAAATCTTTCTTTCTCACATTTTAATTATATGTTTTAATACTTACCTATTCCGGACTAAGAGAAATCCAAAAATTAAAATATCATAAAAATTGGAACGCGGTCGAACGGGATAAAAAGTATCCTATGTCCTTCTCCTGGCTCTAAACTACCTCCCTGCCAATTTTCAGCTAAATCGGTTCAGCCGTTCTTGAGTTATAAGCGAAGTAACTAACACGACTTTCTTTTATATATATAGATATACAATATTAACATAATAATAATATTATATAATATAAAATAATTTAGATTTTATAAGTTTTCGAACGTCACTTAATTTATATTGTTTTATAATCTGTGTAAATCTGTACCGTTTCCGCCATCATGGCAACACAGATGCTCTCCTGGCCATCGCTAAGACGATTGCTTAAAATTATATATCTCAGGTTAACTTACAACCATCCAGTGTTTCCAACAGTTACAAAATGCAGTTTTTTATTTGTCTCCAATCGCGACAGGAGTTTTAGGCACAAGTCAGATTGACGTATTATTTTATAAACTCCCTGTTTTATTATTTATTTACTGCGAATTCTACTAATATGTATATCTATCTATGGTTTTTGTTACTAGAGGATAGAAACTTGACATTAGTTATGCCAGATTCGTACCGCTAGTAAGATATACTAAAGATAAATAGGTTGATATTAACAAGATAATTGAATTGATAAATAAGGTGGTTTAGATCCGTTCATAATCTGATAGATAGAAAATGTATAACCCTTTGGCTTCGTCGTAGTTGGATATAAACAACGTTAAGTAGTAACAGGTTTTAATCCAGCTTGGGGCGTATATTTATATTAAAAAAAAAATACCTTTAGCAAGATTTTTCTATGTAAAATATATCTATTACTTTCTTAGATTTACGCCAATATTCGACATTTTAAATAAAACTATCTTTTCGGATTTTTTCGCGGATTTATTTTTAGTTTTTGGTTCTCGATCTTTCGAATGCTTTTCAGCAATCATGGTCAAGAGAGAGACTAAGGTTTTAGACGTGTCAAAGGTCACTATATACTTGTTACAGACAGAATCTCCACGAAAAAAATAAAAAAGATGGTTTTATTTCATATATAAATAAGATATCTGTAGAAACTTTATTACTTTTATATGTTTTACAATGTAAATATTTATTATACTGTATATTTCTCTTGAAAAACAAATAAATATATTTATTTCGAAATATTTTATACTAATCTCGATATTGAGTGACGCAAAATAACGTAGCGAGGTTTATAACGATGGAAAGAAACAAACGGAAATGCATAACATACATACATATGTAATCTGTATATGTAGTAATTAAATGGTATTTTGGATACGTCGTTGTGAAACCGATAAGATTATAATGAAGCTGTGTTCAACTCGTACTAGCGTTATCTTTTCTTGAGAATAACTACAGATATAACAGTACTGCTATGAAAATTAAATTTTACGCCTCTCTCGTGATTTTGTAGATATTAGTAATTTAGATAAGTGAGAGTAATATCTATGTATTTTTTTTTATATGAGTATATTTCCCATCTGTTCCTTTATGTTCAAAAATGTAGACCTAATTAATGATTTTATTGAAAAACTACATATTTATTTGTTGTATACTCTGTGCAAATTGGTAGAAACGTTTGTTCTTCACAAAAGTCAAATTTGTGACCTTTATAGGCTATGAAAATGTGCACAATAATGTACCACTGAGCCACAAGCGCTACTTGAATTTGTAACTAAACTACAACTGCTAAAGAATAGAATAAATAAATAAATCATCGTAAATAAAACTAAACACAATATAAAAGAAATAAACAAAGTAACTTCGCTTAACGACTGCAACTTGACTGACTGTTAAAACAATACGCTACAAATTAATTACATTTCCGTACAAAAGTGTAATGGTTTTGTCGAACAATGTGGGGATATTGAAGGTGTACAAAGTAAGTGGGAAGTTGACTCGTGAGGTCACAATTCTCATCTTGACATCTTAAGATTTTCTTATTTAACAGTTTTAATTTTTAAATCGCGAAATTTTATATGCTGATAACATATAATTATAATTAAATGATCTCAGAGACATTAGTCACGGCTGTGATGAGAAAGTTTTGCCAAATATACGTATAAATAGACCGTTTTGAAGCAATTAGATTAGAGAACTTTAAAGAGTGTTCTCACACTGCATTCTGCAAATCTGTCTAATAAATTTTTATATGTACTAAAATACCGACTTGTTATGTGTGCGTTTGCCGCTTTATGAACCCTACTAAAGTATTGGCCAATAGAATGTCTGCAACGTACGGCGGTTTTCAATGCCCGTGATATGTCTCTTTGTTATCAGTAAACGCCTTCAATAGTTAAATCTATACTTATTATAAAAATAAGTCCCCCGGCCGCGTCTTTCTGTCCTCCTGTCTGTCCTCCTGTCTGTCTGTACGCGATAAACTCGAAAACTACTGAACGGATTTTTATACGGTTTTCAACAATAGAAAGAGTAATTCTTGAGGAAGGTTTAGGTATATAATTTATTATGCTTTTATGTAAATTAGCTGAAATACGGCGACAAATGTTGAAGAGGTCGCAAAAAATCTCGCCAAATGGGAACTTTCCACGCGAACGCCGCGTAAACTAGCAAAGATACAGTTAAGTAATGTACTAGAGAATTCAAAATCTATAAAAATGCTACAAAAAAGTCCGCGATAGCATATCTCTATCTCTTACGGTTGACTTACAATAACCACTTTTATGTTAACATTTTTAATTAAAAACATTACGTTATTTTCAAAGTTATTTTCTTTAGTTCGGTATTAATCCTTATCCAAATGAATATTTTAGTTAGCTTAGTCATTTAATGCAGATTAAAATTGCTCTTTACACTAAATCAATCAGATGAATAGTTTTTGAGATATCGTTGTTAGAAGTAATTAGTAGCGAAACATTTTTAATGCTTGGCGAGCATTGAGATGCCTACGGCGAGTCCATCCCCTCTGCCCCGCATCGCTCGACCGCCTGCTCAAGCTATATAAACCGGGCGATGTAGCGCGCGATCCTAGGATACTTTTTACCGCGGGAAAATATCTTATTTCTGAGGAAAAATACAAAAACTGCAATGTAAGAGTATACTAATATGTAACACCTAAGAATTTAGTTTTTGGTCATCTGAACGCGGGCGGAGCCGCGGGCAATGCTAGTATAGGTATATAATATACATGATAAGAACCCAATATGATGTAGTTTAAAGATGTCAAAACTTATTGATACTACACTTTTATTTAAATCATCTTCTTTGTTGCTACTTGTTGTAAATTACTTAGAATACTTAACGAAAGAAGCTATAAGATGACTTTATAATATACGTTTTGGCGTTTAGTATAGATTTCTCAGAGATGACATATTTTCCCGCGGTAAAAAGTATCCTATATGTTGACCCGGATAACCGGCTATCATCATACCAAATTTCATTAAAATTCCTCCAGTGGTTTTTCCGTGATGCGATAACTGACAGACAGACAAAAATTCTAAAATCTATAGATTCTTCTTCTGTATCGATAATAATGTCTATTTCAATAATATTTTCCAAAAAATATTTAATGTACAGATTCGGCTTAGTTACAATTTCATTATATGTATAGACTAGCGGTAGGCATATTTTGACATAATTGGTGTGAAATTGTCGAATATTATTATTAAGGTAAAGCATAGGTAAATCGAATATCCGAATCCACCGTAAATCTATACTTATTATAAAAATAAGTCCCCCGGCCGCGTCTTTCTGTCCTCCTGTCTGTCCTCCTGTCTGTCTGTACGCGATAAACTCGAAAACTACTGAACGGATTTTTATACGGTTTTCAACAATAGAAAGAGTAATTCTTGAGGAAGGTTTAGGTATATAATTTATTATGCTTTTATGTAAATTAGCTGAAATACGGCGACAAATGTTGAAGAGGTCGCAAAAAATCTCGCCAAATGGGAACTTTCCACGCGAACGCCGCGTAAACTAGCAAAGATACAGTTAAGTAATGTACTAGAGAATTCAAAATCTATAAAAATGCTACAAAAAAGTCCGCGATAGCATATCTCTATCTCTTACGGTTGACTTACAATAACCACTTTTATGTTAACATTTTTAATTAAAAACATTACGTTATTTTCAAAGTTATTTTCTTTAGTTCGGTATTAATCCTTATCCAAATGAATATTTTAGTTAGCTTAGTCATTTAATGCAGATTAAAATTGCTCTTTACACTAAATCAATCAGATGAATAGTTTTTGAGATATCGTTGTTAGAAGTAATTAGTAGCGAAACATTTTTAATGCTTGGCGAGCATTGAGATGCCTACGGCGAGTCCATCCCCTCTGCCCCGCATCGCTCGACCGCCTGCTCAAGCTATATAAACCGGGCGATGTAGCGCGCGATCCTAGGATACTTTTTACCGCGGGAAAATATCTTATTTCTGAGGAAAAATACAAAAACTGCAATGTAAGAGTATACTAATATGTAACACCTAAGAATTTAGTTTTTGGTCATCTGAACGCGGGCGGAGCCGCGGGCAATGCTAGTAAATAATAAAACAAAGAGCGTATCAACGAAATCAAAATTACCGCATATGAGAGAATGATAACATAATAATGATACAGTAATATTTCATGGGTTAAAGTTAATTAGAAAGCACCTTGCATCAGTTCCTCTCGTCCTCAACGTGAATCATGGTTTTTATTTCCCATTCAAAACAAACCACGTCGATACTAACGTGTTGGCAGTTTAGCAGCTGCCTGGTGGGTGATTCACACTAGGGTTTTAGTTTAATAATATTTCGTCATGCAGAATCTTCATATATAAGATCATCGTTTTCCTTATATATAATCGAAGATTTTTAACAATTAATACTGCCTAGTTGTTATTAAATAGTAAAAAATATTTGTACCAAAGAATTTAGAATGAAATACAGATTACCATATTTATTTGTCATAATCTTAGAATTACTTAAATGACTAGCATTGCCCGCGGCGCCGCGCCGCCCGAACCAAAACCGACCAAAACCCAAATTCTTAGGTTTTACATATTAGTATACTCTTTTATTGCAGTTTTTGTATTTTTTTTCTCAGAAATGAGATATTTTAAAAGTATCCTATATGTTGACCCGGATAACCAGCTATCACCATACCAAGTTTCATCAAAATCTCTCCAGTGGTTTTTCTGTGATGCGGTAACAGACAGATAGACAGACAAAATTTCTAAAAACTATAGATTCGGCCTCTGTATCGATTATAATAATGTTTATTTCAATAAAATTTTGCAAAAAATATTTAGTGTACAGATTCGGCTTAGTTACAATTTTATTATATGTACATAGATAATAATTCATAATAAGAAAAGACACTTAGTGAGAATAAACATTAAAATCACGTAATTTAAAAAGTTTATTACTGAATTGTACATCTCGAGACGAGATTCAACTTGATGTAACTTCTGAAACGATTTGGAAACTTTTTTGTTTATTCTTGTGATTGAGGAAACCTCAATCCATTTGTTTTTTTTTTAATGTTTTGCTTGAATCATAACAGGAATGATTATAAGACGAGATAATTATAACAGGAAATCAGTACAGATAGATAAAATTGAAGTGTCTGTTTGTAATGTCAAAATTATAGCCTTTTACTAAATGCATAAGAAATTATATACGGTACATACATTTTACGTATAGAATGTATTTATCGAATATGATTCATTTTAATTTTTCTTTCATTTTTGGCATATTAAACGATAGAGCAATATTAAAATATTGTAAAAACGTAATAAATAACAAGTTATTTATTTCAGGGTTAAACAGTGTACCGCAGAAAACCAAACTCTCATACGGAGGATAAAGATTCTGCAATCACAGAACCAGACGCTTACCCAACAATTAAAGAGATTACAGGTATGTTACAATACCATAATATTTAATAATATTTGTGTTTTGTTCATTTAAGTTTATTATAAATCTTTAAATTTGTCTGTTTGTTTACTTGTTTTTAACGACACGGTGGTATTTGATGAAATTGGCTTGGATCTTTGAATCTTGAGGGTGGAAAATGAAATGGAGTAAGAGTATATATGATTTGAAAAAAATACACTGTATATTTCACCATCGCCAAATATTATAAGTATATAATAACAACTAAAATATTGCAGTAGCAGTATGATTGACACTTTCCGCTACAGCGATTTTTGCGGTTAATATGGGTAATATGAGCGGGGAATTTCTAAAAAAACAATTTTAAGAATTTGCACGTGTCTTTCGATGAGATCAATAACATTGACCCATTTTGGAATCTATTCAGTCTATTATATAGATATATATATATATATTTCTTAAATTTGTTTGCCACCAATTTTACCGTATTTTTATAGTAGACCTATTTTAATTTATTATCCTCTAGCTCAATAATGGTTTCATTTAAATTTAAAGAAAAATATTCCATCTCTAAGGGTGAAATTATTTACTAATCCCGTTTGATTTATAAAGGTACACAAACATTTTTAGTTGAACGAAATGAATAAACAAATACAACACTCTCCTAAATTGTGCCGTCATCTTCTAAGTCTTTTCAAAAAGACATTTAAACCACCTTTATTAGATGGGTTCATGGGTTTTGTCTCAAATAATTTTCGCCCATTCTAGAACATTCTAACGGACGTACCCTTTCTAACGCATAAATAATAAATATGTTGGGACATTTACACACAGTACCGTTTAGTTCCATGGTAAGCTACGAGGCTTGTGTTATGGATACCGAATAGTTGATACACTAAATATGTACATATATAACTTTAAATACATACATATTATTAATATAAACTTTAACACCCATGATTAGAGTACACACATCAGTGATCATCGCACAAATGAATGTCCCCAGCGGAACTCGAACCCGCGACCGCCGGCATAGCAAGTACAAACTGAGCCAAACGTGTCGTCAAATTACGTTCATCATTATGTTCATAATCTTTCCGTATTCCAGACCGTTCTGACGGGCGTGACGTCGGGGTCGGGGTCGGGGCCGGGCGGCAAGGCGCAGCCCGCCACGTGCCTGCTGGTGCTGCTGCTGTCGGTGGCGCTGGTGGCGCTGCCCTCCCTGCGCGACGACGTGCGCGCGCCCGCCGGGGCCCCCGCGCGCGCCGGGGCCCCCGCCCCCGCCCCCGCCGGGGCCCCCCCTCCGCCGTCACCAGGGCGCTGCTCTCCGCTACCAATAGTGAGTGTTCTGGTACCTGGACTGCTTCGGCGGCTTCTAGTGGCTGGCATGTACGGTTGAAGATCTGAAGGCCCCGGGTTCGAGTCCTGGGTCGGAACGAATTCAGGCATTGATTATTTCGGTTAAGAAATTCTCAACGACACCGCCAACTTCCCAAGTTTCCGAGCGTTTGGGCGACTATGGAATTTCTATCTTTTTGAATTTTTTCGCGAATTTATTTTGAGTTTTGGTTCCCGACGTTTCGAATGCTTTACAGCCATCATAGCTAAGGAAGAGACTAAGGTTTTAGTCGTCTCTTAGGTCTTCTATAAGGTCATTATATTATATTTCTTACAAATCCGAAAAAATAGTTTAAATATAGATTTAAAATGTCAAATATTCGCGTAAATCTAAGAAAATATTATATCAAACTTCTTTTCACTCTATCAATATAGCATTTGTTACAATTAATTTTTCTTACTGTAGTTCTTATTGCATTATAACACAATTGATTTATTGATTAACGTAAATAGACTCTTCTGTATACAACTAGACAAACTTACTCATGTTTTTGTATTCGAGAAGCAAATTGTAACAATAAATTTATATAATGATTGAAATGGCGCATTTCAGTTACGTAGATGAAAGTTTGATTGTCGGCCGAGCGTGACGCGGCGACGGTCGGTGGCGGAAATTTTGCCGTTAGCTCTCATTTTTAATATCTTTTTCGTAAAAACTGTATAATTTAGAGAGTAATTAAAAATATATATATTAATTTTACAGTTCTATGCTTTGTAAGTTTTGCGATGTTGGGTTTAAAATTTTGTTGATTATTATTTTTGACCATAGTAGGTAATTAGTTTATTTTATTTGGCGAATTATTTAAAAAAATATTTACTTATCTAATATAAATTGTTACTTATTTACAATGTGTTAGGTTAAAGTTTATAATTTTTTTTAACGAATACCTTTATTTTATTTACGGCAAAAAGCTAACTAACTTGGTCCATAACATATAGAAAGTAAATGGCTCAAAAAATAATTGGTCATTAGATTCATTTCTGGTGGCACTTTCTCTATTAAAAAACTCCAATAGGGTCTCATCACAAGCAACAAAAGCCACATAGACACCAATGAATATTTTTTAAATAGAGTTCTTCTTTAGAGTCACGGGTAGCTAACCTTAACTCATCTAAAACGCAATGCCTAGAATTAATATGTTATATATTATATAATTGTCGTATGAAGGATTTAATGTATTTAATTTGTAATACTAGAAAAATATTCCTATAATAATAATATTTATTATACATAATAAAAAATGTGTTATTCACAGAAATGGCGTTGTTGGACGAGACGGTGATAGACGACGGGGAGTTCAACATGGACGAGCTGATCACGTTCCGGGCGCACTCCGACCACGACTACCAGGTGGTGCGGTGCGACGCCGGCGACACACCCGCCGCGTACGTCGACCTCCCCATAGACGAGGACTGGCCCCCGAGCCTCAAGAAACGCATCAAACCCATACAATTCGATCTAGACGACGGCAAAGACTACATACCGCCCATCGTCAAACAGGAGAACTATCAAAACTACAAAACCGCACCGAAATTGGAAAACGACGACTACAACGATTTCATAGCTAACTCGATAATGAACACGGGACGAAAACTAGGCCTAGATTTTCCAGTTCCAGTCAAAAATGAAGATATTGTTATAGAGGAAATATCCGATTTTGATACCAGAAATAATTTTACGGAAGTCAAAAGTTTTGTTGTTGTTAATGGTACGGCGAATGAGTTTTAGTTTTCTTTTTTCTCATATTAATATTTGCAAGGAAAAATATTGTAACTTTGTATTGTATATAAAATTGTACCTTTAATATATGAGAAATTCTTTTTTTTTTTAAATTACGTCCATACTCAGCTACAACGTTGTTCCTTGCCAGTGTTGATTTGGTCAACATGCCGATTTCATTATTGATATCGGTGTTTTTTTTTCTATACATTTTAACATATATTTTTTATTCAGCTTCTCGTATGCGCTATTCCTATCAGATTTTATTTTATTATAATTTTATACACATATTTTCTATATTCAATGAAATTATTTCTTGATTTACTTTAAGGTGAAGTGTGGTTCCATTTTTTATAGTTTTAATTTTAATATATCTCTTATATATATGTAAATGTAGAAAAATATTATATAGATATTGATTTTTTTTTAAGACTTTAAATAATTCATTTTGTTTACAATTATCGAAAAATTCCATACATTATGGTATGAGTTAATATTTTGACCCTGTTCTCGATGTTGAGTTCTTTGAATCGAATGCTAGATCATGAAGGACTTAGGTTAAGTATTACTTAGTTGTAAGTAACATTCAGAACATAATACGTTATATATTTATTTTAAATCAAAATTAATATATCGATAAATTTATTTTTATTATATTAGATAAAGTTTATACAACTTCGTCATGTCATTAGTTGTATAGAATAAGTTTCGAAGCATTTTCGCGTTATGACTTGGTGCAATTATTGTAAGTTAATAAGTACTGTTCGTCAGTGGTAGGTTTTATTCAGCTAAGCATTAATTATTATAACTGTCCTTACGTGTAAGGCCTTATTCCTTAATTAAGTTAGAATTGTGTCGAATCATGAAATGTTGGATTGGAATACAATTGTTATTTGAAATAAACTGTGACATAATATTGGTCTTTTTATACCTTAACTTTATCGGATAGACATGTCTGTTTTTTTTATAATATAGATTTTTTATAATAAACAAACTTCAATAATTATATGTAGTGCTCATCATTAATGGATGCACTGTTGATATAATTAATATCATGGGCTATTTTTGTTTGCTTGTCTAGATAATAGGTGTCGTTGATCCGCTAACTGTCGAACTTGACTAATATATGAAACTTTCTATTCTTTTTTTATAATGCTTTAAACATTGCCCGCGGCTCCGCCCGCAGATGACCAAAAACCAAATTCTTAGGTTTTACATATTAGTATACTCTGTCTCTGACAATGCAGTTTTTGTATTTTTTTCTCACAAATTAGATATTTTCCCGCGGTAATAAGTCTCCTATATGTTGACCCGGATAAACAGCTATCATCATACCAAATTTCATCAGTCCAGTGGTTTTCTCGTGATGCGGTAACAGTCAGACAGACAAAAATTCTAAAAACTATAGAATCGGACTCTGTATCTAAGAAATCTATTGTTAACTGTAACGCCGGCGTGGCCGCGGTCGTGGAGGGTTTAACATAGGGTCTTATCAGTGTTGTAGTGTGTGCTCGACCCTGCAACGCCCCATTGCGCTGCGGCGACGGGTTCCGCTGTGGGTTTTAGTGAGTAGCAGTCTCAAGTACCCTACAAGTAGACAGCCGGCAGGGTGACTGCCCCATGATAGGTTTCTCCAACGAAAACAAGTGTCTTATCAGTGTATTCCTAAATTTAGAGATTTTGAAATTGCTTTGCACACCTATCTAACATTTTATTATATGCAGGATATCAAATTAGTACATTCTTTGTGTTTCTACTTGCTGATTTAACAGCATACAATTTTTACCGCAAAAACGCGAGAATATAGTAACTTTAAGATCGACTGTTTTTTTTAACGTTAATGCGTTTCATTCTGGAGAGTAAAACGTCAAATTTAAAACCGTTAATATTTCTTAAAACGGGCTTATACTTTTTACACGACTAACTTATTTTTGTATTAATAAAGTACAAATATAATGAATAAAACAAATATCTTATAATAAGCTTTATTTAATTATGAGTTAACAAATATTTTCGTATTTTTGAAAACAGGTTGTGACCTTAACTGAATATAAGTCAAATTGCGTATGCAAATGTACATGTTACAGAGAAAAAAAAATAAACACAGACAACTTTTTCTATGATAATGAATATTTATTTATATAGATAGGTACTTAACGATAAGGATTCAATTCAGTTTCAAAGCATCATGTATTATAATACAAAGTTAAATAACTATAGCTCAAAACTCCTCCGTTCAAGCGCCGACAGAACACGACTTACTTAGTAAGCGAAACTTTTAAAATTATAATTTAAATTAACTACACAGTACTCGCCGCCCGCCACGACTCCGCCACGACTCGGCCACGACGCGGGCGACACTCACAATAAATACCCACGTATTCCATTCGCATTAGAAATTACTTTGAAACAATATAGTGGTGCCTTAAAACGTTTATTGTGATAATATGAAGCTTTCGAAATGCGACGTCGGGTGTGTGTCGAGATTACACTCGAGTCTCAACGTGTTTTGCCAGACCCGTTTATTCCATACTTTCCTCTCATTCAAATTCAAAATGAAGAGATAAAAACTTAAAAGTTAATATATAAAGTTATTTGAATTGTATATTTTAATTAGAAATAGCTATCCCAGTTCTAATTCCGTCCGAGTGGACTCCACGGGCGCTGGCAGCATCGCGACGTCCACAAACACACGTAGACTCATCGTTCGCGTTTAGAGATCACACAATTTGACTTTGAATTTCAATTATCCACTCTAATTTGATTATTCTATCTAGCAAATAGAAAGTAACAATTAGGTACAACTATGAATTAATTTTAAGACTTACTTTTACATTCGGTTAGATATACTGCGACGTGTACAATAAGTATACGATCTATTCAACGAGGGGATAATCTTGTTTATAATATTATATCAAAAACTCATCCAGATTCAAAAACGTTCCGCTTATACATATCAATAATTGCATTCTATACCATCTCTAAAAATATGAGAACGACACAACAGGGTGTTCTTATTTAAAAAAAAAAAAAAACGTTCTCAGCCGACAGAATGAAGGACATTGTGATGACTCGCGCCGTCTGTAGGCCGCCTTCGATGTCACGTCCCAAACAAACCTTACCCTACGCGATGCACGAATGAATTGTTGCCGTTTTGTATAAAAGCAATATGATACAATCGTGTTGTTCCTAAGCTGTACATTTATACACTAACGAGCCACTGCGACCGCGGGCGTCCCGCACTCAGTCTATTCACAATTAGATATTAAATTCTAATGATTAATTTTGTCTTTGCACGTGTAAAAGCCGCGACCGACGGGGAGTGAAACTGGCACATAATGAAACCTTGGAATGTCCCCGAAAACGCGGCAATCGTTAACGTTACTACTAGCGTAACGTAAACTCTTCGATAGTCGATATCGAATGATTAAAACAAAATGACAGTACGAATTGACTCGAGCACGCACGCGCGCGATGTTCCGATCAGTCTTGTAGATGCCATTCACTCGGAACCTAGATTGATACAAACGATGCTTGATACTATTATGATTTAACACATTAATTATTGCACGTATATATATAAAATTTACGAATCACATCACACTTAGACCATCAGTTCGTCACAAACGCGTATCGGGAAAGATCCTATTATATGATTGCGCCAAACTGTCACTAACTAAAAAGAGGCATAAATAAAAAGTGAGTGACGCTGCGTCTATAGGAACGGGCCGATGCGTATGTTACAAGTGATTGCAACAAATCAACTTATTAAGATGACTAAATAAAATTATATCTAGAATATGCATATGACGGGCGACGTGTTGAGCTTTGATTGGAACCTAGAACCTTCTATTTATACTGTTTTCATATGAGCACGAGCGAACCTCCCAGAACTTTGCCACTCCACCGCCCAAGCTCAACACTCCGCCCACACGTTTCCAACAACACACAACTTAGTACATTTCACGATATCTATATTATGGTAATTCATTACTTACGAAACGTAATCGTATAATTACAGACAGAAACTATAATAATGAACTCACAGTGGGGTCTAACATCACTGCACTACTCGGGAATACAACTAGTTACAACTACGGCCGTTCATCATGTACTGTTTGTTCGAGAAATGAGAATCTGCCTCGCTATTGTGACTGATCGTATAATTAATCGATTATTTCGATTCGATATCACAACTATCGAATGCAGTACTATTCGATTGGATCGGATAACATCGATTATTATTTTCGTCAGTCTCAATCGAAAGGCTGGAATGAATGATATTATTTTGTTCGAGAATGATCTGGAATGGAGTTCTGATGAATGAGGCAAAACAATTTAGTGTTATCTGAACAAATAAATAGAATTGACAAGTTTCAAAACGAAACGTATACTACGGACGGGAACACAAATGAAAACCAACCGCACCTCGAATATTATGTACAAAATTGCTTTGGAAATTGTGATAAATAAAGTTTTCTTTTAACAAATTCTACCAAAAAACAAAACTTAACAGAATATTTCATTCATTTAAAGTGTAGTTTTGTCTCCGGGCGTTTGTTTGTAAATCCGTTCACGGCTACTATTCTATTGTACGAGTGGGAAATAGTAATTGCAACGGTATTCGATATTCGAATCGATATGGAACATTCTAGAACTGTAATGTCAGCTGTATTAAAATATAACTGCTCCTATATATAATACCGATAGATAATACATCGATTAGGCATTCCTCGCAATCTACTGAATCAATTTAGTTTAATCGAAATTCAAAGTAAACACTACACTAGCGAAATTTTGAAATTATGAGAAAAAAATATATAGAAAAATGCTTTTGTAATACAAAATAACGTTTTTTTATCATTACTTGTTTTGTTGGTTATTGTACATTATGTTTGGACGTCAAGAAGGTTTTACTTCGACTTGTTTATTGACAAATCTAACATATTTAAAGTTCTAAAATCACGAACCCCATACAATATTTAGTTTTATCAATAACTTTATCAAAGTTTCTTACATTAAGTATAAACGGTAGCTGCCTGACCGACTGAATTGATACCAACTGAAATACCAAATAATACAATATATGTCAAGTTTTTTAACAAGTGCAGATAAAAAATAGGATTGTAAATAGCGTCACCTATACTCACTTCTTACTTATAATCACCCGCCGGAACAATTACCGGCATTTATTACAATTCATTATACTGTTATGTATATTTAAATACATGAAACATGATCATATTTGAGAAAAATTAAAGCAAACCATCAAAAATATTATACGATTAAATATAAAAGGCTCTAAAATGTTCTCAAATCACACTTGGAAACTACCATAACACGTGACAATATATAACGTGCGTCATTAAATTATAAGCGAGAAATAGTTTTCAATATGTTATTTATGAATTAATTTATTACCACAGACTTTATTATGCATAACAACCAAGTTCCATGAACCACCATGTTCAATCCCATTCTCTATCTGCACAGGTATTATGTACTGAGATCTATACACAGAGTAGGTTTTGTGGAAAAAAATATTAAGACATATATGACGTCATCATACTTCTATCTGAGCATGTGTGTAATTAATTATGATTCTTATTTACATACATTTAATCTAAAATTGAAGTGTCTGTTTGTAATGTCAAAATAACAACTTAATGCATATGAAATTATATATGGTACTTATAAGAAAAACACAATTTTTAACATTTTTGTCGGTCTGTCTGTTTGTTCTGAATAATCTTCGAAACAGCTGGACAGATTTTGACGGGACGTTCACTGACAGATAACTGATGTTATATGGAGTATATATATGGAGTAACTTAGGTTACTTTAATTTTAGACTAAGAATTAGGGTTCCGCTCAAAAAAAAAACGTACCTAAGGACGCACCAGAGCGAAGCGAAGTTGAGTCGGTAGTTTACGAAATATAAGTGGTCATTTTATTTATTTTCCTTTATTGCATTATTCCTCACCTACTCTATGTATTTATTACTTTGTATATATTTGTATTATATTATACATTTTTATATGAAATAAATTGCGCTTAATTAGAAATATAGTGGCTTTAAATAATAAATAGCATATATTTATTACATATATAATAATAATGTATGAAATAGAAAAAAATACTTTTGTTAAAAAAAATAATATGGATTGTACATAATTTCAAATGTCAACATATACTTTGTTGGTTCTGATATTTTAACACATTATATTTAATTCCTTTAATTGTATCCCTTCATATACACAGTCCCATGTAAATTATTATATACATTTAAAAAACTATGTCACTAAAGAAAAATAATAATGCATTATAATAAGTGAATTAAATTTCGAATTAACCAAATTTGGTTATATATATATATATATATATATATATATATATATATATATATATATATATATATAGAAATATTAAGTAATAATATTTTAGATGTGACTCTGTATTACGAAAAACACAAATTTGTTTTAGTTGAGATAATTTGTGAAAGAAATTTAATATCACTCACTCGTACGTTTCTCCTTATCTCATCTCTGATAATAAATGAACGTCATAATTCTAATTATTGACATGAATACTTTCTTAGATTCACGCGAATATTTGACATTTTAAATAAAACTATCTTTTCTGATGATGAATGAATGCTGTAAAGCATTCGAATTGTCGGGAGCTAAAAATCAACTCATTTAACTTTTAGATATAACATATTTTTTTCTTTATAATAGATTAATTTAAATACAAACAGCGACGATCCAAGAACAACTAGAGTATAAATCTTTAAAAAATTCAATTGACACTAATTTTCTTTAGACAAATATCTCAACTTCAAAACAATAAAAGAACAAACAATTTTATACCAACAATTACAATTTTCAATAATATGCAATTATTATTCAACAAATAAGTGTGTTCAGTTGAAAGACTGCGACAAAATAACTATAGGGTTGTCAACTTCAAGAATTTTTTTGATTTTTTTTTCAAGCTATAGCTGTGTCCAAATTTCCATCCTCGTATAATAACTTTGACTTTTTTTAAATAAATACCATAGACAAATCTGTATAGAATATACTGATTAACAAAAAACACCACTCACTTACACAAACTCAACGACAAGATCACACTTCGCAACAAACTCACATTATAAAGTCCAACAACAAAAAAAATCACCATCAAAAGAGTAACTTAAATAAAGTTGACAACCCTAAGCTAATTATGTATTGTATAGCGATCCTAACAGTGAACGTAGCTGACAGTTCTTATATATCCGTACTGGCAACCCTAGCTCGGGGAGTCGATGAGGCGGGGGGTGTCGGGGGTGTGTCGGGGGGTGTGTCGGGGGGTGCCGGGGGTGTTAGGGGTGCGGGGGGTGCGGGTCGGGTCAGGCGTCGCGTCACTTGTACGCGCGCGTCGCACACTTCTTCTTTTTGCGTTTGAAGAAACAGCAACATCTGGAATAGACAGATTGTCTGTATGATGATTTTTTATAGTCTGCTTTTGATTACCGAGTGCATCACATTGACAATAAGTAAATCAAAAAAATATATAATATAAATAAACATAAAATTCTTTTGAATGCATTTTAAATACAAAACAAAATTGCAAAAACATCGAACAACTTTTTTAACTTAAGCATACACATATTTAATTAAACATAATATGTTAATAGTTAATACCTGCAAGGAACAACGTTGTAATTCAGTATTGTACTGGTTTTGAAATTGAAATTTTAATATATTAAATATTATTTTAATACTGAGTTACGATGTTGTTCTTTGCAAGTTTTTATGTGATTATTTATCTACTCTTGGAAAGAGATAAACAGTTTTAATATTGAATACACCGCCTTAGCAGTGAAAAGAGCTTGAACATTTAAAAAAAACCTGTTAATTTTATGAGTCTATTACATCCTGTGTATTTTTACTCAGCTTTATATATCCCACGGGAACCGCACATTGTCCGGGATAAGAATTGTTTGCTATCCTATCTCTGTGCCAAATTTCTTCCAGATCCGTCCAGCCGTTCTGGCGGGATTGAGTAAAAATCATCCATCCACCCAAACTTTCGCATTTATAATATTAATGGGATTGTATAAGAAAGCAATGATCAACTATATAATAATTAGAAACTTTATAATTTATTTTTGCAATAAATGATTTTATTTTGGTAAACTCTATTCTCTCTTATTTGTAGTTGAGCTTTCACTTTGATTTTATAAATACAAGAATTTTTATTTAAAACTTTATTTAATTCAGTAAGTTACAAACAACATAACTAGATATTTTGTTTGTAACTTAATCAAAAGTGTGGTGTAGCTCTTTTTACCACTAAGGCCAGGATATTATGTAATTTAAAATTACTAGCATCATTTTCGTTGTCTTCATCTCTTATCATATATTTAATAAGAAAATTTCTCTACTCGAAATAAATAGGGTAATTGTCTTACACATTTTTGCGCTTGGTGTTTATACCAACTTTGTTAAGACCATGCAATGTTATATTTAATACTGTAACATATAACTTTTAAAGATTTAAACAAAATATTATATCTGAACTGATTTTAAATGTACAGATGTGTGTCATGTTGCACTTGATCGTATTTTTTTAATATAATATGACAAAAAATATTTACTAGGTCATAAAAAATAGTGTAAGAATCACAATGTACATTTAAAAGTATTGAACAATCAAAGCGTAAGTATGTATATATTTTATACACGAGGAATACACAATCAAACTAATAAAATAAATATGTACATATACATAATATGTTAATTCAAATTATTGTGTATAAAATTAATAAAATGAACTCTTTCCACTTACGCCTTTTTTGTTTTAGATATAAAATCAATCAAATATCTTCAGTATAATCGTCTTGGGTAGTTTTTAAATTATTTTCTGACGTAAAATATACGAGCGCTGGACCCCAACTATCTCTTTCTATTTCCTAATGCCAGCGAACATAGTAACTCAACAAAACAACCCAAGACGTTCACACATATCGCCACATGCACCAAACAACGTTGTAACTCAGTATTGAGATAATTAAAAATGATTATAATTAATATCCTCATATATCATAAAACTGATTAAAATTATAAAAATGTTTAAAGTTAAAAAATATTGTAAGGTAATTGGTGCAATTTTCATTTTGTTATTTGTGGGTAGGCTGTTTGTAATAACTATACCTTCGAGATATGTAAGACCACAGTCTCCCGTGACCATGAATGCTGTAAAGCATTCGAAACGTCGGGTACCAAAAATCAAAATAAATCCGCGAAATAATCCAAAAAAAATTATTTAAAATTCTTCATATATTTTAAGGTCAAATTAAAAATTGCTATAATACTGAGTTAGTACAATGTTTTTCTTAGCAGGTGTCAATATCAAATTACAATTAAACGATACCCTCCTGACCGCAGCAACTGTACAGGAGATATTACAATGGACAAGTGTACGCGCAAACGTGCATACTTATCCCTGTCACTCTCATATACCGATTAGACGAAAATTAATTCGACACTTGCGGTGAGAGTTCAGTCGTAGGAACGCCGGCTTTACGTGCTCTCCGAGGCACGGGGGTGAAACACCGCCAACGTCTGAACTCCGGGCCGTTACTAAGAAATTCTTAATAGAAATACTCAATAACAATAACTTGGCCCGACCCGGGACTCGAACCCAGGACCTTCGGATTTACAGCCGTACATGCTAGCCACTAGACCACCGAGGCAATTCACTCATCACTTGCAACGAACAACGTTGTAACTCAGTACCTATTCAGATAATTTAAAAATGTAAATTAATTTCCTCAACAGTTTAAATCAAACTAAGTTACAATATTGTTCTTAGCATCACTTTACATTAACAATTAAATATAAATAATAATAAAAAAGGTATATAAGAAACCAATGCATACAGTTGAAACACTGACTTGGTGTCGTCGACCACGTCCACCTCGTGGTGCTGCGTGATGGGCGTGTTGCTGTGCCCCGCCGTGGGGTCGTCCGCGCCTAGCTCGCCGTTCGTCGAACTTACCACCTGGATTATGTGTCTCATTGTTATATACATAAAGATAAATTTTAAATAATACAACGTGTATTATATATTTAAATTATAATATATAATTTTTAAGGTAGTTATATACTTAAAAGCTGTTTTTATATGACGTATATTATTTTATATTATTAATATTTGACGGATGTTTTATAAAGAAATATCTTTTAATCTAAACCTACTTACTGTGCAGACTGTAGGTATCGAATCAGTATCACCAACGAATCGTAGGTAAAAAAAATCGTTAAGAATTAAAAAAAAAAGTATTTCTGAATGTTATTTATTTAACATTGATTGATATTAATCATAAACATAATTTGTATTTATTAATTGTTAAATAGAAAGTTAATTTAGGAAAAAGTCTATTATATGATTTCATTTCAAATAATATTTGAGTTAAATTTACAGTATTTTTAGTATAGTAAATTCTATATAATTATTTGGGACTTGTATATTTGTATTAAAAATATAATAATAACAAAATATTATGTGATAATAAATACAAAATTAAATAACATAAGATCCATCCCAGAATTTAACATAGTACATAGTTATTTTTATTAAGTCTTCGAATTATATTATTAAATTCCCTACAATTTCCCTTTTAAAAAAACACTAACGTTGCCAAATAAAATAAAAATAGATTTTCAATCAAATAGAACACATACAAAACATTTACAAGTCAACTGTGGTAAGCGATACTGTGAAGTTTGCAATCCGTGGCGTATATTTCGGTTAGCTTCGACCAAGCAACAGTCATAGCACACTAAAGACAACATTCATCTTTAAGCATTTACTAAGAATGCGAAACTCGACTAATTTTTCATATTATTAAGCATTTTGTATCAAATGTTAAGGAGTTATTTGGCCTGTGTCACATTGAAAGCTGTACCATTCAGTACCATTTTGATTGATTAGCGTAATTTTTATTTAACAGCATTAACTATAACTTTTTTGCATTTAAGTATAACTAATATAATGTTATTGCGTTCGTAAGTACGACATTTTATTATTTTAAAAATATAATACATACTTTAATGTAAAGAAATTATTCTCATTTTTTAAAATCTAGTAAATATACAAAATTATTCTAAATTAAATCGTGCAGATTTGATGATTTTATATTATTTTTAACTCAAAATCTATTGTAAATTATAGCAAAAATCTTATATGAAATATAATAAAATAATGGACGATGAATAAATAAACAACACTGTTATTATTATTTGCCTAGTATATACAGGTATTTAACATTTTACAACGTCAAATATCTACCCCACTGGTGGTCTAAAGAATAGAAAAGCGGCTTATAACAATATACTATGATAATCGAAAAATATTTATTTTCATATCAGTAGTTCCAATAAAAAAGGTAAAGTCAACGCTAGCGTTAATGTAAGCGACATGCAAACATCACACAGTGGTTGCCGCAAAATGTTCACAACTGACCGTGGACACTGAGCCGGGAAATTTCACATACCGAAAATGTTTATTCTTCAATAGCTAAAAAATAAATACACCAATATACATACACAATTCATAGACAAATAATGGCATATTTAAACGAAAAAAAAAAAACATTTTTCATGCACATTTTCGAACATTTACATGATACGGCCATGCTCTCAGCAAATATGAATTTAAAGATTGAACGTCTTACAAAATAAGGTTTTATAATATAGGCTAACGTGTATACAAGTGTGTTATCACAACATTGCGCGACATTTATTCTTTAAGTACCTCTGATACTTTCAGTCATAAAATGATAGTATAATGAATTTGTGTAAATATACATATATAAAAGAATAATTTATTTTGTTTACGCTGTACATAAATGTACTATTTAACATTTTCGTATTTTGTTATAATTATCTTGAAAGGTAATCATTTTATTGCCATGTTTAGATTTATTCACCTTATTTTTTATACTTTTGGAAAAGCAGAAATTGAATTGAACGTTGAATGTTGACAGTAACATAGAAAAAAAATATCTTTTAATCAATAAATCTGGGAAATGGGCAGGAAGATATCTAGACCGTCGAAACGAACACCGACAGGCGCACGCACGATATGCCTGATTGGAAACACCGAGTACATTCTGAGGTCGCGGGTTAGTGAACAAATCACATACCCAACACTCACGTAACGTACAGGACGTCCTTATACTACCTTAGGTAAGATGTCGTAATAATGTTAAAGTTTCCAGTAGTTTTTACTGGTCAGTTTAATGGAAAGGATTCAAACTACGAGATTAAAACTGTTAAAATCAACATCGTATTCAATTAAAATAATCTAAACGCGTATAAAACAAAAAGAAATTAGAAATAAGATCTACATATAAATATCTCAAAATTCTCATATAAAAATCTCACACATTTTATGTGAATCATTTTCACTAACTAATGTCCACTTAATAACAGATCTGTATAATAATCGATCCTATCGATTCTGGACAACCTTACAGGCTTATACAATCAAATTTAAACTTTTATGGTGTGCAAATCACATAAATCTGACTTTGTATTATGTCACGTAGCCCTAATGTGTAATTCCCATACATTTTTAATTTTTCTATTCGCAATATCACTTATGATCATGGAGACAGATAATTTATTAAATTATTTCAAAATAACTCATCCCATCCTTAAGAGTATTTTGAAGTATTCGACATTAAAAAATGTACGGTGAAATTGAGATATCCATCTTTTTTTTATAAAAAATTGAAAAAAAAAACAATTGCCTATATGCAAAAATAAACAATGTTTTAAAACTAAATAATAATGTATAATTTTTATTAACTATTGTTATTGCACGAAAAAGATTAATTAACGAATCTACTTAATATTTATATAATGAAAAAAAAAAATCATTTTTATAGAAACAGAAGATATTTCATTTCTTAAATATTGCTTTGAGAATACTAAATTAAAGATACATTTCGGCGCAAGTTGATCTTAATACTATCGGACATATGATTAGCCAAAAAAATTGACCAAATCTATATTTTAAGACCTTCGACTTTTAACGAGTATGATAAACCCAAAGAACTTATAATACCTGTACAGGGCCAAAGTAAGCCTCTCAAAGAACCTATCGTGCCTGTATAGAAACAAAATGAGCTTCCAAAAAAAACTTATCCCACCTGTACAGGACTAACGTAAACCTGTCAACTAACATATCTTACCTGTACAGATCCGTGTCTATCCGCAGGTGTGAGATGGCCGGTGGCCAGCGGCGTCGCTTTGCCACTATGAGGCCAGTTACCACCGGTATTAGCTGTACCCCCTGTTCCTGTGTCTTTTACTGCGCCCTGAAATATTTTGTTTGTCTTATCAGTTATCATATACTTGTTTTTGGTAGCTTTTATTAAGTTTTATAACTTAAAATGGGGATGAAATCGAATAAAAATACTTAAATGTATGTATAATATAATAAAAATATAGCTCACTTAAATGAACAATAAAAACTCTTGTTTAGCTGCTTTATTTATATTTTTTTAATAAAAAAAACTACAAAAATGAATGAATATAGAATAAACATTGGAACATAAACAAATGAAAAGTGATTTAACTCTATAAATAAAATAATTAAAGTATAGAACAGGCCTAAAGTCTTGCGTAACGAATCACTTTAACTAATCTCAAAAATCTCTATAAGACCCAACCTTGTAAGGTTTAATCTTCAAATTGGCTTTGAACTAACATATTTAATTGTTTTATTATCTGATTAATTAATTATTTGTCTTATTACTAGTGATGCCAAACTATTGATAGAATCACTATCAATAGTTGACCTTGAAAATAAGTTAGGATATCGAAATGACCATCGATACTATCGATAGTGGCCTATTGAGGGCCTCACTACTAGTAGATTACCTAATAGTATGAAATGATAATGTAATATATGATCGTAATGAAACTTATTTACTGATTAATATTAATATGTTATTGAATGAATTGTATATGAATAATAATTGTTTAACAAAAATGGTAAGCACACATTTCACTTCAAAATCACTCTAGTATTATTTTACCCTTATGGGACGATTTTTATGAATTTTATATGGGACACCGTCGAGTTACATTCATTAAAAAAAGAATTATAACAATCTATTCACAATAAGCTAATATCTCGCATAATAAACAAAAAATACAGACTTAGTACTAACTATCTCCTATTTTGATCGTAATCAGTCAAAAATAAATATAATATAGTATTATCATGGAAAGAAACACTTTTTAACGTTTACTTACAGTTAACGGTACTTAATATGTTTATAATGTGACTAATAATCATGTTAAAGCCTCACAAAATTCTACAGAATCTAAACATGTATCACAAGCAAAAAAACCTTTTGTTATCTACAATATATTATTTTTTTTAAGAAGGAAAAGGTGTAAAAGTGTCAATAAAAGGCAAACCCCTCAACCACACAAAGGTTACTTAGGAACTAGCAATCGTAGTACAGTGAAAGCTCTAAGCAATATTTATAAATGAAAAAAAAAAACATGATACAAGCTCCTAATGTTATATTTGAATAAATGTGTCAATGCTAATTGATGTTAATAATATATTTCATTTAAAAAAAAAACTTGTGTGTATACTTATTGTACGCACGTAAGAAGTTATACTTCTTTGGCGTAACAGAACAAAAATAGCTAACGATTTCATCCCGTACAGCTCTCTGTTTGTAAAAGGAGTGCAGCTAACTTGATCATGTCGCTTTTTGGCTGTCGGTGTGCGCGCACATCGTTAAAATTTTACTCTCATATTTTTTTCCAAACGTGCCAAAGAAGTATAACTCCAAAAAACATATTACAGTAATATTTAATTTTTTGGAATAATAATATTAACTGTAAACGAACGCGATATTATTGTAAGATGAACGTTTGTATCGAAAAATAATTATTGTTCTGATTAAGTTCAGACGTAGTATCTTAATACGCAGATCAACACTGATGAGTCAACATACTCTCAGTTTATTCCTTAAAAAGAGAAAGTTCAAATCCATCCAATTTCTAAATTCGACTATAATTTTTGTCCTAATTTTTTAAATTCACGTTGGTCTAAACATCGTTATAGATACATAACCTAAAATTTATAAAAAAAATTGTAACGTAAAATCAATGAAAATGTTCATTTTGTAATGTATGGAGAGATTTGAGAGCTCGGGAAGCGTACGGGTATTGGGTCAAACGTCAAACGAGTCGACACCTGCGTGGAACACAATTGTAACTTACTATTTCGGTAATTATTATAAAGACTTTATACAACAGTAAATAAGTTTGAGTTACAATGTTGCTCCTAGCAGTTGTCGATGTTATAATATGGGTATATGCGACCAAACCTCTCCGGATATAAGCGCCGCCTCATCGTCCTCAACCAAACCAATCATATAATCACACAAATCATCCTGCACCGACAAAGAAATTATGTGAGTTTGCCGTCTCTTCACTAGTCCATACTAATATTATAAATGTGAAAGTGTGTTTGTTTGTCCTCTTTTCACGTCGAAACAGAGCGACAGATTGGCGTGATTTTTGTGTGGAGATAATTGGAGGGCCAGAGAGTGACATAAGCTACTTTTTGTCGTGGAATTATCTGATTCCCACGAGAAAACATAATATAATACAACCCACAACAACTCATCATACCTATGTAGTCATCTATTCCATACTAACCGTTAAAACGTACCTAGGGACGAACCCGAGCGAAGCTAGGGTGAGTCGGCTAGTACTTTATAATTTAAATAAGATTAATCGCTATTGATAGAGAATATTCATAATTAAAATAACCTTTGTATTGAAAAATAGTTAGATTTTTGGGACATTAACACACAGCACCATCCAGTTCCATAGTAAGCTACGAGGCTTGTGTTATGGATACCAGATAGTTGATACACTACACATATATAATTTTAAATACATACTTAATATAAATAAATTTTAATATTTATGTAACGTTATAACTTTATTTAGATATGGACAATTGAATAAGAAGTACAAAAAATTACAAATAACCATTAAAATATTGCTTTAAAAATTGTCACGCAAATATTTTTTTATAAAAAACGTTTCCAATTATCGTATAATAATAAACGATTCGAAAATTGTTGAAGCAACTATTAAAAAATCTAGTGAAGAAACAACAGGCACAACAAAGAAAATTACAAATGCGAAAATAACTAAATATTTTAAAGCCCGTACACATAAGCCTGATATGCTAAAATAATAATTTAATATAAATATTCAATGCGATATCCTATTGGGCGTGGTTTTGGCGCTAGGCGTGCTATATTAGTGGCATATATATTATTTATACATACATTCTTTAGCCATTTATTTCGTTATTTCACAATATTTATTCAATATCCTTATATACTCACGATTTTATTTATTAATCAAAAATGTGTATAAATGTAGAATACTTTCTGGTATTCATTTATACTTAGTAACCAATGTACGTAACAGCAACCTTCACCTTGTATAATAAATACTTATACGTCAAGTTAAAACCGTAATCCAATCAAAAGGCAAAGCCTTGACTTTCACGGTATCAAAAGTATTGTTGGCATCGAATTATACTTAACTATTCTTCTAACTCATTTTGTTTCCTAACATTTTAATTGTAACCATTAAAATTTAAATTATTAAAACTAAACTAGAATTAGTACTTCAATTTTTTAAACTAACTATAAACATATAATTTATTTAAGTTATTATTATTATTTACCTTATGGAAGGCTTGATGTCTGTCACGATTTGGTGATACTACAATCTCGTGACCGGTCTGGATCGAACCCACTGGAGTAGACTGGAATATTTAATAAAACATATTACTTAAAAATAAAATGAGATACCTAATATGATATTTTCTAATACTCTTTTAATACTTTCAATCACTACTATTGATGATGAAAATCACACTAAGATGGAATATAATACAAACTAAGGAATATACTATATGATATACAGTTTCCACATACAAAAATATTTGATAGATTTTCTTTAATTTTAGCTACATTTGCTGCTGCATGAAAATATCGTGCCAATTGCGAAAATAGCATATAAAGAATATGATTCATAAAATGGATGACAATGAATTCATTTTGAATACCTAAAATTATTCATATAATTACATCACTAACCATCCCAAATACATTAAATTCATAATATACATGAAATAATAGGTGTATAACTTATATTTGTATGTATTATATATATGAGGATATGAAAAAGTAAAAAAATCGTATAAGATTACTTAGAATAGGTATATTCCCAATACATTTTCGCAGGCAAACCCTGAAACTAAAGCTATATGGCTGAAACACTACAACATTTAGCTGATAGAACAAATACATACCTAATAGAGTTAATGACGTAAGCACATACATGCAGCACATGTACTGACCTTATCGGATTTATTTCTAACGATATTGGACGGTGGGGCGTTACGCAATATACGCATCACGTGCATGTTCGCGGGCTGCGGTAGCGTGCAATGTACATATATATGTATTTAAACATGCCGTTTGTTTGTTTGTTTGTTAATTTCTTAAAGCAGTGAATTTGATCACATGCGATGATTAACGAAAACATTAAAAACAATATTTGTATCAATGAAAATTTCATTAGAGAAAAAATATATTGTAACATAAAAATTATTAGAAAAATAAAAAAAGACAACTCTACACAAAAACACACATTCAGATATTAGCTTTATTAGATAAGTACAATAAATTACAATTTCTAGCAATTATTTAACTAAATACTTTGTGGTAAAAAAAAAACATTTTTACAACTTTCGTATGTTTAAATATAAGTAATAACTCCTATAATGGGAATATTTCATACTAGTTTAAAAATAATAAACGAACCAGGTGTTAAATTATAACAAAATAAACAATAATACAAAGCATTGAGTCAAATAAAACAGTACCTAAATACATTAGCGAGCGAGCTTTTATGATTGAATAGTACTATATTGATGGAAACAAAGATTTTTTCAAGTGTAGGTCAAAGTTAGTTTTTGTTCATTTAGAATAAAACCCACTTGTATTTTATATTATAAGTTATATTTACAACAACCCTTTGGAAGCATTTCTATTTTCATCTAGCATTATTTTGCACGAAATATTTCGTATAGCACATTTTGTTTTCAAATAGAGTCTTTCAAATAGTTTAACAGAAGATTACTTAAGAGTCAGTTAAGATATTGTTCATGAAATGGTTTAAACAAAAACATGAATACTAATCAATTATTAAAATTTTACAAGAAACAAGATTGTGTTTGTATATAATTTTAATATTCTATTAATTTTATGTAATTTTTGTGTGGATTTTCTTAAGAAGGGCTTTTACTAACAAATATTATTATCTAAATATGAAATTAAGTTCTTAAATTCGGTATGTTAGCTCTTTTTTGATCTTCAGATCTTCTAATCTAAATTCTTCAACCACATTATCTCATTACCTATTACGTGATGAAAAAAGATATGGTCAGATTCTCAACATACAACCCTTTCAGATAACATAGTGTATATTCTTTGTAAATTTTGTCAAATCTATAATAATATTAAAACGAGGTAAAGTTTGTGAGATTGTGAGTTTGTGACGTTGTAGGGGGTAATCTTTGGATCTAATGAACCGATTTATATGAAAATTGATAAGAAGATAGTTTGAGACTCTGGGAAGGACATAGAATACTTTTTATTCCGGAAATCATCAAATCAAATTAAGGGGGTGAAAATGGGGATGAAAGTTTGTATGGGGAATCAAGCTAGGGACGAACCCGAGCGAAGCGAGGGTGAGTCGCTAGTTGAGATATAAATTAATTGTTTGCATATAGTATATGGACATACAGTATTGAGGATTGCCTACAAATAGAGTTAAATATTTATATATGTAAGCATTTATATATATAAGATGATAGAGAGTACATTCAAGCACATATGCACTAAAGCGGCTTAAATCTTAAATGTGAGGCAGTACAATCGAGAAGTAAAGTGCAAAGCAAATAGTTGATAGAGATACGTTCAAATAAGTATCTTTTATCATTTATCAACGCAATTGTACACACACACACATCTATATATATATATATATATATATATATATATATATATATATATATATATATATATATATATATATATGGCATTTTTTAACAATAAATCACTACATTGAAGCACAAATAAAAACGTCAGAGCAAAAGCGACTTAAATATACATTACCAATAAAGTTTAGATTTAACGTAAATACTTAGTAATACTGTAAGTCTACCGGTTCTTAGTTTGAAAAAACAAACATACATTTATATTATTCTTTGCATAGAGGTTTTATAGATCAGAAGACTGTGGATTGCTAACTTTTTTTATCGCTTTACGATATAAAAGTGTAAATGTACATATTAAAATATGTTAGAAGTTTAGTATGGAATAGAAATCTGAATATTTGTTTTCTTTGGTACATTTTAATTAATGGTCGCTCATAACGGTAAGCCTCTTTTGCTCTGACAGCTACACACAAGCGCACTCCGACTTTCGAATACATTTGAGCACAGAAAAATTAACGGCCAAAAAAAGAACCTGTATTTCGAATGTTTGAGGTAATAATAAGAAGAATCATCGCCTTAGTGCTTATTTGTTCAAACTACCAATACTTGTTGTACTTTACAGTAGATAGTTTTTTTATCTACTTTAAAAACAGAGCTAATTTTTTAAGATTTATATTGATATAGATAAAATACATTATTTCTGCTCTTTTCAAGTAAAATGTGTCATTTATACTACTCGAATGTACATTTAAAAGGTCATTCATTCCGAATTATAAACTCTTTTTGTATATTGGTCTTTTGAAAAAATAAACACCGAGACTTGTTGTGAGAGTCTGATCCTGATGAATCGAATCCCAGAACTCTAAAGGCCTGCAGCCAAAAACGCTAGCCACTCGACCCATGAATACCAAATATCTATCACTAGGTCAAATAAACGAAAGATATCTCACAAGTACATTCACACAGTCAAGTGCTATAAATGGACTGCCTTCCACAAATCAGATCCAAACTAACAAAACAACAAAAAAAATCCAAAGTGCCTGTAAAAGTGTATTTAAAGAATATTTTGAGTAAAACAAACATATATTTACCATAGTCTTGCCAGTCCAATCGAACTCCCCGTCGTCAACATAACCGCGCCTTTCGAACAGATCTCGGAACATGCGCCTCAGTTGGTCGTAGTCCGGCGTTTCGAAGAAGTCCAGTCGCCGGACGTAGCGCAGATACGTTGCTAACTCCTCTGGGTGGCCTTCGCATAGTACCTGGAAATGGGAAAAAGAGTTTATGTTGGTATGTTTTATTTTATGTCTGTGTGTACATATATATATATATATATATATATATATATATATATATATATATATATATATATATATATATATATATATATGTTTGTAAGCGTAGTTTATCATTGTTGTATTCAGTATTAATTATATCGTCCCGTCTACGGTTCCATTAATCCTTTTACCAAAGGTTGTCTGTAAGAGATTGCTCATAGCAATAAGACCGCCTTTGCATGCCTTTTTGTTATTTTTTTCTTTTCATTTTTAATATCCCATTGCCGCGCACGGAACTCCCTTCAATGCGAGGGGGATCAGGCCATAGCCCACCGCGCTGGCCAAGTGCGGGTTGGCGGACTTCACATGTCTTTCGAAAACTTGCTAGAATCTCTCAGATTTCTTCACAATGTTTTCCTTTATCAAAAGGCAAGTGGTAATCATGTTGAAAACGATCCGCACATGAAAATATCCGAAATACGGGACCCAGTATTTGAACCCGTTTAAATTGGTTTCCCAAACGAGCCCGTTACCACTGGGCTACCACTGCCTACAAGTTATATAAAATCTATTTGAAGCAAATTTTAAATACACATATTTAAAAATATGTATAAGCTTTAGTTAGGGACAATAAGACAGGTGACAATGTATCCTTCAATCAGTACGCTATTACTATTCATACCACGTCGACATTCAATATCCTAAAAATATACAAAGCGTCGATATTTCCTTTCCATAGTACATTATTGAATATCTATACATATAATAAAATTGTAAGTAAGCCGAATCTGTATATTAAATATTTTTTGGAAAATCTTATTGAAATAAACATTATTATCGATACAGAGGCCGAATCTATAGTTTTTAGAATTTTTGTCTGTCTGTCTGTCTGTCTGTCTGTTACCGCATCACAGAAAAACCACTGGAGGGATTTTGATGAAATTTGGTATGGTGATAGCTGGTTATCCGGGTCAACATATAGGATACTTTTTACCGCGGGAAAATATCTCATTTCTGAGAAAAAATACAAAAACTGCAATGTAAGAGTATACTAATATGTAAAACCTAAGAATTTGGTTTTTGGTCATCTGGACGCGGGCGGAGCCGCGGGCAATGCTAGTATATAATATAAATACATGTATTCATAAAGCTTATTAAGACCAAATAGTATAGTTATTTAGTAGCGAAAAGCGCGTCCTAATAACCTATCTATTATTCATTACTTGTTACTACCGTTAGAAGTTTGAAATAATTTGTATACACTTCTATCTCTAGTAAGGTAAATAAAAAAAGGTAGACTTTTCGTATTTGCCGCAATACGATCTTTCATATCACTACATAGTATAAAACAAAATCGCTTCCCGCTGTCTGTCTGTCCCTATGTATGCTTAGATCTTTAAAACTACGCAACGGATTTTGATGCGGTTTTTTTAATAGATAGAGTGATTCAAGAGGAAGGTTCATATGTACAATACATGAATATTATAGTACAGAATAACCGAGAAATTCAAAGATTTCTATTTAATACTAACCGTTAAGACGTACTTAGGGACGACCGTGAGTCGCTAGTAAATTATAAATCCATACTAATATTATAAATGTGAAAGTTTGTGAGAATGGATGGGGATTTTAGTTACACTTCCACACCAGAACAGCTGTACGGATCTTGGAGTATTATATCAAACTGGCTACTCACCCTCGCTTCGCTCGGTTTGTCCTTACACAGAAACAAATCTATCCCACGGGAACCGAACATTTTTCCGAGATAAAAAGTAACCTATATGATATTCCAGTCTAAAATCTATCTTTGTGCCAAATTTCATCCAGATCCGTTCAGCCGTGATTGAGTAACAAACATTCATCCAAACTTTTGCATTTATAATATTAATAATGGGATTAAAAACTAATTACCCTAAAAAGAATTTATTCGTATGTATGTTAATTTTAAATTTCTTTATAATTGTTGATATTGGATCTTTTTTAAACTTTTATTGGGTTTTTCTACGCTAATCTTTAAAACAGAAATAGGTTTACGATTTATTCTTAGAAATATATTTTTTATCACTTATCTGCTTTTGAGAATTTTAAAACCTTTATGTAAAATGCGAATTATTATTAAATCAATATAAGTGATTATATGAATTACCTCAATAGGAGTAGCTCGTTTGGTATCACCGATTTTTTGGTATCTTTCTTTGAGTGTATCAGCTTTTAAACCCTGCCAGGGTAAGGAACCACGTAAAAAATACATAAACATATGCCCCAGAGCTTCCAGGTCGTCGCGTCTAGATTGTTCTGGAAAGAATACACCGTTTAAATAGTACAAATTGCTCTATCGATAAGTTTTATTACAAATTATGTTATAGCTGTGTATAGATAAGCTAATTCTAGTTCGTTTGAAGCAAAAAACCAAACATGAGTCATAAGTGATCATTCATTAAAAATCTATTTCATTATCTTGCTACCATATATTCAGTGCATATAAATAATACTAAACTCCATTGTCAAATAAAACCTATCTATAATAAATTCCTTAGCGTTATGCATTAAAAAAAATTATTTAATAAAAACTGTAATGAAATAGAGCGAACACTCTTTTAATATCATCGCACAAAATAAAAATTGGTTCTTTAAAGACTTTTACATTTTATAAGTACATAAAGTAAGTACCAAGATCATTTTACTTAACTTACTTAATAATTCGCAAAGTAATACTTATAAAGAAAATAAAAAGTATATAAAGAATATATTTAGTATATAATACAATCATTATACTTACCTTTTCCTAAATGTGTATTTATTGACATGTATCTCGCGGTTCCTGTGAGTGACTTGTGCTCCCGGTATGGGATATGTTTGTTTGTCTCTAAGTCTATATATTCTTTGGCCAAACCGAAATCTGAAAAAGGAACCGCTTTTAGTTATATTGAAGGAACAATTAAAATATAAACATTTATATGTTTTTTTAAAGCATATTTTCAATTATGTGATTAAGAGAATATTCATAATAGAGACAGTATAATATTTATTTATATTACGATATAAAATATTTTAAGCAATACTTTCTACAATTTTATGGGTGGTTTTTGTGTGTTTTATGTTTGTCATCCAACAAGTTGTTGACAAATGTGTATCCCTTATATAAGAATCCTATCCTATAGAAGGGATAAAACATGGTTTAGCAAGTAGAATGCACCAACACTTAAACATTAAATCACCATTTTCCTAATCCCACAATTCAATAGATAATTCATAAAGGTTGCCTTATCCAATTAATAGTGCAGAAATAATATTTCTCAAAATGTAGGTCATTATAAAAATATAAAATATATTCTAATAAAATATGATGAGGACAATTAAACGTCAATTTTTCTTAGAAGAGTTATTGCTCAAAACAATAACATACCCAGAAAAGGAAAATGTCGTTCGAATATCGTGATTTCCTATTCATTTCTCTTTATATCTTTAAGATGTTTCTTAACTAGATTTAAAACTTTATATAGATTCGCAACCGATACAATAAATAGTGTTTGGCAAAGAAAACCTCGTAAAATGAGCAGAAAGTTGCTACTACATGGGAACTTATAATACTTAGAAGATGCTATTGTTGGAAAGATATGATTAACTTTCCTTATCAACCAACATAATGGAGGCGCTTCCAAATCATTCTGTTTATACTAAAGTAATACACTGATTAAGCCTTTGTTAGTCAGTAAAGTAATTAAATAAGCCTTAATTATATCTTATTTTGCAATATATTATATGCTTTCTATTTGTTTTGGACATATTAAATATAATCTATGATATATCGCACTATAATAAATAGCTGAATAAATGCTTCATTTTCTATTTACTTCAGTGATATGAACAAAAAAATTGACGACACGTTTGGCTCAGTTTGTAGTGACTCTACTTGCTGTGCCAGCGGTCGCGGGTTCGAATCCCGCTGGGGGCATTCGTGTGATCAGCACGAATGTTTGTACTCCAGTCATGGGTGTTTATATTTATATTTATAATATATATGTATTTAATGTTATATATGTGTAGTGCATCAACTATCTGGTATCCATAACACAAGCCTCGTAGCTTACCATGGAACTAGATGGGGCTGTGTGTTAATGTCCCAACATTATGAATTTATTAGTATTATTAAAATATCCTTTAAATTAGAGATTTTATTAAAATCTATCAAGATATTTTGACTTGACATGAAACTTATAAACAAACAGAAGTACATATAAGATTTGTGTGTTAAATATTCTCTTTACAAATTTTGCCGTTTTTATATTTAACATTTAGCAACGTCAATAGGATATACAATAGCAAAGCGAGCAAAGTCGAGGGTAAGTATTATAAATACCGTATTTCAACCGCAGACCTCTCTATAGCAAAGATTGTATTACCACACCCGTATTCAATGTACCGCATTACCTAACGACACATATTGTGCCGCATTACGAGTATAATATCACGTTATCAGTTATCATATGTATTGTTATGGATGTAATAGAATTTACTTTCATAAAGATTTCATGTTTTACGTAGCGTAGCTACTTTTTGTAATACGTACGCTACAGACCATGTCTTCATTTTATGAGCATTTATATATATATATATATATTATATATATATATATATATATCCTCTTGGGAACCAGAGTATCATATTTGATACTTGAATTAAAAACTTCGTGAAAGCGTCGTCTGTTATATTTTCCTAATTATTTTTTATTTAAGCCATAGAGTAGACCTTTAATGATTTATAACTATAATTTTCGTACTTCAAAGTGCTTAAAGTTTAAGTGGGTAGGACAGTTATTTTTCAAAAATTCAAAGTTTTCGCCATGTCAACTTTACGTAAGGGTAAGTAATTGTTAAAATATGGATTCCTAAGTAATTTACTATTGTTTTTAAAGGTTAAGCTCTCTTCTTTAGATTTTCCATAAGTAAATAACGTAAAATTTTATTTTAAAGTGAAAATCATACGATAAATTGAGCATATCAAATGTGATACTTTGGGCACGATTGGAAATAATATTAACCATTTACAATGATTTCCGGTACGTCTGACGAAACAATTCACCATGAATTATTGGACTCCAACGTCTCTGATGATGAAAAGAAGGACTCTGACGTGGACGAGGATGGCATACAGAACCATGATATAGATAAGATTGAGGAACAGCCAAGTTTGCAGGAACCAAATAGTGGTTGCGATTCCTCTAATGATGAGCCGTTTCAACTACTGCCCCGTTCAACGAGGCATGTTTCTACAGGTAGGCCAGTAATTTGGAAGCATACAACTGATTTTAGAGCCATTTTTAACGCATCCACATCAGGTGCAGTGAAAATCTCTCAGAGAACAACCTGAAGCCTGATATCTAAAAAGATATTGGAATATTTTGAGTGGTACTTGAATGCTGAATTCTTTACAAACGTGGATTTTTGTCCAAATGTCATGTCCTTTGTGCGCACAGAAAAATCAGTGAACACTGTTGCTGCAGAAATTTAACGTTTTTTGGGAGTAGCATGGTTACTGGACTGTTAGGTATATCAAGGATAAAACAATTCTGGCTTTTAGGAACAAGTGCGACTTAATGGCACCTGCAATGACTAAAAGACGTTACACTGAGATTCGTTCGTACTTAAATGTCGTAAATGAAGCTGATGTTTTAAAATCTACGCAATCTAATGACTGCTTCTGGAAAATACGATCAATAGTTTTAGAGATTGAGAGAGCGTGTCGTAAAAATGTTCGCGACAAAAATGTCTCCATTGATAAGCAGATCTTACCTTACACAAAAAGATGGGTCAAAAAGCAACTGGTGAAAGGTAAACCAAACCCAGAAGGAGTAAAACTTTATATCGCAGTAAATTCTGACGATTTACCATTGGATTTATACCTAAAGGTCTAGTAATACCTAAAGTAAAGGTAAAGTGGAATCGGCTTTGTACCCAACACCTGAACAATTAGCAAGATAGTAGGATAGCATTTGCAGGATACCATACCAGTAGACACTTCAATTTACATGGATTTTACCTCTTCACCACTTTTGGATATCGTAAGAGAAAGAGTATGTAACGGAACGGCTATTTTAATGAAAAATAAGGTACCGAAGGTTGTATAGTTTTGACTTTTATAGGTTAGAAGTGTGATGTATATTTATTATTTATGTTTTAATTTCACTAGGAATTGTTTTAAAACTTTTCATTAGCATTAAATGTGAAAATTATACTGATTTAAAAAAAAAACTAACATTGAAATAAAATAGTTTTTTTTCTTATGTGTACCAAAGTATCATATTTGATACCACCTGAAAATCCTGAAATAGATATTTGTGTGACATTTAATTGATAGTTTTGCATTAGTGTAACGTCAATTAGCCCAGTTAATATAAAAACGCTGCTTAAATTCAATAATTTATAGTTCGGGTCCCAGGAGGTTATATATATTTATAATACACTCTGACATTGCTTTGGAAAATATATAAAAATACAAACAAAATATATAAAACATATTAACATAATTTCCTATTAAAGTACTAATTTGTTATACAAAAACAAAAAAAGTCCGAAAGCAAGCTGACGTCGTAACGGTTTCCTATCCACATTGTCTGCAGTGCATAATGGGATTACGAAGGCCAAGTGGCTATCGATTGGCGAAAACTGGGCCCTATCAAGGTGCCGAGCGAAACAACTATATTGTAAACTTATTCTAGACTGACCTCAATTAAGTATATTACTTATTTAATTATACTAAAAGTGATTTATAACTATCTTGATGGACCAGACGCTATCGCAGACGATAAATCAACAAACATTCCGATAAAAATTCACGAAATTATCAATCATATTATAATTTATTGTCAGATTTGAATAAATTTCGGCAATCTTTTAGTAGCAATAGCATTAGTTCGTGCTTATGTCATTTATTAATATTCGTTTTGTTTTTAAATGTTAATTGTTAAAGTATCTCCATTAAAATTTAAAAGCAAATAATCGTTTTCCCTGTATGTAATCGTTCCACACATAGAAATCATGTTCAACACATTGAAAATGAACCGTTGAACTCGTATAAACTAGATATTCGAGTATTGGGTCATTTTTTGTGGTGACACACTTACATATTTAATTATTGCTTTCATACTTTTTGATACAATATGTTATAATAACAGCCGCCGTCACGACTGTGATGACGTTTGAGCGTGAGTCTGAAGGTTTCTTTACGTATCTAGCATCCTGTTACTAAATATATTCTATTATACGTATATATATTTACTACAAAGTGTTGACGACCGACCTTCGATGCACAGTGGTTTATATCTCTTACCACACTGTCTTTTTAGCGAAGATCGCGGGTTCGATTATTGTATAGTGCAAATTGTTGTAATAATCATGCAAATGTTTTTACCAGTCTTACCACCCTTATTCTCTCAATCGCACCCCAAACCCTTTAAGTATTAAGGCATGAGAATTAAATTAAGACTTACCAATGATGTGTATGATTTTTTCTCTTTTACTCGTAGCTCTACCTATTAAAAAATTCTCGGGTTTCACGTCCCGATATATTAGATGTCTCGTATGGACATATTCGATGCGATGTAACTGTAAAGGACGGACAATTATTAGCGGTGCCTACATTGCGGTGATTAGAATAAATGGTTCTAGATTAGGTTTCATACCTTCGATCACTATAAATCTTGTAGATTAAACATGTAAACACTATGCAAATGTAAACACTAATGTTTAGATACTGTTCACAGCATTGCGTCAAATAAGGAGTATAATTACCAATGAATATAGAAATTTGAGTTCGTTTATGTGTTCCGAATTGTACAATTGATGAGACTATTCTACATGCAGGTGTTATGACCTACATTTGTTAAGAATCTATGCCAAAAATACTTCTATATAACATAAATCTATCGTATATATGTTATCGTACACCAATTGCAGCCAATTTGGTCAGAATGCAACATAAAAATGCAAAATTGTATCGATAAAAGTCTTTATGGATATAAAATTGTATTAAAGTTGTATTAATTTGAGTAAAGTTATTTTTAGAAAAAATTAAAGGCAGGGAAAATTGATACAAAACTTACCAGCTGCATAGCGATCATCAACACAGTCTTTAAAGAGAACCGACGGCCGCACAAATCGAAGAGATCCTCTAGCGACGGACCGAGTAATTCCATGACCAAGGCATTGTATTTACCACACGGCCCGAAGTAGTACACCTCAGGAATACCTTCCGCTGTCGAGGGGGCTAGAGGAATCCAAGGGAAAACGGGTAGGAAGAGAAAGAAAGAAAGAGATAAAAAATGTTGAACTTACATTCCAAGGAGCATTGCTCTCTGTCGAACCGCTTTTGACACAACACAGAAGCCGATATTCAATCGCGAGAGCAATGCTTTTAAAAAAGAAAAGTTCTTGTGGCGGCTAACAACGACATGACCAGAATATGCCCTCGCGATAAAGAAAACGCGTATACGATATCGGTTGCGGTGTTGTGTCCGATGGACTATCGCGTTATTCAGGAATAGCGCACCCTTCAACGTATCATTTTGTACTATGGTTACGTTCATGAGTTGTTCTAATCAAGTGAATATGTTGTTCATATTCTAATGCTGTCTGCTATATTTACTTACTTATTTCGCGAGTTATTTGACATTAAATCGGAAATGCGCGTCATAATTTTTTTCTGTTGTTAATTTTTGCTAGTTCCAAAATACGTAACAATAAGGTCAGCACCAGTACAAAATGATAATTTGCAATAGGCCCGCTATCTTGGCATTCTAATTACCTATATAACATTCGAAAACTTACTAGCTGCATTGCTATCACAAGGACCGTCTTGAGTCTGAACCTTCTTCCGCAATGAACAAAAAGATCCTCTAAAGAGGGTCCTAGCAACTCCATGACCATACCGTTGTAGCGACCGCCACAAGTACCCAAGTAGTATACTTTAGGTATGCCCTCTGACCAATATTAATATTTAAGTAAAGTGAAATAAAAAATCATATTCTATACGAAATTTCATATGCACAATTTTAATAATAACTTTTATTTACTTCGCCCATAAAATTAACTCTACAAAATACTTTAATAATAAAATCTATTTAAATTATACATAATTTCTTGGTCTTCTGGAAAAGTTGTTGAACAAAACAAAAGATGATTATAGTAGGTAAATAATTCCAGCAAGAATATGCAATATATATTTTACTACTGCAGCCGTAAGAAATAAAACATAAAAAATATCCCAATTGTGCTTGCATAATTACTTAAGAAACCAATAGTTTAATTTAGTAAATAACTAAAACATATTTTTTAAGCTTTTACATACATCACAACGTGCCTGTAGATTATTATTATATAAAGAATATAATATTCTATTTATACTAATATTATAAAGAGGCAGAGTTTGTTTGTTTGTTTAAACACGCTAATTTCAGGAACTACTAAACCGATTTGAAAAATTCTTTTTTCATGAGATATTCTGTTTATTGATGCTACTACCCAAGGGAGCGGAGCAGTAATATAATATAACTATTGTATTCAGCCCTTTTTAACGTCCCACGGCTGGGCATGGGCCTCCCTTCAATACGAGGGGGATCAGGCCATAGTCCACCACGCTGGCCAAGTGCGGCTTGGCGGACTTCACATGTCTTTTGAAAACTTACTATAGTCTATCAATTCCATACTATAGTTAAAACCTACCTAAGGACTAACCCGAGCGAAGCGAGGGTGAGCCGCTAGTTTTATTACATGTAGGTATGTATGTAAGCTTCAAAAATCGATAGCAATTTTATGTTTATTTTCTTTATATTACCCTAGCAGGTGTACTCCAAATAGTCTCTTAATAGTGTAGCGAAAATATTCACACTCTTATGAAATCTTTCTAGGAATATACACAAACTGTTTTATCTTGTAAACAATGACGAGCGTTGTGTACATTTTAGTACTCACAATAACAGTGTGCAATTAAGAGATCTTTCTTTTACAGTTTCGTTCATTTCTTTAAAAAAATATTGAGGTATATTAAAAAAATCGATATTTCAAATTATTATTATTTATTTGTATTTAATATTACACTAGCAACTTGCCTTCAGACCTACGTCTTAGTGTACCGGATAAAATCGAGCAAAAATGGTAGCATGAGCTGCCTATGAAATCAAACTAAGATATGTTTTGAATCAGCCTATTATATGGATAACAAAAAAGTCCCATTGAAATGTTTCCCGCCGTTCTGGAGTGATGCACGGTTAAACAGAAGCAGACAAAAATGGCAAAAACTGTGGTTTGGTTGCTATTAGATTTCAGTCATGTATAAAATTCATCGGTATTCAAAGTTTTCATTTATATTTTTAACATAAGATATCATTCTAAAACCAATCAAGAATTGTGCATGTTGTCTCATAACTCTACGAGATATAAAAATATGTACAAATGTATATTATACTAGCGGCTCACTCTCGCTTCGCTCGTTTTCGCCTCTAGAATAACACAAACATCTATCCCACGGGAATCGTAGATTTTCCGGGATAAAGAGTAGCCATGTGTTATTCTGACGTATGAGCTATATTATTGTAAAGTTTCATTAAAATCCATTCAGTATTTTTGTGTGAAAAACTAACAAACAGCCATACATCTATACATCTAAACAACCATACATACATACATACATACATACATACATACATACATACATACATACATACATACATACATACATACATACATACATACATACAACCTCACAAACTTTCATATTTATAATATTAGCAGGACAATAGGATGACAATTATTTTCAAACTCACCGTGCGTTCCTAATAGTTTGTAAAATCGGTATTCTAGATGTAATTGTGGAGCCTTGGACTTCATAGGCTCCATCTTTATTGCTACGTGTTCATTGTTGTAGAGATTTTTTCCTGAAAACAAAAAAAATGTCTTAATACTTTTCGGTTGAAACAATAAATCCGTAAGATTTATGTATTAGCATGACGCAAACAAATTTCCGCGAGCGGATATTTAGAGTTACTTAGCTTCATTATCATTTGTAAAGTGCCTATGAACTATTTCGACATTGGTAGCGTAAAGCGTAATCCATACCCTAAATAAAGATAAAATAATTGAACCAGATGGCCTGTCATTAAAATGGACAGAAATTCTATCCTATTTAACATTAAGTAAGAACAAACAATATTAATAGCCGATTTCACCAACGTCACCTAAGTTTAAGGGATCCATCCCCTAAGCATGATTAGGGGGCTGTTAGGGGACAGTTTTTGTTTCACCGACATCTAAATATTAAAATGCCACCTAAATATAGGTACTAGAAATACGGGCTCTGACGATAGTAAAACGAAATTTAATTTAGGGGATAGTTTAGGGGAACTTTTAAGCTAGGGATCCCATACGTAGGTGGTAGCTTATGGGATGTTAGTGAAATCGGGCATAAATGTGCTAGATTGGTCTAATAGCAAGTTTTTGTGAATTTGATCGATACGACATAACGTGGGATTTCAGATGTTGATACTTTATTGTTTCACGTTTTGTTAATTAATTTGAAGAATTTAGACATATTTATAGAATTTATATTGTTAATTACCAGTTTAATATATTTACAATACTATAATATTGCAAAATTGAAATTCTATCGTTAGGATCCGCCATTAAAAGGTACCTCTATACCTAAATTTTGACGTCACGATGATTCAGATATCGTTCATCGCAAAGATCTCCGTTATCAAAACTCGATAGCCGTTTCTTATCGGCGGGCAAATTAAATGGAACAATAAGGCATACCATTGATATACGGTCTAACTGTACAATGTTATCTTACAGTAACAATTGATATTTTTATTAGTGTAAATAATTTTAAAGATAAATCTATATTAATATTATAAATGTGAACGTATGTTTGTTTGTTACAGACTTGAAATTGGGCAGGTAGACTGATTTTTTTTCGAAATTTTGGAAATCCAACACCTAAAGGGGTAAGAAAGTGATTGGAAGTTTGTATGACAATCTATCATGAAACTACGAGGGCAGAGCCACGGGCAAATTCTAATAATAATTTATATAATCATTGTACGATACTGTATGAGTATATTTGTATTGTAACTTTCCCGATATGTAATCTAAAAGCCATTTTACTTGTTCTTAATCACTTTAATATATTATATTTAAGGAAATTTCTGTATCTTTATTTTGTCGGAATAAATTGAATTTGTAATAAGACGAGGGGGTACCCGACTTGCTCCAGGCATCCCCCCTCAGAATAGAGGTGAGACGACGAGAACGTGTAATAAAATTGAACAAAAGTACATACATATTTTAAATTTCTAGGGATGGATAGTAAATAAGTCACATTGTGACGGCCGTTTAGCTTTTCGTTTTTATGGTATACTAGCATTGCCGGCTCCGCCCGCGTTTAGATGACCAAAAAGCAAATTCTTAGGTTTTACATACATATTAGTATACTCTTACAATGCAGTTTTTGTATTTTTTCTCAGAAATGGGATATTTTCCCGCGGTAAAAAGTATCCTATAATATGTTGACCCGGATAACCAGCTATCACCATAGTAAATTTCAGACATACATATAATGAAATTGTAACGAAGCCGAATCTGTAGATTAGATATTTTTTGGAAAGTCTTATTGAAATAAACAGGGGTCCAATCTATAGTTTTAAGAATTTTCGTCTGTCTGTCCGTCTGTGACCGCATCACGGAAAACCACTGAAGGGATTTTGATGAAATTTGGTATAGTGATAGCTAGTTATCCGGGTCAACATATAAGATACTTTTTACCGCGGGGAAATGTCTCATTTCTGAGAAAAAATATAAAAGTGCAATGTAATAGTATACTAATATGTAAAACCTAAGAATTTGGTCTTTGGTCATCTAAACGCGGGCGGAGCCGGCAATGCTATTATAATTAAAATCTTCACTCGAGATTTTATTGGAAGAGAAAGGTAAGTATGTAATGAAGTACCTATGGAGCGTCCAAAATCTAACTAATAACTAGGACGAACCTACCTACGAAGTAAATCTAGAACAAATACAGTAAAAACAACGTATGCTTCTTTTATAATTCTAATATAGATATGACGTTTTTAAAAGGTATATATTATGCTATGGGCCTCTGTTTACATATTTAAGATCTTTTTGTAAATATTGCCTGAAATAAATGATTAAATAAAAAATAAATAGAAAAAAATAAATATAACTTTTTAAAGACCGTCATTTTGGAAGCTATAAACTAAGTATTCAGAGGTTCGATGTAAGCTCGTTTTAATTGGCCATATCATTACCGTTTGTATCAGTCTGACAAATATAGTTCTACACTCTGCGTTATTTAAAGCCACTAAGTTTAGTTTGCTAACCTCGAAAGATTTTACTCAACAGCCAAGGCTCTGTAAAGCCTAACATATGTATAATATAATATAAAATATACATTTGTATATATGTTTATAATTGGAATTTTATTGATCCATTAAAATATATTACAAAATAAATATTTACTTCGCTGATCTTTTTAAATAAATGATATTTTAATATCAAGCATCTCACTCGATTCAACATTTCTTATTTTAGATCTTGTTTTTTGAAATTGGCAAGGAAAACACGTTCTGATATTAATTCCTTTAATGTTATACCTACTTGTTGAATTGTGTCTCGCCTTTTGGTAGACAGTTTTCTATACATGGTGGTACAATTAATGAATGGGACATTGAAGAAAAATACTTTAAATATTGAAATTATCAAATTTTACTCAAAGTTAAGGTAGTTTTATTTAAAGAAATAAATAAATTTCTTAGAACTTTTTTGCATTTTTAGTCGGTTCGATTACCGGTTCAGGTAACATCTTTTCAAAAGAATTAAATGCAGTAATTATTTCAAAAAACAATATATTACTTCTTTTGAGTGAAACTTGATATTTTCAGTATTTAAGACACTTTCATTCCATGTCCCGTACGTTTGTTCCACGATGTTAGTTAGAGCCAAAATGTTTTTCTTTAATTGTAAGATACAAAGTTCGAGAGATTATCCTTACCATACTACCGGTTAGTTCAAAAGATAGTGACGGTGTATTTTATTGTATTTTTAACCCCCGACGCAATAAGAGGGGTGTTATAAGTTTGACGTCGATGTCTGTCTGTGGCATCGTAGCTCTCAAACGGATGGACCGATTTCGATGCGGTTTTTTTCATTTGAAGGCCAGTTTCCTTACGATGGTTCTTAGCTATGTTTGATTAATATCGGTCCAGCAGTGTAAGAGTATCAGCTCTTTTCCAAAATGATGTAAGGCATTTTGGCTTATGAGTGCTTCTCGCGTGCCAGTGTAATCGTTAAATGACAATTCACCCTGTATATTATAGATTCACTAGCGACTCACCCTCGCTCCGCTCGGGTTCGTCCCTAGGGTGGGCCGCCCTTATCACTTAGGGGTATGAAAAATAGTTTACGTTCTATTCTCAGACCTACTGAATATACAAACAAAATTTCATAAGAATCGGTCAAGCCGTTTCAGAGGAGTTTTGTTATAAATTTTACAAACATACAAGAATTTTATATATTAGAGATATCTCATGTTAAGTAGCTACAAAAGCACTGAAATAATAGTACCTGTATAAAAAGTTAATTAAGTGTGGAAAATAACATATGTTCAATAATACCATCACAAAGAAGTTATGGCTAACTAATTCAAATATATGTAGCGAGCGCGATTCAAACCTACGGACTAGCGACGAATTACTTGCCATAGATCACTATGCTAAACAAATAATAATGTCCTCCTGATCGATTCCGGCTACGGCCGTACGGTATATTATAGTGCACAAGTGTACGCGTAGACACAAGGGCACTCTCTATTCCTGTCACTCTCATACTCCGGTGGGACGACTGCTCGACACGACCAGTGAGAGTTAAGGCGCAGGACCGACGGCTTTTCGTGCTCTCCGAGGCACGGGGGTGAAACACCGCCAACTTCCCAACTCCGGGCTGTTACTGAGGCTTAACATACAGAAAGACTCAATAACTAAACTTGTCCCGACCCGGGACTCGAACCCAGGACCTCCGAGTGTGCAGCCGTACATACTATCCACTACACCACCGAGGCAGTTGCTATGCATGTATTTAGTATGCTAAATAAGTATTAATCATCGAGAAACGCTTACAATATTGCCATTATCAATACCGGCTCAATACTCTAAACATTTACTGGCATAGTAACTTTATTCAAACGCCTACTACGTCGAATCATGTCGATTTGACGTAACGTATGTGAGATAATACTGACATCTGATAAGGTTATAAAGAATTATGTCACGCGACGCGAATTGTGACTTGTGATCGATATAATCTGACCCTTACCCCACTATCACACATTGAGGTCACACTTTTATCCTCGGTGTTATGGCGCGAGATGTTTTTTTTTTCTTTATTTACATCCGGTACGTCGTTGTCTACGGTAGTTTAAAGTTTTACAAATCTTATAAAATAAGCGAGCGTACAAGTGTATGATGGAAATAGATTATACGTATATTAATGTATGGAAAACATGTCATAACGAATAATAAATACGTATATACCCTACTGTAGAGCTCGATTATATATTTTAATCACTCAACGACCGCGGACACGCCGGCGTGTCAGTTAACAATACATTTCTGAGAATTTTAATTAATTTCTTAGAAATTTACCTGGAGGTGTCAATATCAATTAGGATGATGATGCTGCATGCAAATTAAACAACCTTCTAGAATTAGATGCGGACCTCATGTAAGCTTTTCCGCGAGCTTTTAATCAGATGTAATCAGGTGAGTAGAAAGGTTGTGTATTCTTTTGTTTGTTACGCAACAATAATTCATAAAATATTAGTTTCAATGTTTACAGTTTTTAATTTGGAATAATGGGAAACTTAATACTAAAGTCTTAGAATCATGATTTTTTTTTGTTGGTACATTAACACGCAGCACCATCTAGTTCCATGGTAAGCTACGAGGTAGTTGACACACTACACATATATATAACTTTAAATACATACATATTATAAATATAAACACCCGTGACTGGAGTACAAACATTCGTCCTCACCCAAATGAATACCCCCAGCGGGACTCGAACCCGCGACCGCTGGCACAGCAAGTAGGGTCACCACAAACTGAGCGAAACGTGTTGTCAATGTTAACGACATAAATCTACAAAAACTTTAATATATTGATATCAATATGAACACTTCTTTGTTCGAATAATAAATTTAGGAAAAAATTGACAGTAGTAAGTAAACATATAAATTAGGGTATGCAAAAAAATGTGCAGAATCATCATCTTTAATTTTAATCGCAGCCCATATATTGTATAAATTAAATATAATAATATCTAAATATATGAAAAACATTATAATCCTGAAACTAAATCATCTATTCAATATAGCCTACAATGTGACCACTTTAATGACATTTCCAATGACGTGGGTTCAATCCAATCTCACCCATCTGCAGCCATACAAGTTTCAGGTGATATAAGCGATACGAAACCTTATTGTGTAGGTAATTTGGCTTATGTGCGTCAAAGTGGAGCGACTAAGATTTAGTTAGAAATCGTAAATTTATATATGATTCAACTAAATTATTAATGAACCAGTGACCCATCATTTTACTACCACTGTTATTACTCCTTGTGCCCAAGGCTTCATTAAACTTGTACCTCCTGTGGCGGGAATTTTTTTTGTTCCACCCAAAAAGTAACCTTTAGACAAAAAAAAACTTTCACTTTCGACCAAATTTTCTACCGCTAGTGAGCTATAATTCTTCTTTTAAGTGTTATAATGCAAACCTGTAATTTTCCATGAATAAAAATTAGCCTATGTTTTTTACGCTTGGATTCTCTTTACGTCTTAAATAGTTTCAACAGCAGACAAACTTTTGGCATTGATATCGTACAAATAGCCACATGATCATATCAATATGGAGTGATGAGAGTTATTTTGAACTCACAAAGAAATATTTCAATTTTATTCATAAGTATGGGTATAGATTACCTACTTTGGACATGAATTAAAGACCAACTAATGCTTAGTTTTCGTTTCGCGTGTATTCCGGAAACTATTTATTGTATAGCAATACTAATGTCATAAAGCAGGTACCTTTAACATTTTAGATGGCATTTAATTACTTTAGGGGCGATTGTCAAAGTTTATTCAACTCGTGAAACAAACATTTAAATAACTGAGTTTTTTAACGTAGAATAAATTTCCATGAATTTTAATTATTTGATTAATTACTTTTCAGCTTTTCCAACTATCGTACCTTTCCACCTAAATATTGTTTAAGAGAAAGTTATAACGATGATTCATACATAAGTATTACGTTATAAAGAAGCATTCGTGCAATTTTACTCAGTTATAAGCACATATTTAGTCGAAATATTTATATCAAGTACAGAGTACAAAAGAAAGTTTCTTGAACATAAAATAAAAAAAATAGGTATTTATTTACCAAATATCACATTTTATTAAAACTATCTTCGTAATATACATTTCCTATAACACTTTGAAAGGAGTTCACTATCTTTTTTATTGTGAACGATCCAGTTTGATGTAAAAATAATAAATTAATTATAGTTACTATTAAAATAATAAATGGGAATAAAAAGTGGAAAGTATAAAATCGAGTTAAAGTTGCATTATCAACTGCAAATCCTCCTCAAATTCAATGAACACAGAGGAATCTCCATAATGAAGTCGTTCAGTAAATTAATTGCCTTTGTATTAAGACAACCTTAGTTAGTAGAGTAAGGATGCAAAAACGAATTGCTAAATCGATTGACGCCAAACTCGGCTAAGGTTATTTAGTGAATAAACCTCTAAACAAAGATTGTAACAACAAGAAACATATACAAATAATAATTAATCTATACATATAATAAAATTGTAACTAAGCCGAATCTGTACATTAAATATTTTTTGGAAAATCTTGTTGAAATAGACATCATTATCGATACACAAGCCGAATCTATAGTTTTTGATGAAATTTGATATAGGATACTTTTTACCGCGGGAAAATGTCTCATTTCTGATAAAAAATACAAAAACTCCAATGTAAGAGTATACTACTCGTAATATGTAAAACCTAACCTACAACCTACTATAAAAACCTACTGTAAGAATTTGGTTTTTGGTCATCTGAACGCGGGCGGAGCCGCGGGCAATCCTAGTATATGTTACAAAATTAATACTAATTAATTATTATTTACAAAAGTGAAAGCCAGTAAGTGTCGTTTCGAAAAACACATGACATGACATTTTTTAATGCAACCGTTAAAAGGCTATTATTGGTAAATTAGCGGTTAAACACGCCTCGCTCGCGAGATGTCAAGATATTTTCAATCGAAAACAACCGAGTGTCGACAAACGGTTAACACTCTCGGCTTATAATAATAGCCATGCATTTCGTACGACCATTTCATTGAAAACACCTGTGCTGCATTTGTTATATCCTTAACTGTACCGTGCCGTAGAGGTTTTTTTGTAATGATTTAAACGACCCCGTAACTGAAGGTTAGAATATGGTATACGAAACAATTTTGCAAGACTAGTGCCCGATTTCACCAACAACCCATAAGCTACCACCTACGTATGGGATCCCTAGCTTAAAAGTCCCCTAAACAAGCCCCTAAATTAAATTTCGTTTTACGATCGTCTTTAAGCCCATATTTCGAGCACCTAAATTTAGGGGGCCTTTTAATTTTAATATTTAGGTGACCCCTAACTATCGGTGAAACAGAAACTGTCCCCTAACAGCCCCCTAACCATGCTTAGGGGAACCCTTAAACTTAGGTGACGTTGGTGAAATCGGGCATAGGAGTCATCAAATTTTATGTTATCTGCATAAATGTATATTAGAAAAATATTTACAAAACAACAATGTACGTATGTATCTATGTCGTCGCCAACAGGGAAGGCACCTAAAGTGTACTGTCATTAAATTATATCGAATAAATGTTATTTCTTGCAGTGTCTGTCTGTGTGCATAGTTGTTTGCCAGCGAATAATATTAAGATATTATCTGATTGCCAAATCTAGGTCATAGTCGTAACAAGGTTTTTTTTTTGCTATTAGAGATTCTTATATAGCCTCAAATACGCTATGTGTTTAAATGAGAGTACCTACATGTAAAGTTGATGTTATGCCTTCTTAAAAGGCTTATAACCTTTTTTGCATTATTAACTTTGTTATATAAGAATTTACTTTCGGTTTTTATTTTATGGTAATTGTAGATAGAGCGTATCGGCTTTCAATGGCTTACCATATTAGCAATTAGCAATAAGAAAGTGACAAATATACTAATCTGTACGGTATACCTACATATATATTATATACCAAATATCAGGTAATGCTTAGATACCTCCTGTTATGAGAAGCAATCTATTCAAAATTCTAAAATTCAAAATATTTTATTCATCATTAAATTATACAATTTTTTACTGAACTTCATGAGTCTACTACCAGTTCGGAAAGAAGAAGTAGTGAAGAAACTCAGCGGGACTAATATTATTTCATTATCATCTTTTTTTTATAAAGTTAGATTATAATTTACAATATTTCTATCAAGTTGAAGGAGCCTGGAGGCGATTATTTCATTCCCAATATATATCAATACTACAATAATTTAATCAATAAATCAGACTATTTTTCTTGCTATTTTTTTTTTGTTATTTTTTGGTCTTTCTCCTATTAATCAAAAGTCACGTCCACTGCGACGTGAAAGAAAGACAAACAAACAAACTTTCGCCAATGTAATATTATTATTATGGAATATCTCACCGAGCCTTAGTTCACCAAAGTTTCCGCAGCCAATTTTTTTGCCAACGCGGAAGTTGGGCCCCACCATAAGGACGCCCGAAGACGACGTGACGGAGTGCCGCGACGTGTGCATCGCGCTGGTTCCGCTCACGCCACGCCCACCCACCGCGCCAGTCGCGCTGCAAGTGTGTAGACACCCTTATAGCAATTGATTACATCGCAAAAGCGTATATAGAGCTATTTTTCACAGATGAATAATTAGTGCATAACATGTTACTTTCTTGTGCGTAACAAACCGACCGATCTAGGAACACAATTTGGCCAAGCCTCGGTTCCGATGCCATAAGTTTATAAGGGAAAAACATTGTCAGTAAGGTCGGTTGAATGTTTTAAATATAATTTTCCTTTGTTATTGTGAAAGAAAATAAAAACACAAAATTTCCATACCCATAGGCCATAAGTCTTCCACAGCCCACCATTGAGACATTTAATTTCTGAACAATAAATTCAAATAATCATTATATACACATTGAATTGAGAGAACACACAGCATTAGAATAGTCGCCAAAAATGTGTAGCACATATTATGTCTATAGTTTCCCCTTTATCTCAAAGCAATAAGGTTTAAATTATATATCTAATTTTAGTATTATCTAATTTTAATCTTGACAGTGAATATCATAGTACTATAAACAATAATAAACAAGGGAAGTGTTGACCACAAACAATATACATACTTTTGCTTAGTAATATAAAGTCTAACAGAAAAAATATATTAAGATAAAACATTTTTCCCCTTAGAATAAAATATATTTTAAATGTAACTAAGCAATATTTTAACAATATAATGTAAACATTTCTAAAATATTAGTTAAATCTACTTTTAAATCCAAGCCAGTGTCTAGTTCTCTTGAAATAATATCCACAATAAACATAACAAATCCCATATGAGTAGTAATACATGTGTGAAATAAAAATGGAGTAATAAGGTTTATTTATATTATGATAAAAATTATTATTGAAACTAATGACACATGATTGGGCAGGGCAAGTTCACTGACATCTGTTAGTTCAAGGCCAGGTCTGTAGAGCAAAATTATGAAAACGTTTCATATGTGTCTGTGCTTGTCAATAATAAACATGTTGATATTTTCCTTACACATTTTTACAAATATTTAAATTTTATATAATTCTTTTAAATTTTAAGTCAATTAAATAAAACTTAATTTATGATAGAATTACTTTAAGGACTAAATTATTTTGGATAAAAAAATATTAATAAACAGCTATTGCAATTACTGAAAATTACATTAAAAATACAGATGTTATTCATTCAAGATTTTATGAGGAAGTTTGATTACATATACATTATATATATTATATAATGTATATGTAAACATATTGTACATACAAAAATCTTTTCAATTATAAAATATAAATATTATAATATAATAAAGATATTTTTATTGTAATACTTTAACATCATGGAATTTATATTATATGGTTTAGTGATATAATTAAAGATCTGTAACTTAAGTTAAAAAGGAAGCTAATTATTACAGCTTAGCAGTTTATACAAACTGCAAGCAGAATATCTTAGTGTTTAGTCAGTAATCTTGTAAATGAATGGAGTTGTGTATGTACTAAACAAGATTATTTAACATCATTAATATTAATTCAAATTATACATACTAATATTCATTATATATAAAAAGATATTTTTATTTAAGTACCTATTTTCATTATTTCTTCTTGCATAATTTAAAAGGTGTAAAAATATCCTAAGTTTTACCAATAAGGTATAACAAATGAGCGATTGAAATTAAAATTTATATTAAGGATTATCTATATAATTTTTTTGGAAACATTACACTACAGAATGTAATATACCATAATGAAGCAGTGTACATTGACTGCAATGAATCATACCAACCGTTATTGGCATTGAGTCTAAAAGTGAAAGTTTGCTGCACTTCCATCGGGCAAGTTTAAAAACAATTATAAGAATAACTTTTTAACTAAATATGTGTATCAATACCGCTTAACATATAAGTAAGTGTTGATCAAAAATAGTAAACTAATGCAATTTACAAACTTTTTTTGAAAATCCTATTAACTAAACGAAAAGCATATTAATATTTAAATATATTAATATCAATATTACAGATATTAAACATTTTTGGACTTGTGATGTAGGAATAGTCAACAATTATGAAAATAACCTATAAAAATAACCCGTTACAAAATCTACTAGAACAGATGATAAAATAAAATTGAGGTTAGCTAAATACTTACAATTTTCTATGCATTATAAGTTTTTATATTAAAGAATATTTCCAAATAGTGACTGAAAATCATTCTTGTTGTATCCACTACATCACTGTCAGATTACTTGTCAATTTTGCAATGACAAACATGGCTCACCAGATTTCACTTAAAACGCATAATATCAATAAAATATAAACTACAATGCACTATTATTAGTAACAGTCCTTAATGATTTTCTACACTAACACAAAGTTTTGAATGTGTTCAACGATATTAAATTAAATAAGTATTACAGATAAGCTATTTTTATTAAGTATTATCAAGGGTAAGTATTGTGTGATACAAGATGTTTACATTTTGTGATTCATCAACAAAATGGTTATACTTTAACATGTATATATATGTATCAATTGGTATTATATTACTGACTGTTTCCTGCAGACTATGACTTTAAAGGGTCAGTTCCTAATAAGCAGTGACAGAAATAAGATAAAGTATAGATAATAGCGTACTAGTTATTTAACCATGCTTTGCTTGAGCAATTTTCAATATAGTGTTCAAATTATTACAACGTACCATTAATACATAATATATTCCTAATCTTATGATATATCAGTTAGGCACTCATAATTATTTAACAATTATTAGCAATGAAATATTACTTACTAATTTTTAGGTAGACTTACTTTTGAATTAAAGAAATGCACATTAAACTATAAAGTGAATAGTGGCTCTGTATACAATCTTGCATTTATGATGTGTTTATGATAGTATTAAGTTGAAATTAATATTCTGGATTATAAATCACTAGCGGCTCACCCTCGATTCGGTTCTGGATAGTCCCTCGACAAAAAATAAATCTATTCCATGGGTACCATACATTTTTCTCGAATAAAATAACCTTTGTGCTGAATAGCACTATGTCTATTCCAGCATATATAGTGCTATTCCAGCACAAAGGTTAGATATAGTGCTATTCCAGCATAGAGATCTGAGCCAAATTTCATCTAGATACATTCAGCCATTCTGGGGGTGAAAGTGTAACAGCTCACCCTTGCTTTGCTCGGGTTTGCCTCTAGGAAAAAAAAATAAACCTATTCCACGGGAACCAAACATTTTTTTCAGGATAAAAAGTATGTGTTATTCCAGACTATAATCTATCTCTATGCCAAATTTCATCCAAATCCATTCAGCCATTCTGACGTGAAAAAGTATCATCTACACTCACATACTTTCACATTTATAATATTATAAGTATAGATTAAAAAAAATCAATATAAAGATATTACTTTCCAAATTTTTTTTATAGTTATAGAGATAAAATCTTATGTGATAGCTAAAAATAAGATATGATAATGTTTTGTATAAAGATAGTCAGTTAGATGTTACTTTCACATCATTGTGTATCAAGTAAACTATCTATAAACATTATTATTTGCAATATCTCTTATTCTCTTGCTTCTTTTATTCTATAAAGTTATACTTAAAAAAAGAGGTTTTATTCATCTAAGAATCCTTATTATTTATTTATCTTTTATAAATTGACATTGTTTGTTAATAATAAATCTATATAATATATATATATATATATATATATATATATATATATATATATATATATATATATATATAAATAAATATATATATATATAGGCAATCCAATTCTTCAATTTCAATTTTGTATCTCTTAAGAAAAGCTTACAAAACAGATAGAATACAAGATATTAGGTTGTGAAAGTTTAATAATAAAAAAAAATATAAACATGTATTATAGTTAGTATTTATAGCAAAAAAATAATAAGATTAGTGTTTCAAATTTTCATTATATGTGTTCTTTGTCAGCCATGTTGAGGCTGTTTTAACCATTGAAAACCAATTAAACATTGAAGTACTAGTTTTTACTGTCAGTTACATATGAATATTATGTCACAATATAATATATTTTATACATCATTTCAATAAACTATCTAAATCTAGTAAAAATAATATTGAATTGTATTTATTTATATAACATAGTATATAATAGAAATATATATGTATCATAGATTTGGTTTTAGTTCTACCATTAATTATTATTAATGTCACACATCATAATATACATAATTTGTCAATTTTTATCTATATTTTAAAGTAAGAGTTTGAACAGTTCCAAAAAATCTATGTTGCAAAACATTATATGTCATGCCCAGCTGAATCATTGTGTTGGTCATTAGACAACAATAATAATAAATTCTCAGTAACAGAGAAACCAGACAAATATTTTTGAATATTATTTTATTATAAATCTTATATACTGTTTATGAAATAAACATATTTAGCAATTGCATTTATGCTTTGAAAAGCATTAAAAAGTAAAGAATATAGTAATATAGGGCATGTGTAAAATAATAGGTTAGTTTTTGAAAATTTGTGTGTAAATGTTCACTTTCATAATCTGTATCTTAAAATACAACTTGGAGGATAGTTATAAAATTACTTTATTTAATGAATTTGGTTATGTATTGAGGATGATTAAAAAATAAGTTATAAGACTTTTTATGCACTATTGCAAGATCATACTAGTAACAATTCAAAACTGACCATTAGATTTTGTTAAGACACTGACCCATATTAAGTAGACTGGTATACTATTAAAAATAAATGAATTATCCTTACGTGGAAGTTCTTTTATCGTCGCTCTGACGTTCCTTGTCCTTGTTACCCTCACGCTTATTCATAATACTTGTAAAGATGTGCAGGCACTAAGCCCAACACCCCAGATCACTCCCAATGCCCACCGTCAGTCGGGGCCACACCACGCCGCAGTCCATGTCACAGCTTCCAACCACTGCACTGCAATCTCGCCATACCACACGACACACCAACAATCCACACGGGACACTTTAAAAATATTTCTATATTTTATTTATTTTTGCTTTTTTTAACACAATAACCACTGCACTAAATAGAATTTATCTCAAAATCATTTTTGTCACACTGTAACCACAATACAGATGTTTCGGCGACTTGCGAATCAACTGTCAACTATTCGGTTTTTTATAATATAATAGATTAGTATTGCTTTTATTAGTTAGAAATTACGAGAATTCCTGATACAATTCATCCGGAAAGCAAGTAGAGTACGATATGGGTCGCCGTGCCAATGTTATGTTCACTGGAGAGTAACAACAAGCTATCTAAATGGTTAATACCTTTTACTGAGACACCTATAAAAATTAAACAAAGGGCGTGTTATTTTTCAAAATAATTAGCTTGTGTCGATTTTCTAAATGAAAAACAATCGGAAAAACCTAACAATTGACAGCTCCTCTTCGATGTGGGAAGTCAACCCAAATAAAATTATCTGTCGGCACTAATCGTATTGCAACAAATCTATTATGAGGATTCGTTATGTTAAAGTTCACAGCACTGTCTACAGTTAAATAAGTAACCAGATGAGGACACAGTACGTAAATTGTGATCAGCTTCACAACGTCGCCGAAACATCAAATGGACATTTGTCCTGATAAAAAAGTTTAGGTTTTGTAATGGCCACCAATGGTACACTATAAGTCACTTTTATAACTGTAATTTATAAATTCTGATTTTAAATAGTTCTAATTATAGAATTTTATACTCTAAAACTTTACCCAAATATATACCATTTAACGATAAAATTTCATAGTTTAAAAAATATTATTTCAAAGATTATTCACTGAAAATATCGCCATTCGGCGCATGCGCAAACTTGTAGCAGGTGGTGTTACTACTTAAAAATGAAAATATTAAAATTAATTATTACGTGAATTTATTTAAATATAAATGTTTTTAAATTATGCATCTAACAATTTTATACAATAAAATATTATACAGCATATTTCGTACATATTGGTATTAAATATTATAAGACTAGATAGCTAGTTCAAAAATATTATTTTTTATTTATGGCAACTTAATGAAATATTTCGTTCAAAATAAACACTGGGAATGCTGATACATACAATTTTCAAAAAACAAAACATATTTTATGCTATATAAAAAATGTTAATATACGTACAATCTATCTATGTATTTTCTAATATTATGTTTATTAATTTTTTCCATAAATTACATTATTGATTTAAATATAATTAATAATAAAACTGGTTTGGGCATTCTTAAATTTAGTTGGTAGATAAGTTCTACAAATTGGTAGTAAATTATAATACTACAATTGTGCTTTATTTTTTATTTAAAAAAAACATTCTTGACGAAAGACTAAAGAGAAGTTTCTTTCGTGTAGGGCGCAGATAGCTTTAAACTAAAATAAAGGTGGTATAGTCACTGAAAATTTTAAAATCTGTTAAAATATTTATAATATTTTAATAATACTTTTCATTTTTATTTACGGAAATAGGTATTTTTATGCGTATAATAATTATTTATAAAATTAAAAAATCGTTTTATTAGTCAAGTACGTTGACATACCTACTTAAAAGTTAAAACTTTTCTGTGATAACTTACATAAATCTGCAGGTTTTTGTACATATTTCATCCTCTTAACTATGGCTATTACTGTTCTACCACATTTGTTAGCTCTAAAAGTTCCACATTATTTTATGTTATCATCTTTGGTTATAGTAACCTACAATTTTCCTTATAATTAGATCCACACTTTACACGCTTTTGCCGGAACCTCCTCGACTCGTCTCCACGCGTTTTGGGATACTATTGGCAGACTAACCGAAAACAAGGACGTAAGCGTACGTTTTTATTTTTTAACTTCACGCTAGATTAGTATAACGCAAATATGTTATACTTTCATAGAATTTCTATATAAAAAGGGAAACAAGTATTTATTTCATCCATAAAATCTACCTAGACATATTAAGTACAGGACAACTGTGTGCTTCCGGCTTCGCCATCTAGTGTTAAAAAGAGACATCACTTCCTCTCTTGACCTTAAGGACCAGTTTCATCAAATCCACAGAATACCGATAGCACAGATCTTATTATAATACTATACTAAGTAGTAGGTCTATAATATGATTGGGAATCGTTCATGTAATGTTAATGAGGGATATCGTTTCTGGCGGCTTCAGTTGGCGCCACTGGCGAGTAAGGTCCTATCGCTGTCGTGAAAAAGTATTTGATAATGCGGCAGGGCTATAAATTTAATATAATAATAATTATCATTGTTAGTGCGGCACCAGTTTTTTAGGATTTTGTTTTACAGGATTAATATAATATTATAATAACCAATTAGATAAAATATTGACTTTATCTTAGCTCTTCTTTTAAAGCAATGACATTTGTTGAGCTTTATCAGGTCTGTCATAATTAATCAAGAATGGCACAATGTTTACAATAATTTCCGATCAAATAATAAAATCCGATGCAAAGCTCTCAAATAGTTAACATTCAATGTCATATTTTGACAGTTCTAGAAACCTCACTCTCCACTAGCACCCCTCATTGGCCGTAAGGTGTATCCGCGAGAGTGTGTAGGTATCGTTGTAATCATTATACGCAGACTATATTATGTGACTTTCGGTCGAAATTTTACCGGTGAGGAATTATAGGTGGTCGCTTTTAATTATTGTTATTATGTCTATGTTATTTTAAATAATTTCAAGAAATGTTATATTTTATAATATTTTTGATCCCTTGCAATAAAATTTTTAACAAATTTTTACAACAATGTTAAATATCGTGTAATGATATAAAATATACATAATTAATTACTTTTGGTAATTAATAATTATATGTTAAAGTAAATATAGATATTTTGGTTTCCACTTTCTTTTAACATTTTAATGTAATGCATGTTGTTTAAAAGTGAATTATGTATGTACGTATTTTCTGTTCACAATATGTTGATAATTTCTCGTTTGAGGTAAAATTGGATAAGCAGTGACTAGTTTACTCCTCGGACCTTATTTGTTATGTGTAAATTGAAGATAGATGGCGTTGATAAGAAAAAAATGGTAAATCTGCTTTATTTGAAATAAAATCTGCACTTTCTCTTTCTGTCCCGCTATTTAACACTATTTCCCACATGCATGGGTTGACTGGAAGAGATCTCTTAAGTCATATAGAGATAAGTCCACCTTTGTCCACGTCACTTTCTATGTATTTTGTTTATTATAATTTATTTGTGCAATAAAGAATATATATTTTATAAAAATGTATTTACGTTTTACAAACAAAAGTATATTAAAGCAAGATACAAAACAAAACAGATTTCAATGATTTTAAGCGTTTTATGAAGTATTCACTATCCATGGTAAACGTCTCATATAATGCAATCAGCGCCATCTATGAATTAAATACTTATTGTCTAATGTTTTCAATAAAAAAATGGTTTATTTTATGAATGAATTCTTGTTTGAATGAATGTTGGTTTATTAGCGTTTAATAATAAGATTTACGACATCTACTGACTACTGACTAATTATGATGAGACTCCACAGTAGGTTCTTGTTTATTTTAGATAGTTGGTCACAAGTATTTTTTATGTATTTTTTTTCTAAAAGGAGGTAGCTCTATACTATAAAGTAATTACACTTAAAACCACATTCAGTATATACTTAAGTATCTACATGGAAATGAATTTGGGCCATTGATCACCCAACAGCATGTGTGTTGCATGGATTATTTTATATGATTCTAAACTAATTGTTGAATCCCATTTCAATAATACAAAAGTGATAATGTCTTCCGGAAATCCAATGAATCAGGTATTAAGGGAATTATGACAATGACAATAAAATTAATTGCCATCATTTTCACGGTTCACGCTTTATGTAGCCAGTTCGATGTATAAAACTGTAAAAAAATCTTAAAATCTCTTGACATTATTATCTTTTAGTATAATTAATATAACATTATTATCTTTCAGTACCTACCTAACTAGATTGTTTTAATTAAAAGAATTGAATTCTTAGTCTTACTTTAGCTATATTGTTTTAATATGCGGAACCTTATTCTATTAGCAATGTAAGTGTTACAGTAGCTACCTATTCGTTTTTCAAAAATTCGGTGGTCTGTTAGCTAGCATGTACGGCTGCAAATTTGGAAATACTGCGTCGAAGTCCTGGGTCGAACTTAGGTCACACATTGAGTTTTTTTGTCAAGAAATTCTCAGTAACAGCCTGGAGTTGGGAAGTTTGGCGGTGTTTCACTCACCCCCGTGTATCGGAGAGTAGCCATTTCTGCTCCTGATCTCTGACTAGTAGTGCCGAATTGTTGTCCGTATTCCCATACCTCGTAACAGCGATATTATTGAAACGATTTAATTACGCGAATCGCGTGTATAAGTGCGTGGATAGACATAAGAGTGGATTTTTTTTTATTTTTAAATTCAACAAGATTTAATTTAGTGGATTTTGGTACTTTATAACTTATATAAATAAATATGCCACTATCTACGATATTTATAGATTATATTATGTACTTATTAGCACGCCTATTCTATACTACCTACTTTATATAGTTCTGTAGCTAAAAAGCAATAAAAAATTATTTTAGTCTATTACTTTGAAAGTGGTTTCCATATAACATGCCAGAGGAAACAGTACGCGAGACGACTCTTGCGACGAACACTGAACACGTTCGCCGCTCGATTCAAGGTTTCGTTATTCGTAATCATACAGACAGTGCAGTGTTATGCGTACTGATATACGGACGCGTAGATAAATTAATATTTACTATAAAATCCACGTACTACAATCTCGCAGCGGAACACATTGTTGAATGTAAGTTTATTTCTTTCATTATAACTCGTAACATTCTGCGTTATTTTTTTATTGATGAATAATTTATTTTAAATATGTTTAGATTAATCCTGTTGTACATCCACGTACATATTATAGAATTATTTTTTAGACTAGATACTTGTTTGTCCAGTAAAAGATATAAGTACAATCAGTCAGCTATTTTTTAGAAGTAAGTAGGTACCTATATATTTGCCAAATTTTAAAAATCGTCTGTTTAGATCATAGGCTACAAACATTTTATATTATTTATTTATTATATCTAGTAGATGTATCATTGATAAGTCTAATAAAACTAACCTATTATACTGCAACAATAGTTTATTATTTTCAAGGTTCAATCGATTGATATTAGTATCCTCAATATTTTATTTGTTTGATATAAATAATATCTATTCTATTTTTATGTTGTTGTTATGATGATATGTTACATGTATAATAATAATACACGCCGAAAAATCACAAAACCGGTTTTCAAACCAGACGCGATCATTTGAGCAAATTTTTTAAGTACCTAACTAGTTAAGGGCCAATCTCATCATTGTTTATGAAATTTATTTTTCTCATTAAAATCGTAACAATATTTTATAGAATAATTAAAATTTGTTTTTCATCAAAACTGACGATAGCAAACTTGATACTATTGATACTGTGGATACCTACTATCATTTCGTTAGTACATTGTAGATAATTAAATTGTTACAAATAAAGCATGGTCATTTCCAGAAACTGTTAATTTCAGTTGAAAAATAATTTAATACTTAAAAGATAATTTTATTATATAAAAAATAATAAATTAGGTAGTATGTTGTTTTTCGGCGATTGTGATCAACCTTAAGATGTTTTTTTTTTAAATTAATTAAAACGTTGTATGATAGACTTCTTAGTATCTATTAATTATCTAATGGCCTTGTCGATGGATCAAGGTTAACATTATACATATATTTAAGCAAAAACGGACTTGACTTGTTAACAAAGGTCGTGACCTAGCTCTTGAGAGGCATTCCCGAGGTTGTAAGACATTTGGGTCAGGAGCTCGGGACATTTTACCGGACGTCATTCATTGAACGTCATATACACATTTTATAGCTTACCTCTTTTTATTCAGCCTTATGACTTGTAGGTATAAAATATAGGTAGGATATAAAAAGTTATGTAAGATATTTTAGTTCATTTTTACGTTGATCTTTTCCTCCTAATATAAATTAAAACATGACACTTTAGGGGCACCATATTGCGATATTTTTGTTTGTTCAAATGTGTTTTTAATTTTTATCTATAAAATATAAATAATAGTGTCATTGCTTGGCGCAAGATTAGAAAACAATAACAATGATTGTTAATAACTAACAACACAAACTTTTTTATCTTCTTTCTAGCTGCGAAAATTAAATAGACAAAATTACTTTAGTTTTTTTCTTTACTTTACTTTTTTAAATTAAAAAAGTAAAGAAAAAAGAAAAATATTATTAATGTTAGTAGTTTTAATACCATTTCGTAAGTAAGCAGCGTGGTCGCAATGACTCTTTATACGTTCTACACAGAGTTAGAGCCGGTGTTAAGAGTTAAGACATCATGTTGTACACGTGTGCTAGATTCCAAAGACCCTGCTTCGTAAAGTAGACCGGGACAAACATTTCAATTGTCAATACAAAAAACCACCATATCTGTTCATCGCATTAGCAAACTCCTTTGCTGTTTCTTACGACTTTTGAGTAAATTCTTTACTTTAAACTAGGTTCGCTGAAGTTTAGCTTTTATATTTAAGAAAACTGAAAAGTTTTGTTTAATTTAGATTTCCTAAGATCTAAAAGATTATTTAGTTTATTAATAAGTCTTTATCTCTATAGCCATAAAATATTAATTGTTTACATGTTTTACGTATAAATAAAATTAAAAGCTGAATTGAGAAATTAAATCTACTTAGGTATAGTTTTAATAAGTTCTTTGCCTATTTTTATGCCTTTTGTTCGGTTGTCCATGTTTTAAACGATCCTGGCCTGGAAATAGACGAATTACAATATCTATTGTACAGTTAAAACAGTTTTAAATGGAATCAAATAACTTATAAAACTACAAAACATGTAAACTAAATGGTAATAGATGCACAAGACCATACATGAAGCCACAACTTCACTTTAGTATCTACTAAAAGGTACACCAATGTTAGTATTCTATACAGGATCTTGCCTTGGCGTCAGTTACAAGGTTTAATTAAACCATTATTTCAAGGCTTACATCTTTTAAGTTTTAAGTAAAGGAAATAAATATCCAAAAGTTGAAAAGTATCTATATGTTTATGATAATCAAAAATTATACTATATTCATCGATAATGATATTCGTAAATCGTAATACATTCATTTCATTTGCAAGACTTTCACTAAAAGTTATTAAAAGCCTACTTAATCGTGTATTACATTATGAAAAGGCCTGGACGAATTTCGATCGGATATTTGACCTCATTTAAAAACAGTTACTCAAATTTTATTTTAATTAATGAACCGAATAGAACCAAAAATTCAATAGGAGCTTGCATTTCTAAGTACATCCAGAAAAGAAAAGCTAGGTCAATTTCAGGACAGTGGACTAAACAGAAGAAGAAGCTGCTGGTAGTACCCAGTAGTGACATCTTAATAAATAAATTGAATATTTATCTTCTTAATCTTTTCTTCCAGAAAATGACTGCTAATCCAGAACAGACAAAATGTGTAGAACAGCTGAAGGAATGGATTAATCGGCAGCCGCAACTACCAAAAGATTTAGGTAGGTACTAATAGTTATAAGTACATATACATTATACATATAAGCAAAATGCATTTTGCTTAAAATTAAAAAAAATCAGAATTCAAAATATTTTATTCAGCATTAAATTATTACAATTCTTTACTGAACGTCATGAGTCTACTACCAGTTCGGAAAGAAGAAGCCTCAGACCTGAAAAGAACTGGCGAAAGAAGGCGCTTAGATGGGGGGTATTAGAATTTAGAAGTCGTGCTTAAAGTATATAAGAAACAATATTAATACTATTTACTATCAAGAATCGTTTTTTATAAGGACTTCATTCTAAATATTTAGTTTTAAGCCTTTGCAATGCCAATATGCAATTATTCCTGTGGCATAGTTCATAGATCCTTTTGTTTTTAATGTACAGTTTCATAGAGCAAATAAGTATGTATGTATACCTGACAGACCTACAATTTTTTGTTTTTATTTAAGTGCTAACAAAGTTCCATTAATTTTACTTCTTATTTCTTAATTTTTATAAAAATTTAGTAAACTAAATATTTCTAGTATGATAATAATATTCTCCTGATTCCGGCCACGGCGGCCAATCTCACTGAGACTAGCCACATGCGCAGGAGATATTATAGTGCAGACTCAAGTGCACTCTCTATTGATGAGTCCGATGGGACGATACTTAGACACGACCGGCAGGACCAACGCGACACGTGCTCTTCGAGGCACGTGAGTGAAACACCGCGAACACCCCGACTATAAAAATAAAAACCGGGATCGTTTGTTTTGCTCCGAATAAAATAAATTATAATAACAAGTAACAATAAAAATGAATATAAAAACTCATTTCAAAACTTATGTGTATATAATCACCACGAAAACCTTATGAATACGTGACCTTTGCGGTTTTCCAAGCTCTGTATCATGTAAGTACATTACTTATAGATACACACACGTACTAGTATGCTATTATATGATCTGTGATACATGCCAGGACGTATTATTAAATTCAAGTTTTAAATCTACATTGTTTACACTATAACAAAATGATCTAACAATGTAACAAGAATGATATACTGACTTCACATTAAATCGTCAGTTTCAAGGTGGTTAATTAATCTTATATTTCTGCGAATTTAAGAATTTATAAAAATGAGTACATAATACATATAGAAGTCCCTCTTTAACAAAGGGTCAATCAAAAAATTACTACATACACAATCAGCGACAAAAAATGTCCACACCAAATGAGCGCTCATTTGAACATTTGTGCGCGCTTTTAATATTTTGTTTTTGTGAAACAACTTTAAGTATTGCATTTAAGGTTCTATTTACATTGTTGTTTATTTATTTCAACTAGAATAATTACCTTAACACAATTGGTGACAGTTTTAAGAGAACTTTTGCATGGAATTGTGTATCAACTACTTTTTTGATCATCGATGATTTATAATTATAATTTTATTTGTATGTTTGTATGAGTGAGTATGTTTTAATGAGATAAAAATAGTTATTGTGAGTGTATCTCTAGGACAAGAGATAGACATATATGCTATTGCGAACTTTTCCTGTAGGCCTTTTTAAGACCTACATTTTTCTAGTCCGTTATTTTGATGTACCTCTTAAAGTTCACCCAGCGCGGTTAGCTATGTAACATTCTAAGGATGACTCGACAGGAACAGACATTGTGTTTTCGTCTAGGAATGAAAGATTTCCCTGACGTGATAGGTATTCTAATTGTTGACCCGAATAATAAGTTATCATTACATATTTAGTTAAAATCTTCAGTACTTTTTGCGTCAAATGCACACCAGACAAACGAACAAAAATTTCAATAACAATTTGCTTTGGGTCTATATTTTGTAAACACAACACAAAAAAAATACTGTTACGTAACATAACAGTATTTTTTTTTAAATATTCCATGTACACATTTCGCTTTGTTACTATTTTATTTATTAAGTATATGTATACCATATAGAAAAACACAGGTTGATCTTATAATACATTAAATAATATTAGCCGAATTTCCGGTCACGGTGGCCGATCTCCTCAGGCTCGCAGGACTTCCTGGCAAGGACTTTTAGTATTATATCATCAGCTTATACATAGGTTTTTTGCTCAAAGATCCCAATAGCTAATACTTCTTGCGACCCTGAAGTCAAACCCAGGAGCCAGCAATTTAACCAATAAGCCGGTTACGTTAAAAATAGTAAATAATTCGAATTTAATAATTTTCCTCGATTAATTTACTTATAAATGTATGTTATGTTTGAAACTTTGGCGGAAGTGTTAATAGATACTAATATATTTAATAGATAATTAAAAAAAATATCGTTACGAATCGTGTTGTGTAAATCTTGTTATCGGTCGATGTGTCGTCGGTGGTACCACGGTAATGTAATGCATATATTATTATTATGTTTTTTTTGTCACTCGATAGATATTTTGAGATCACAAAAGTCGTGTGGTACGCAAATACTCCCACAGATCTTTTACTTTAAGTTCCAACCTTTTCGATTATGAGATATTTTCTAAAATTACAAAATACGTATTATAAGTTTAGCAAACTATAGAGTATTATTTACTAAATTAAAAAAATGTCATGTTATCAGCTGTATAATTCTAATTATAAATATTTTATTCGTGTGAATGTGATATATATCACAACTGAATATGAAGTACAACTTGGCCGAATCAGCTATTGTGTTTCCCGTGGGAAAAAAAAAATTTCCTGTACTAAAAGGTATCCTAAATGTTTACCCGAGTAATAAATTATCACTATACAAAATTTAGTTAAAATCGGTTCAGTACTTTTTGCGTAAAAGGCGATCACCCAAACAGACATACAGACATACTGACAAAAAATATTAATTATTGTTTGTTTATGACCGAAATATGATCATAGTATTCTTTTCGGCAGCGTCCCACTAAGGCGGGGGAGGTGCCGTTGGGTTTTAGTGGGTAGTATTGGCTTTTCTAGCCTGTAAGTCCAATATACAGGTTGTATATATGTAAGTGGTATGCATAAATGCATTTCCCAAGTATTAGATATGCCGAATACACGCACTACACGCACTAGGTATTCAAAATTAATTATTTAAGTTAAGGCCAAGCACTGGCGCACTCGGCGTCCTCTGGACACCAGTGAGTGTGCCAGGTCGCCTCCCTTAGATGTAAAATATTCAAACAAATCTAAAAAAGTATTAGGTATATTGGGTTACCCTCTTATTTAGTAAATTAATTATCAAGTTGCGCAATTTGTGCAATATAACTATAATTTGTTCAATGTCTGTGGAATTGGTTTTTTTTCTGAGAACAAAGTATTAATTACAGTAAAGTCATAAAATCACCTTATTTAATTACAAGTTTTAGAAGTATACCGTATAATCGCTTTACTACATACATTAAAGCAACTCTGTATAGCCTTTTGGTTTTTAAAACGTATAAATCTATACATATAATAAAATTGTAACTAAGTCGAACAGATGTACATTAAATATATTTTGGAAAATCTAATTGAAATAGAAATTATTATCGATACAGAGTCCGAAACTATAGTTGTTAAAATTTTTGTCTGTCTGTCTGTCTGTTACCGCATCACAAGAAAAACACTGGACAGATTTTGATGAAATTTGGTATGTTGATAGCTGGTTATCCGGGTCAACATAAAGGATACTTTTTACCGCGGGAAAATATCTCATTTCTAAGAAAAAATACAAAAACTGCATTGTAAGAGTATACTAATATGTGAAACCTAAGAATTTTGGTTTTTGGTCATCTGAACGTGGGCGGAGCCGCAGGCAATGCTAGTAGAACATAAATATTTAATGACATCATTGAAACTGCAAGTCAGCATCCATTGGAACTTAATATAAGAGTGAATTAAACTTTGATTAACATTTTAAATAATTGGTTAATTTTATATGAACATCCCGTCAATAATAATACATATTTGTATATTATGTAATAAGTGCTATTATGATTGATATGAGCATATTACTGGTAAAAAATAAGATATTTTTAGATATTTCTCCTTAAACTTTATGCAAGTTATACCCTTGTTTGCTTCTTTTATACAATATTATTATTTAAAGAAATAAACGAACAGTTATTTAAATAATTAAAAAGTCGTTCAATTTCAACTTTCTGTTGGAAAGTTTTTGTGACTTGTCGTTTTCATAATTAACTCTGTTACTTATCGCTTTCATAGTTAACTGAGACATCGTGATTTAAATCTCGATTCAGTCAAAAATTCGTTTCATAGAGAAACATGGTGTACAACTGGTGTACATACGAGTAGATATACATGATGTAAGCAGTATATTCCCAAAAGGTTTTCAGTAAATTAAAAATGACCTGTATATGAGCGATATGCGAACTTTATCGTTTCAACAGGAATCCCTTAAATTAGTCATAGTTGAGTCAATGCTAGTCTTTAGAGTTCCGAAGATAAGTCAAGAAACGATTTTTTATGTTTGCTAACTATTTTCTGTGTTTTGTGACTGGCATGTATTATTGCGCCATCCCAAGGTGCCGCTGATAACGAACTGAAGTCTGAAAGAATAGTATATGGTCAATGAATGGAGATTCAATGGAGCGAAAAAATCGCTATAGTTTTTAATTTAACTGCGTGTGTCATAGAATTTTTTGCAAATTCATTTGTGTAGAAGTGCATAAACGTAAATTTTAACCTAAAATTACTTATTTTTTATATATGTATAAAATATTTATCTTGTATGAGTATTGATTATCTTCTTACAGGTGACAATCTTATCCTACGTTTTGCACATAGCTGTTATTATGATCTGGAGAAAACGAAAAAGACTGTGGATACGTTCTTTACGGTCAGAGGTATCTGTTCCGATCTCGTAACTAACAGAGACCCCATGTCTCCTCATATGCAAAAGATTTTAAAGATCATGTAAGTGAAAACTATTTGACAATTAAATAGCTAAATAGGTTTTATTTCGGTACTAAACGAGATTTGTTATGTATTTACTGTAAATTATTCGAATCCAATGAATCTTATTGGGGGTAATTATAGCTCATTTGTGAAACTAACGACTTACTCTCGCTTCGCTCGGGTGAGTCTCGAGTTGCTTTTTATAGTTTTAATGTACTATGGCCACCTATGGGTAAATTATCACTACTAATACAGCTACGATAGTATTGCATTTATTGCTATTGATATAAAGAAACTTAATAGAAAAATAAAAAGATTCGTTTGAAAGCACCTCTAGGTGCCTAACAGTAGCCTAAATATTAGGTACTCCATAGCCTATCTGTGCGTTAAATTTCAACCAAATCTGTCAAGCCGTTTCAGATTGAAGTGATAACAAATATACATACAGATATAAACATTCATATTTATAATAGTAGTGAGAAGTAATATAATTTTCATTCACTCAAACAATAGAACTTAAAAGATATTTAAATGATAAATAATTTTATTTTACAGACGACTCGGTCAATTCCTAACCTCAAGTAACAGTATGATATGGATCTATCAAATAAATGATCCTGGGCTAGATAATTACGATCATATTTCGGATGCCAAGCTGTTCTTCCTCTCTACAGACGCCCAATTTCTTGAAAGTGAGGTTTTACCGGAAGAAGACATAGTTATTATGGACGTTAAAGATGTAACGTTGAAATTTTTAACAAAAATGAATCTTTCTGTTGCGCGAAGATTGGCGAGATATCAGGAAGTAAGTGTAATTACTATACATATATATGTATGATATATGTTGGGACATTAACACACAGCACCATCCAGTTCCATGGTAAGCTACGAGGCTTGTGTTATGGATACCAGATACATATTATAAATATAAACACCCATGACTGGAGTACAAACATTGATCATCACACAAATGAATGCCCCCAGCGGGACTCGAACCCGCGACCGCTGGCACAGCAAGTAGGGTCACTACAAACTGAGCCAAACGTGTCGTCATGATACAAATTATATGCCATTTCTTGCATATAGATAATTGTAAATCTTGATAGAATGATTTAATAAAGGCAAGGGAATAAATTTAAAATATTCGCGTACTTCAAAGAATTTATTAAAGGATGAATATAAATTTAAATATAACTTAGTTTCCCCCCCCCGATGTGCGTTTACCTTGTCGTGGGGGTGTTTGGGGCTCATTAGTGTCCGGGACCGAGCTGGGCGCGAAGCCTGAAAACACAGGGAGGTGGCCCACTTAGGTGGGCGGTGTCCCATATGGGTTGCTCCTGGTACTTCTCTGACAGCAGAGTGGATCGTGGGAGCAACCCTTTAGTTGTCTGGTCTGCTTGGCAGGCCTACCATCGGGCCGTCGTTGTAGAGTGCGTAAGCGATCCTGCGAAGCGCAATTAAGACGGGGAAGGTTCTGTTGGGTTTTAGTTGGTAGTACTGACTTTTCTAGTATGTATACAGGTAAATTGTGTAAATGCATTTACCAGCATTAAAAAAAGTATTATTTTGTTTAAAATTAATGTATTTAATTATTTTATGCAATTTACAAACCTACTTTATAATAGTATATTTATGTAATACATTATTAAAACATCATACTCATTACTCTGTTGATAAATATAAATATTTAAAAAATCGTTAAATATTATTACAGGACGCCATACCAATACGTCTAAAGCAAGTACACGTAGTCAACGCTCCACCTTTTATTGACAAAATATACGGCGTTATGAAGCCGTTTATTTCCAAACATATCACTGATCTGGTAAGATTCTTAAAACCCATTCAATTGTTTGAAGTTTTTAAAAATTTAATAATACTATTATAATTAGAGGCTATTTTGAAATAATAATACTATTTTTAATGGTGCTTTCATGAAGAAAGGTCATCGAATCGCATAAATAAACTGTAATTGGACCGCGGGCAATACATAATACGAGTAAAAGTATGTTTTTTATTTAAATATCTATCCCATAACTGAAGTTTTAAGGTCACTGAGAAAGCTAACTATGAGTCACTGTCTGTTGTTAACTGGCAGGGGACTGTGAGACTCTTGGCCGATTTCACCAACGTCACCTAAGTATAAGGGATCCCCTAAGCATGGTTAGGGGCCGTTAGGGGACAGTCTCTGTTTCACCGACAGTTAGGGGTCACCTAAATGTTAAAATGCCACCTAAATATAGGTACTAGAAATACGGGCTCTGACGATGGTAAAACGAAATTTAATTTATGGGCTAGTTTAGGGGAATTTTTAAGTTAGGGATCCCATACGTAGGTGGAAGCTTAAAAAAAGGTGGAAGCTTAAGTGATGTTGGTGAAATAGGGCATCTTACTCCTACAACCTATAGCGGAAAACAACCCACGTTCGTGACCTTTAAAATCACAATCGTGGGTCGTTGTAGGATATCTTAGGCTACAACAAATAATATAGAAAGAAGTAGAAAACACAGACTCCTTCCCCCATGTTGGAGGTTTAGGTAAAAAAAAAGAAAAACAAAAAAAAACAAATAATATAACGTAGTACCCAAGCCATCAGCCATTAAAAAAATCTTAAATATTTTTGTTTGTCCTCCGTTTCCTTGTCATTTTTACACATAGTTATGACAGCTCAAGCTATATCTTTCAAACCACTCATGAATAAATCGAAACTTTTTATTTATTTATCAAACAGGTACACTTTCATTCACCTAAATCGGAGACATTATTTCAATATATAAGTAAAGAAGATTTGCCTTCCGATTTTGGTGGGTCGCGACCTTCAATGTCAGAACTAACTGAGATCATCACGTCACAAATTATGAGGAATCGGTAAGCTCACTGTAGTCTTATGAATGTCTTCAACTTGATAGAAATATTGTAAATTATAATTTTACTTTAAAAAAAGATTACAAGTTATTATTAGTCCTGCTGAGTTTCTTTCGCCGGTTCTTCTCAGGTCTTCTTCTTTCCAAACTGGTAGTAGACTCATGACGTTCAGTAAAAAATTGTAATAATTTAATGCTGAATAAAATATTTTGAATTTGAATTTGTGAATGTTTTGAAAGAGGTATACTAGACTAGTAGAAGTATGTGGAACCTATATGGAGTAGTGTCCTGAGTTTAAGTTTTTACTTTATTTTATTTAAAAATTACTTATTAATAGGTTGTATGCTATATCCTATAGTGCATGCATCTCCATTACATGCCGCCATATTTTCTCGAACGAGAAGTAAAATTATTAATACATTTTAGTAATCAGTATGTTTTTATACAAATGATCAAAAATATACTATATATCTATAATTGTCAGTCTCTGTTGTATTTTTCGGGTGGATAATTCCATTAAAATGGACTATCATTGAAACATGATTCTTGCTATATCCATATAAAGCAAGGCTCAACGTTTTTAACGATCTCATCCACATTATCTGAGAGCTCAAGCTTGGTCTTAAATTCATCCAAACGCATAATGTTGGAAATAAATATACAATATTAAAATATTTGCGAGGACAAAAAGTATGTTCACGGTTCTTGATGCCAATTTATATTTTTAAGTTTTTGTCAATATTTATGTGGAAAAATGAAGCAATTGATAGAAAATGTTATTGTTATATGGTTTATGTTCTATTCAATAATATTATTGTTGCATGTTGGTATATGACACAAGTGATCGCGGTTTCGATTCCCGCACTGATTAACTAGCTTTTTGTACTTATTGTCCTCTGTCTCGTAAGGACGAGGCGATTTCGATTCGATTATCACCAACAAATATATACAGGGTGGATTTTTGAGACGGGACAGTAAGGGCAGGTACCTTAACTGCTATAGTTACAGGAAAACGTTCCTAGGAGACCATTCGTAACTTTTTGAGCTATTCTGAACTGCATTCTCAGATTTTGGAAAAAATGTACAGTTAGCGAAAAAAATGCTAAAATACAAAAAAAATTATGTCAATCGATCCTATTTCATGTATGGATTAAAAGACTCTTCTATTAATATATGTATATACGTAATTATTACATATGTTATCTAAAATAAATGAAGGTTTCATTATTTATAATTATTATTATTTAAAATGACTTATTTCTGTTTCAGTGAAAAAATAATAGATGAAAATTTTTGGAGAGTCGCTGATAAAAATAAATCTGAGGCGTCCACAGAAGTTGGAACTTTCCGATCTCTTGCTATAGATTAAATTTTCTTTATTATTACAGCTGATTTTCCCATCGTCACGTAAAAGGTTCTCGTCAACATAATTATAACCCGACTAAATATGAAAGTAAAAGAATTGAACTTTTTTACTTAGACAATTACCATTTCTTAATTTATCATCTCGTTTGATCTATGAGTATGTTTTACCTGTTGATTGAAAAATCAGCTCTTAGATAGAAAAATGGTGCTTAATCTGACAAATTAGAGATAAGTAGGTATTCTTAGCGTAAACTATACAGGCTGTGTTGAGTTGTTATTTTTAATTCATTTTTGTTTAAACTCATGTTCATTATTATTAAACCATAAATTCGTATGTGTCTTTTCTGTTTCTATTCTGAATTTCCTATTAAATATAATTAATTTAACGGAAAAAAAAGCATTAAATTTTAAAAAAATAATGGTCTGTAGTAAAATTTGTATATTAAAATGTTGTTCATTGATCATAAGGTGGAAAATACAGCAATGGTAATATCGTTGTATATTTATTGTTTTTCTAGTACTATTAAATTGTTTTCCTTACTTAAAACAGATTGTTTTATTAAATGTAAAAATATATTATTAAGTAGCTGAACCGACAGACGTTATCCTGCCCCTATATAAACTATGCATATATTGCATCTCTTAGTTCATAAAAAAATCAATCTATCCATCAATTTTCATTTTACTCGAATTTGCAAAGCTATATAAGTGTGACTTACAAAAATTAAAATTAAAAATATGTATAATCTATACTAAATCTATATTAATATTATAAAGAGGTAAAGTTTGTGATTTTGTGAGTTTGTGGGTTTGTGAGTTTGTGACGTTGTAGGGGGTAATCTCTGGATCTACTGAACCGATTTTCAAAACTCTTTTACCAATAGAAAGTCACGTTCTTCCTGAGTGTCATAGGCTATATTAATCCGAAGAATGAAAAGGCTTTTTCGTGGTAGTCGGATTTGCAAAGTAAGTCGGAGAAAAAACGGTTGAACGAAAACCTTACGAACGCTGCCTTAACAATGAGAGATATATGATTATGTTCTAAAGAAAAGTTGTAGAGTTTAATAATGCCTACAAAAAAGTCATCGACAGCATATGTCTAACTTTTATATTTAACTCACAAAAAGTAGTTTTTTTATATTAAAAAAATAATTTAAATCGGTAGGTCATGTTTATTGGTTATATTATCAACAATTATGAATTCTTATCAAAATAAGTAAATTTATCGCCTAAAATATTTAAAACAAGACACTTTTCCCTCTTACTGCATATAATTTGGACAAATGGTTAAAGAGATAATACAACATATTCGTAGGTATGGACGAACCCGAGCGAGCTGTTTGTCTGTTTTTCTGTTTGTACGGGCTAATCTCCGAATCTATTGAACCGATTTAAATGAAATTTTGCATCATAAAATATTTTTTTAAAACTATAACTGTAATGTATTATGTACACAATATATACACCAAAAAAAACGTTATTAAATTTTTTGTCTGTTTGTCTGGTAGTCTGTATGTGTTTGTCTGTTTTATGTGTACGCGATTTACACAAAAAGTAATTGACCGATTTTAACGAAATTTGGTGAATTGATAACTTATTACTCGGGTCAAGATTTAGGATACCTTTTACTTCAGGAAAATCTTTCTTTCCCACGGGGAAATACAATAACTGGTTTTATCGAGTCTTCCTTAGAAGCGTTCCGCTAGCTAAACCTTAAGACATACAGCAAAACAATAAGAAAAAAATTTGTAGGTCTTGAAAAGGCCTACAGAAAAATCTGCAATAGTATATGTCTATCTCATAAGGTACACTCGCAATATGTATTCGTATCTACATATTTAATAAAACTAACTTAGACAAATCGATGTGCGAGTTTCACGCAAAAATCACGGGACCGAGTGTAGTGATAACTTATTACTCCGGTCAACATTTAAGATACCTTTTAGTACATGAATATTTTTCATTGCCATGGGAAAACACAATAACTGGTTCTATCGAGTCCTTAGAAATTTATATGGCTAACGCGGGCTAAGCCTTAAGAGATACATCAAAACAATGTAGTAGATAGTAAATTGTAAGTTTTAAAAAGATCTACAGAAAAGTCCGCAATAGTATATGTTTATCCTGTAAGGTACATTCGCAATAACTATTACGCGATAATGTCGCGACTCACTGACAGACTTATCAACGCCCAAGCTGATGATGATAGACCACAAAAAAAATCAGTTTTATATATTCATACTAATATTAAATGCGAAAGTAGCTCTGTCTGTCTGTTCGTCCCTTTTTGATGAAATTTAGTATGAAGATATAATAGTTTGAGACCCTGGAAAGAACCAACATAGTTTTCATCTCGGAGAACATATCTTAAGGAGGTGAAAACAGGGGGCGTGGAAGTTTGAATGGGGAATCAATCATTCCTCAAGTAAGGGATAATATATATATATATATATATAATATATATATATATAATATATATATATATAATATATATATATATATATATATATATATATATATATATATATATATATATATATTATCCCTTACTTGAGATTAGAAAAATAGGTGAATATTTAATTTACCTAACATCTATTTTTCTATACCTAAATATGTATGAACATTGTACAATGTACATCCATACTTCCATACTATTATTATAAATGTGAAAGTGTGCTTGTTTGTTTCTTTGTTTGTTTTTTTTTTGTGTGGAGTAGTTGGAGGGCTGGAGAGCTACTTAACTACGTGCTTTTTACCGTGAGAGATTATGTCATTCCCACGGGTAAGTACGTTATGATATAACTCAAAAAAATATTTATGACCAGAATTACCTTCTTGAAACTTGGTATCAATGCTCTTCAATACAATTAAATAAATTACAAATACATACGTGTTTAAGCATTTTTCGAAAATCATCCCTTAAGGAGTAAAATAGGGGACGAAAGTTTGTATGAAACCTACGTTTTTGCAGTATTTTTTGTAGTTTTAGCGCGAGCGAAGCCGTGGGTTCTACTAGTATATATTAAAAGTGCCTGGTGATACTAAATAGCAAACCTCAAACCATCACAAAAATGTGAAGACGTAAATTGAATATTACGCTCAAATTATCTATTAATCTTTTCATTGGTAAATGGTAGTAGTGTTAGAATAACTGCATTCCATCGAATTAATGAAAGAAAAAGAAATGAAAAATAACCAAATGAGAATTTTACTTATCTCTATTATTTTAAGGACATAAATAAAACTTCTTTACTAAACAATATAATAAATAATCTGTGCACTGAACACAGGTGCACACGTGGAAAAGGGGTTGACTGTTATGGACTCCATGGACTGTCTTGCAGAAGAAGTTCTGGTAGACTTTTCCGTCATCGTTCCCGATAAATGGGTATGGGGGATTATGGGTAAACGATACCATCAAAAGGACTCTTGATATCGTTAACATTCTTGTTCTTATTGAGCCACCTGGAATAAGTCGAGATGAAGGTAACAAATCTGATGATCTGTCGCTGGTTCCTTGGAAAAGGGGACGGGCCCTACTGTGGGACCCATTGGTCCCGTCCCATGTCAGGGAGACGTCTAAAATGGGAGCCGCGGCGGATGGCTAAACTATTTAAGTTACGTAAATATGCCTCACTTAGTCATAATAATGTTTTTATTCCATTTAATGTAGAAACCTTTGGCCCATGGAGTCAAAATGTTCAGCACTTCTTAAAAGGCATAACACCTCATTTTATCGCCTCTACTGGTGACAGGAGAGTTGGCACATTTTTCGCCAAAAGAATCGGCATTGCCGTTTTACGGGGGAATGCGGCTAGCATTCTTACCAATATTTCACCCGAAAATGATTTGTACAGTCACTAAGTCTATAATACTTTCTTAGATTTACGCGAAGGTTTGACATTATTAAATAAAACTATCTTTTCGGATTATTTCGCGGATTTTATTTTGATTTTTGGTTCCCGACGTTTCGAATGCTTTACAGCATCCATGGTCACGGGAGAGACTGAGGTGTTAGATGTCTTGAAGGTATAGTTGTTCCAGACAACCTACCCACAATTAACAAAATGAAAATTGCACCAATTACATTACAATATTTTTAACTTTAAACATTTTTATAATTTTAATTATAATCGAATATGGAAAATTATTTATTTAATTTTGCTATTGTTTTTATAATTATTACTATTTTAAAAATATTAATTAGTAATCTATATTTAGTGTTGCCATTACTATATTTGTAACCATACAGAAAAATATAAAATATAGTATTAATTATTTAAGCCATATAATTGTTCTATGTGTAATTTAAAAAGTTAAAATTAAAATTATTATCCTTAATTAATTTTCTGCCTGTCTGCCTGTCTGCCTGTCTGCCTGCCTGCCTGTCTGCCTGTCTGCCTGTCTGCCTGTCTGCCTGTTTGCCTATCTGCCTGTCTGTTACCGAATCACAGAAAAACCACTGGAGGGATTTTGATGAAATTTGGTATGATGATAGCTGGTTATCCGGGTCAACATATAGGATACTTTTTACCGCGGGAAAATATCTCATTTTTGAGAAAAATACAAAAACTGCATTGTAAGAGTATACTAATACGTAAAACCTAAGAATTCGGTTTTCGGTCATCTGAACGCGGGCGGAGCCGCGGGCAATGATAGTGCCATATAAAATCAAACATCACCTCGTCCACAAAGCGAAAGGAATCTTAAAAGTCAACGTACAATAAAGCTCTTATTGAAGCTTAATAGGTAGTAGGTAGGTGTATGTTGAAGGAAGTGCTAAAATTAAACAAAGAATAAAAAAAACATAAATAAAAAAACCGGACTGCGTCAAAAGCGAACTAGAAAGACGAGAACAAGTTCACGAAGGAACATAGTACGAGTATTATTACAGTTTTACAATTACGGATTGTAATACTGTGGTATTATGGAGGAGACATATTATGTACGTCTTGTATGTAGTACCTATATCCTTATTGCAAGACTTACTACATCGTGTAT